ATATCGCAGATGTGCCTTTGACTAACATAGCGAATACAATGTTCATAGGTGAATTATAGGTTGGAAGTGCCTAAGGAAGGAACGCTTTCGACGTTATATTCGACACAGGTTCTGCCTTGACATGTGTTGCTTCAGAACAATGTAAAGATATCGGATGTTAGAAGAGTAAAAGATATAATAGAGCTGACAGTTAATCATTCAATGAGATTGGCAAGTCAGTGGAAATTGTATTTGGAAGTGGAACTTTGAAAGGATTGATAAACAGAGAGAGAATCAGAGTAGATGGTTTAGATTTGAAGGATGCTTTGTTTATTGAAGTGACTTAATAAATTGGAGACGCATTTCATGAGGGGGAATTCGATGGTATTGTGGGATTAGGCTATCCTCATATGACAGGAGTACCCACTTTGTTTGATTACATGATCTAATAGCATAAACTACACTCAAATGTGTTTACATTCCATTTGAATAGAGCAACTGGAAATTCAGGGTCATAATTAATTTTTGGTGGAAGTGACGATTCTCAAATCAAAGGAGAATGGGTGTATCATAATGTTCATGAACAATTCTATTGGTCAATAATGGCAGAATAGATTAAAGTGGGTAATAAGGACACTGGAATCTGTACACATTAACATAAGTGCAAGATGGTTGTTGACACAGGAACCACTTTGTTGACAGGACCAACAAAGGATGTGAGAGCATTGTTGTCAATGATCAGAGTTGAGCCAAAATGCCAAAATTATCCAACAATGCCAGATATCACATTTGTTATTGATGGACATGATTACGTCTTATCACCTAAGGATTACATTCTAACCATCACATGTAAATATCATCTCTATATCTAATAGAAAAAGGAGTCGAAGCACCTTATCAACATTCATCAATGGATTAGATTGTTGGTTGTGCTGGAACTATCTTTCCTTTGGATCTACCACCCAAACAGTATGATTTTATATTAATTGTAGAGGTCCCTTATGGATTTTAGGTGATGTATTTATTACAAAGTACTCTGCTAAGTTCGATAGAGATAAAAACAGAGTTGGTTTGGCATTAAATAAGAATCTTGAATGAAATCATTAAAATAAACATATCGAATAATTAATCACTCATTTGTACTAAAGTATTATTGAAATGTCTGCAACGCTTCACTATTGTATATCAATCGGACATCCTCTTTATTAAGTTATTCGAATGCTTGATCCTCGTAGCCTCTGTCATCATGTAAACTAAGAGTAGACTTCTTAGATGGCAACAGAGTCTCCATCTTATCTCTCTCTGCCTATTCCCCTTAATTATAAGGGGAGATCTTATGGAATATTCTAAATATCGTATCTATGAAGATGAGACATTCCATCATTGAATGGAATTTAATTGACGCTTGTTCACTCTAATCATCATATTTAGACATTTGACCACGAGTTGATATCATTTATTCTAAGTACAATAAGAGTTGAGTGCATTGATCGATTCCTTGACCTAACAAAGTGGGAGGGCCTGTTCTTTTCTACTTCTCTTTTCCCAATCGAAAGAATGTAATCATTATGTCTATATTAAACTATTTGATTCTTGCCATATATCTCTTTTTTACTGCCTTGTTTTACACATAAGACTCACTCAATCCAATTAAGTACTTTATGATGAACTTCATTGTGCACACTTTCAATACGCTGGGTGGTCTCTTCTGAAATTAATCAGACAATTCAAACCAAAATTAATTAGTATACAAATCATTCCTCTTCATTTGTTGAAACATACTATGTTCTTCTGCTTAATTGAATTCAGATCTATTGATGTTACTATCTATGTAATATCTCCATCTATATTCACATAAAGAGGGTGTCATTTTATTGTAAAAGAATATTTTATTCATCTAACTTGAAATTTGAGAAAAATCATTCTGGAAATGCTTTTGCAATTTCAATAATAAATCATCTTCTTATGAATTCCACTTAACCTTATCCAGTTACTGTAATTCAATGTCCATTAATAACAAATATATTTAGGATTCTCATAGTCAATTTTAATTAATATATATATTTTAAAATCATTTTATTATTTATATCAATCATCTTATAATTAAATGCAGTTTTTTTGGATGTAATCTCAGATAACGCCCATATTAATTGTAATATAAAAAGGCTGAATATCACCTTAGATAATTCAAACTCATCGAATTAAATAAGTTTTCCATTCTTAAAATAAAAAAAATATAATTAATATTCGATCTTTCTCATATAAGAGTTCTCTTAATATCTAACTAATAATTCATTGACTCTTATTCTCAAATTGTAATCTTTTAAAAATGGTAAAAATGAAAAGTTAAATATTAATGTAGACCTGTTATAATATATGTGAATTCGATTTTACAACACAAAACAATAAGATTAAATCATAATATCTAAATTGCTAATTGACAAGAAGATTTAATATTTTATATTTAATAAATACTATTTACAGTATCAAATATAAAATATATCCTTTTTTTATCAATAATCCAAAAATACTTACTATTTTTCTAGACTAATTATTCTCAATAAGAGTATAATATCAGAAGTAGTTATTGCAAATACAAATTAAATCATTAATTAGACTCAGAAAATCCCTGATGATATCAATTATAGTAAAGCCAACACTTAATTAGCTAAGTTTACACTTTAACAAATTCCATTGTAATATAATTAGTTAATGAATTTATATTTTATAAAAAATCTAATCTAATGACATATGATGAAGTTAAGGATAAAAATTAATAATTCTGAAATTCAAGTAGATTTTGTTTATATTCTCTCCAAAAAAGTAATGAAATTTGTAAAAATCATGAGGTCAATTTAAGATGAAATAATTTAGTTTGATTTTAAATAAACCCTTCTTATTTATAACACCCATCGATTACTCTTCTTAAAAAGGGAGGAAACAAATTAAGATATTTCGCATGGATCTAAAGATATATTTGGTATTACTAATATACATAATTGTTATACTAAAATTCTCAATAATTGTACCGATGTTGTTAAAAGCAAATGGATTTTCAAATACAAATATAAATGAATTGAATTTATGGCAATACTGAACCAAGATTGTGAGAGCAACAACGAGAAGTAGTTCACAATTATTTTATAATTAATTTGTATTCGTTGAATGCACATAAATAAATTATCTGAGCATCAAAACTAAAAAAGTGGGTCATTTGTACATTTGTCTCCGTAAGCTTATGAGGCCTTATAAACATTAGAGTAAATTAAAAAGAATAACATACTTCAGCAGAATTCCTAAATCGTTAGAAGAGTTTCATCACAATATGTTCAATAGCCTTCTCAAAAAAATTAATAGAGAACATCCAGTTAATTGCAGGCTTCTCCAATACAGCAGAGAAAAGAGCTCTAAACCAATTCATCATTATCATTCATCAGAGGAGCTCTATAGTCAAATCGCACCAACAAAATGGAAACAGAGGGTAGTCACAAACCAAATTCATAAACTGAAAGATAGATTAGTTAACAGCAAACTCTGGGCAAATCGGACGAGCCTACTCCATTCTTCAGAGACACTTTATCAAGTGACCGCAACAAATGCAACTAGACTAGCTTAAGCTAATATTTGTCTAGACATCAATTTTAATAGCAATTCAAATATATCAATGAAGAATTATAAGCATTTAAATAATAGGTCGAAAACGATGTCTTGATTGAGACTGTTATCACCAAATTTGAATCCCCCAAAGACAATTCCAAAAATAGTCAGCTCTTTGTAGACCAATCTTAAAAGGAGAATTTTTCTCCTACAAACCAAATTAATGATGAAAAAGCAATTGATCCTAAATCAGATCCTCTCTCTCGATAATCAAATCAAGATTATGGAAGATGAAGAAACTAAAATTGCTCTTGACCCTTAGAAATCAAAGAAGAAGTAAAATACTACTCATTCCCCTTCCAAGTAATAGATTGTTGAAAGTCTATATGAAAGAGCGTAAAAGAAGCAATCGAATTTCTAAAAACTATTTGAGGAAACTCAGATAAGCAAAGAATAGAATGTATTTAAAGAGTGTACTTTTATTCCAAAGATAAATAAGTAGAATATATCTGGAAATTTTATGGAGCGCTTGGATGATTGGATCAAGAGGAAAAACAAAAAGATCACTTAACAACAAGAGCAAAGCTAGGAAAGAATAATGAGAGAGTGCACTTTTAGTCCTTTACATAAACAATTAAATAAGACCAATCTCAGTCACACAGCAGTTTATTAAAGAAATCAAGAGTGGTAGAATAGGATAAATATAAAGAAACAAAAGATGAAGGCCTAAAACTCATTTATACAAATGAGTGCAAAAAAGGAGTAGAGCACTCCAAAAAAAATACACAAGAGATCTAGTTCATAATAATATTAGATTGATCTTGCTAAAATATTATAATCAACAAATTCTTAAAATACCACGAAAAGGGTAAAACAATAATCTCCTATCCTAACTGAAATTCAAAGTGGAATTCTTAATGCTTCAAATAAGAAAATTGAAAATGTAGACACGAAGTATTAACAACTATGTGAAATGGCAAATAGGATTAAAGCCAAATCTAAAAATTGATATTTTTAACTTTTGCAGATATATTATCAGTAGTATTATTTTTATGCGATTTTAATTAATAAAATAAATTTATGATTAACTTATGTGTCTGTTTTATATAAATCCTTCAATCTAATCGCAAGCAGAGATTTAAACTGTAAATATTTAATATTAATAATAATTCTGAAATAACTCACTTAAATTCAAAAGTACACATTTCACAAAAGTGGTTTAAATTTGATTGTAAGAATGTACAAACTGGACATTGCATTTGATCATCCATTTTTGCTCCTGTTTCTGGTTTAAGATTGGGCATGAAGACTTGTACTTCTTCATCGATTCTCACTCTAAAATAAATGCAAATCTATACTGCTTCTTTGCTTATTATTATGGAGCAGAGCTAGTCTAATCATTATAATTAATGTCCATGGTTTCAATGAACATTCCCCAATCCATGGAAGGGATTGTCTTCATAATTGTAGTCAAGTAAACAGTAGTACGAGGAGGAACAACCTTGCAAATTTTAGCTGGATGTCTAATGATATTTTGGATTAGAAGTACTTAAAATTGACCATAATATCTGGATCAAGGGTAATCTAATAGGTTATATGTAGGGTTTGATTGGTAGTATTGTTCAACATGAATCTCTTCAGCATTGGAGCAATTTGAATATCTACATCGCAGTGTATCAGTTATTGTGGGGTCTCTCCAAATTAGCTAAAAGTAATAGAATCTTTACTTACACAAGAGGGATTGTATTATTAGCCTCACTCTACTTATTTGATTCTACGATGTGTTCCAATTCCATTGAGAACTGAGATAGTTGCATCATTGAATCTTATTCGGCCTTGCTTTATTCGGCAGTAGGATTGGCATCAGTTCCAAAATCAATTCCATCAATTACATCCTTCTTTTTTGGAAGAGGAGGAGGTTTTGGAATAGTAAAGGATCCTTACTTTTAGATAAGGTTGTGGATATTTGATGAAGCATCTATTTTCACTGTCTACAAGTAAATGTTATCATATAATATGTTGCTTGGGAAGACACTATTGGTTGTCATAGTAGGTTTAGATTCAGCAAAATGGATAGTGGATTCATAACACTCTAGGATGACTCCATCTACTTATACGACACTTGAAACTAGTTCTGTCTGGATTGTGTTGCCTATGATGTAGATTGGTTGAATGGAATCATAGAAGCCAATTTCTGTAACTTAAGAATAGTAGTTCTTAAATTATTGCCAGAATTGGAATGTTTCTTCAACTTCCTTTTGTTTATTGAAAAAGATGGTTGTTGCTATCACTGGATACTTTTTACAATCATCCAAAAATTCATTCAGGAATCCTTCAAACCAATCTGTGTATTTGGAGTATAAATAACATGGGGGTGGTAGATTAACCAAATAAGAAAATACTAATTTGTTTGCATTAGCAGCAGCCAGAACCATCTTCATCATTTGGATAGCCACATTTTAAAATCTCTTTTAATTCTCAAATAATAAATTCAAAATGGAAAGATTATCATTTTGAGAACCGATATGAGATTAGTAAAGTATGCTTTGATAAGATAAATTGGTTGAGCAACCTGTTGTGTATTTGTCTTGATAATTAGGTTCTGGAAAACCAAGTAACCATTCAATACGCTCTTATTGATAAGAATCATAGATGTTAAGTAGATTGTAGGCTAGACCTAAGAATTACCCTATAATTTCATAGTTGGCTTTGTTGATTTCTTCAATTAACACCTCAATCACAGATCTAGATAGAGGTTCATTATCGAATACCATTCTCTAGATGATCAGCTTAACTGTTTCGAAATCCTGACATTCTATCAACGCTCTTTTATAAAAGATTTAGGTTTGGAGACAAATCATATCATTTTTTGATAACACATAATGCTGGTCTTACAATAAGTAGTAAATGCATTAGAAAAGTTAAGAATAGTATGGGACAACCATTTTGCTTGCCATTGTTATTTTCTTCTCAGAGATGAATTCATAAAATTACGTTTTTTGTAATCCTTAAGGAGATTACTTTTCCATAAAGAAATCCGCAAAAATTGAAACCAATTCTATTTAACTAGCAAATTTGACGTTGATTGTTGATGATTTGACAAAATCCTTCCAAAAAGTGAAATATTGAGTGAATTTAGTTGGATTTTTGGCAACATCATTTTATAGTTTCTGTAGTAGATCTAATAAGAACCTCATCACAACTTGATCGCAACTTACTGATGAATTATCTGGCTATAGAACTTAGAGTAATTCAGTGTTCAATTAAAGAGCATGAATGTAAACCATGACATTTATATAATGCAAGAGGATTTGCTGGATAGCTTATCTAATAGTGTAATCAGGAGCACACAATAATACATTAAATACTCTCTATTGACGATCGACTATCAGTTGTCGGAAAACATAAAAAGCACCTGTTGGTATTATGTTAATGAGATTCATGATGATAAGCACATAACTTTTGATAGTGGAATGATCAGATGACCTAGCAATCAATTCTATTGCTGTGTATGTCATATTGGATAGCAATAATTGAATATTTTCAGTTCCCTGTAGGTCCTAATAATTATTGTAAATGCCAAAATACTAAGGGACCTATTCTGGATTTGTGATTAACGTGTAATCCTTAGGATATGGAAAAGCCTCTCCAATTTCCTTAACAAACCTAAAGAACTCCTCACTGTAAACATGTCTCTCTACCATAAATCTGTGATTATCATGCCAAATTTCCTAATACAAAGAGTCTGGTATGTGTTGTTATGTCATAGTTTTATAATCTAATTTATATGTAAGTTCCTGATTGTTCTCCTCTTAAATGACACTATCGAATTTCTGCATAATCTCTTGCTTTTATTGTAGATCAGCGAATTTCAATTCGACTTGTTCTTTCTGGATTCTCTCGTAGACTAAGATGTAAGCATTAGTACTACTGCCAGACTCTTGAAAGTCCTGGCCATCTTCTGTATCTTTGCCTCCGTAACATTCATATGGTAATCTTTTCACATCGAAATCTTCAATCACAGAATCATTGAATTTCAACCACTTTTCATCCTTGGTATTAATCAAACTATAATAATGTCCATATAAAGCAGTTCCTTTGTGAACTACAACTCCTTTCAATTTGTATTAGTAATATGATTGCTATTTGATGTCAGAGTTAAGCAATCCTTCTCTTGTATACTATTATAGATTTAGATTGTGTGGGAATTCCAAACGAGTGCTTAGTTTTTCATTCATGAAGATATCTAGATTGAATACAATTCTTTGGATATGTACTATCAATACATTTGGTAGGGTTTGTAAACATTGACGTTTGATGAGATCATTCTTTTGTTTGCATTATTCACAATAGTAATCTTTGATGACCTCTCCATTAATCATGCTTTCAAAGGATTCATGGATTGATTTAACACCTTTGACTTTTACTGAAAGAGTGTAAAACAGATCAAATTTCTCTCTCATATTTTTGCATCCACTACATATCATTTAACTGCAAGTCTACCCACCATAAATGGATTCAATAAATTGTTGCCAACCTTTATTCTTTAATTAATTATCCAGACGATCAAAAAACTGATTTAAGAATTCTTAAGCATCTTACTATAAGGATACATTGACTGGTTGATTATCGTAATCCTTAAAAGAATAACAAAAATGTTGAGGATTGAAATCGGGTCTTTCACTCAATTCTAAATAAGCAAGTAATCTCTAGAATTGGTGAATAGAGTTATCATCTATTTGATGTTCTAGACCCTGATTGTCTTTGTAATTAACCACTTTGTTTTCAACACCATCCTCTGCTCTCAACATACTGTATCTGAATTCTGGAGTCATAAAGAATTGCTGCATCATGGCATTCATGTAACAAATGCATCCCAAATTTCGGATGCCAACAAAACCGTGGTATGTTTTGGGATTCAATTTTATGTCAAATCCACTAAAAATAATGATTTGGTAAATGATTATATTTAAATCCAACAGTTCAGGATTGTAATTCTATTTCAAATACAATATTATTATTCTATAAACAATCTTTCTACTCTCGGGAGATTTGCTCTTCACATAATCTGGAGTATGTTACTTCTAGGGAGTAAGTTAAAATGTATTTAAATGGAAACAAAATAAATGAACTTGGTATAAGTACATGATCAATTGTTATGTCAATATACTTTGATCCACAATACTCAAACTTTCTAAAATGGACAGCAAACCTGTGAGAGTCTTATCTGATGTCAACCCAATTCTTGATTCCGTTGGCTCATATTCTTTTAGCTATGTAATGATATTCTCTGCAAACTGCCTATCACTGTATTTAGATTCCTGAATCAACTTTGCCAATAAATCGAAATATGATTAAGAATCCTTATTTTCATTTTTTGGGAATTATTCAATCAACATACTTATCAGAGTTCTCCCCAATTGATTCTAACATTTGAAAATCAAATACAAAGAGTTTCCTGCAAACTTTCTTATTAATAATTGTTTTGGAGCATACAAAAATTATTCGTACCTTTACTTTATTGATTGGATTGAAGAAACAAAGTAATCATAACAATCTCCTAGATTGAATCCAACGATGGTTGTGATTAAGATTAAAGCAAATTCTATTATAAATCTATCATCAGCGATATCCACTTGCATTTTGATGATGTATTTTAGTAAATCAACATAATCTATTTGTACATCTAAGCCATCCATAAACTTGACTAATTCTAGGAAATCTTCAGTCTCCTTCACTCTCAATACGGGTTTATTGTCAGATTATGAAGGGTAAGTGCCATCAATTATCTATGCGATGATATCAAATGTTGCTTAAATTGGTTGTTTAACGTGTTGCTGAATTTGATAGATATTCTTGAATTAGGGTTGGAATTAAGCAGCTATGTGTCGACTGAGAATATTCAAAATCAGGCATTACACCAATTTAACAATCTTAGTGTCTTCTTATTCTAAATTATTTAAAATGAATTGCAATTATTTGAACCCTCCATATTTAACAAAGTTTCTACAATATTCTTCAGTGTATAAAAGATGTTCTATAATTTTGATTGAATATATTAATTGATATGATCTATCCTTAGTGAAATCTTCAAAGTTAAGTATGCGTTATTTGGCTGCTTCAAAAACTGGCAAAGAACACAATAACTTCCAACATTCCTAAGCAACCTCATCACTTTGATTAATGAAGTGAAACATCAATCTATAGAATCTTTCATTGTGAGCCAATTGATAACGAGGCAATTTCTGTTCATCCAAGTCAATTTCATCATTATCTATTAATGTTAAATCATTCTTATAACCGAATGAATGCAAGTTCTTCCAAACTATAGACGAGATCTTTTATTAAATACAACAATCCTCATAAAAAGATATAAAGTTTTCAACTGCTAAATATCCTTTCTATTCTCCATACAAGACCCACACTTCCTTGATTTTCCTTCCATCCTTAAAACTCTCATCATTTGCAGCCTTCACTCCAAAACTCGACAATTGCTCTGAACTCATCTTACCGTCTGTTGAATACAACTCAAACAACTTATGCAAGACTTTAATAAATTTAGGTGTTAATTTGTTATCCTCAACCAAAGGCAATTAAGGAATTGGCTTTGTCTTTCTTCTGTACACATTTATCACTTCACTCTTTCTGACATTCATCTGTTTCAATGTCTTACCATTATCTGTATCCTACACTGTCACCCCATTTCTGACTAATTTCACCTATTCCCAATTAGTTTATAACTCTTTTGCTATCACTCTTCTCAATTCAAACATAGTCATTCTAGAATACACCTTTATTGTTGTTCTGTTACTAGGAGCTCCATCTCCCATGTCATTTATGATATTGATACTAAATCCGTCACCTTTCACTAATCCATCCAATGAAAGCAAGGATCCAACACCCTTCGTTTCAGTTTCATTCAATAAATTTCTCAGAACTTCCAAGCATTTAAGTATTGTCTATTCGTTTGTACAATCCATCTTATCCAAGATCCTGTCTATGAATTGTTCTTATTGTGATAAATTCAATTTCACTAACAATTAAACTGCTTTATCCAATTGGGAATTAAACACTATGTGCCATAAATATTCAATTCCTATAATTTAATTCACATCCGCTAGTAGAGACAATTCAATTTGCTAGTCGTTTTCATTTACATTTGTATTGGTCATACTGATCACATTTCCATATTGATCACAATTTTAATTCACGTTTGATTATTGTCTATGTAATCGATGCTGTTTTTAATTTATATAGTACAATATTGCCTAAAAGCAATTGAATGCACTTTCAGTGAGATGAGAATCTGAATTCAACAATCGACTGTAAAATGTATCTAATTAAGTTTGACTGAATTACTCATCTTTCTCTACTAAATCTCTTAACCAATTACTGGCCATGTCGCATTCCTATTTACAAATAGGTCTCAAAATCAACTCATTCCAAATCAGATCTAAAAACTATTGATCAATGATATCTGTAGCAGTGCCATTAATTTTAATTAAAGTTTTAATCAATAGAATTCTTTCTTATAATTTATTCATATATCTTGCTGTTTCTTATAGGTTCTCTGCATTAATGACTCTATTTGAAATACGAAGATTCTCTATGTTTTATCTTAATATTTGATGTATATTAGATTGTTGGATAAGCTCCTTCACAAATTCATCTTATGTGATCTCCTCCACTTTGCTTTCAGTGTTAGTAGATTATTCAATTTCTTCTTTGATTTTCTATGTAAGCATAAGATTGGGATTGTTCTACACAAATGGGTAAGTCATAACTTAAGAAGGTTAGGTTTCTACATTATTAGCTGGTAATTGTGGTTATTATTATGGCTATTGTTTTGATGGAAATGAACATATTAAATGAGATAATGTTTTGATTGACGAACTCTCTACTTTCATTTATTATATATTAGACATCAATTTCTGAACCATTTAAACTTTAATTTCTTTAATCTCTAGATTCTTGATCAAATCACAAAGATATGACCTTGATTTATCTTCTAATGCCTGCTTTTATGATGAACCAGCATATTCGATTATTCTCCATAAATTATCGATTGTCATAATAATCAATTCTTAATTTTTAATTTAATATCTATTCATCTCAAATAATAATTAAACATGCTCAATCAATATTTAATCCTCTTTCAATTATTTGATTTGTTCCATAAAGAAAATCACATGATAATCTCTCATAGCAAAAGCAATTTCATTTATCAATTTAAAAATGATGGGTCTCAATTCATTATCATTTTACTACATCAAATCCCAGATCATAGACATATGTTTGGCAGTAAATGCATTATCGATGTTCAAATAAATTCTAATCAATTCTTTAGTTCTCTCCAATAGTTGCAGATGCGTATTGTGATGAAGCAATGTCTCCATGATGTTCTCAGAATCAATCCATTACAAGACAGTTTAGGGACACTTGTCAAGACTAGCTTACTTCAACATATCAGTCAATAACTTTAATCCCATAATTTTCTTATCCAAGAAATTGCAATTGAAACAAACCTACACAAATTCCAAACTCAACTTTTAAAGCCATTCTCTCCTTTGATCCTCACTCATAATTCTATCCAAGAGTACTTTAAAGGCTTGGATAATCAAATTCATCTTTTCTCTTCCCATGTTTCTCAGGGTTTGCTCATCCGAATGAAGCAGAGTTTATCTCAATCCCTGCAATTTTGGAACATACTCTTAACAGAATGATCTGAACAATTAAGCATGAATGTTGCCAATAGCAGACATGTAATTGGCTAGAATATCCACTGATTAGATGTTGAGTATCTTTTCAAATCCTCCAAAATAACCAAAATAATTGATGAATTAAATTAAAAGGAAACTCTTTGATTGCTTAGGTCTCAAGATGGCATGGAACTTCTCCTCCTAATAGTCTTATTCATATAGGATATCATAACTATCGTCAATGTATTATTCAATTGAATTGAATTTCCTTACGATGTGATCGCCAGATAGTGCCAATCGAGGATGACATGCAGTTATTTATTCGTCATGATATTTGTTATAACCAATGTATTTCATCTGAGTTCCATCGTCTATGGAATTTCCATCCTCTGTATAAAATCGAAATGCCACATTGTATTTTAGAATTTGCTCAATATCCTGATCCTCTATGCGCTCTTAGATGGTGCTCAACACCCATTTATCTGATTGAGTTGCCAAGATCACCTAGCCTACTTAAAGATTGAACATTTGATCTAATCTTTGAGATCGAGTCCTGTATGGCATGAGATTGCCACTTCTTATATTGTAAATATGTTTGACGGACTGCTCATTTAAATATCTAACCTTTATGCTATCCTCAGTGCGTTCTTCGACCACTCCTCTTGACCAATTCAATCTGGCAGTGCTACGACAGTTGCGCAGACAATCTACGTAAGCTCCTTCTTAAAGTTGATCGATGAATTACTTATATTGAGGATTGAGAGAGTAAGAATATTTAATGAACTAACTTTATTCAATTGATTACTTGATCATGCCATTCAGTACGATGTGCATTATGCTCATATATCATACGAGACGGATCCATTATGGTCCTAAACATTTAGCTTACCTTCTCATCTTAGAGATTATTGGAAATGTATTTCAACACACACTTTATGAATGACTCTATATTGAAAAGCACTCTATCAGGATAAGCTTTATGATTGATGACGAAATTCACACATATGTTTACTAACTCTGGCAAATATTGTCGACCATCTGCGGTGACAGTCTCCTCCATATACTACTCCACTCGTTATAATGCTTGCAGAATCGCTTCATATTACTATTCACTCTTGGCTGTCTTTAACTTATCCACTTAAGGCACCAATTATTTCATAGCCTGTATTTCTTCACTCATTTATATTTATATTACATCTTAAATTTTACAAATGAAGTTTATATAGTATATAAAATAACTCAATCCAATCCTCAAGTCAACCATCTTCATTTGGATCAACCGAGAATCTACACCTCCCTTTCTAATTCTTACATAATATTTCTTTATTAATCTATTAACCCCTACGTCAATTAATAATATTTTTAAATTTCAATATTCTCCATTCATAATTTTCAATGAAATCTGTCATATTATACATAACTTAATTGCATACATGATGGAAATATGATGGAAATGGTGAAGTTTAATTTGGATCTCCCTTAAGTAATACTTTTTTATTAGTATTACATTTAAATTATCCCTTCTAAAGACTCAAAAGATCAACATACATTGAATACCTTATTCACGCGAAATATGATTAAATTTTGATTCATGTGATAAGATTTAACTTGATAAGAGAATATATTATTTTTAAAGGAAAATACATAATTTTTAAGACAAATTCTTTGAATCTATCATTTAAGGGAACAATCGGAGCTAAATTTCACTAATATCATATATTAATAACCTTTTTGAATAAAAAAATGTTATTAACTAACTTAAGGTTAATCAATTTAGAATTTTTATAAGTTTCGAGTAAATTAGTTGTGCAAATCATAGAAAGGACATAAAAAATAATAATTTTATCAGAATATTATATTATATGGAGATTGTGACAAGGAGGCTTACTTAAAATGAAGAAAGAGTTAATTAATTATTTTCATAATTTTTGACCTTATGATAATAAATATACTTAATAAACAAGATTACTCAATCTACTAATAGTCATTAATAGTAAAATTAAACAACCTTCAAAACTCATAATTTCTCCAATAGAATTACTTAATTAGACTAAGAATAATTAATTACTATATTGAATTTTATAAATGATTTGTAACAATTGTGTTTTTCAAAATCATTTAAATCTTGATTATCGTTACAAATATCAATAAACTTTAGATATCCCATAATTACTGAAGATATTAATAAAAGTAAATCTATTGATGATATTATGATATTTTCTTCTCTTAAACCTGAAAGCAAGTAGTATAATGTTGTTAAACTACTAATTAAATTATTCTATGATGATTCTATTGGTTGTAAAGCCATTCAATTTCTTGACTATTTATTATGTGTTATTTTAACATATTTCAAGATTATTGCAATAAACCACATATATATTAGAATTTGCATTCCATATGTATTTCTTAAGTTCATTTTTTAATCTTCAATTTTCAATGTTAGATTAAATCTTTGAAAAAGATCTAATTTAAAAATCCTTTTTAGAGATAAGTGATTGATTTCTTCTTAATTCATTTATTAATAACTAATCAAAAATCATCAAACATATGTTATTTTTCATCGTCAATTGGTTGAATGTCATCTCTTTCCTCTGGATACTTATCAAACCATTGAGAATCTGTTTCATTTCTTAAAAAAGGTATCCATGGAGGCTGGATTTTCTTCTCAAAAACCTTTTGCCATGGAACACCCCTAAAGAATTTGTGATTCATCAAAGCTGCCCCTTCCTAATTTAACTAGATTTAATTACATCTTCAACTCCCAATCTCTTATTAACATCTGAATTTAGTAATTTCCTTATAACGTCTTTGGCCCTGACGTGTAAGAACTTTGGAAACTCTATAATGCCATTTAAAATCTTCTTATAGATATTTGTTGGCTCAATATCATAAAAAGGAGGATGACTAATTGAGATATGAATTTAAATGTATACCCTGCTAACATCTCGAAAATCAATACTCCTAAAGCCCACCAATCAATAGATTTTCCATATCCTGTTTTTGCTCCTTAAATCAACTCAGGAGCCAAATATTCAGGCGTACCACACAAGGTTTAAGTATGATTGTTTTTAATCTTTTTTGCGAATCCAAAATCTGCTATTTTAATGTGTCCTTCCCTATCAATCAACAAATTCTCAGGCTTTAAGTCTCTATAAACAATGTCCTTTCTGTGCAAATGTTAAATTGCCAGTAATATCTCCGATACATAAAACAATGTAATATCCTAACTAAATCTGCCATCTTTTCTCAATCGAGAAAACAATTCACCTCCTGATACAAATTCAAACAACATATAAATGCATTTCGCGTCTTAAAATGAGCCTTTTAATTACACTAAAAATGGATGCTGGATTTCATTCAAAATATTCTTTTCTGATTTGATATGATCCACCTATTTTAATTTAATGATGTCATGTTTCTTCATTATTTTCAAAGCATAAACTTGTCGACTTGGATCACGTTTTATGCGAACTTGTTTTACACGTCCAAAAGTGCCAGTGCCCAAAGTTGTGTACACCTCAAAACTATCTATCGAGAGATTTTAGAAAAGTTATTTATCATTAGGTTTTCCTTAAACAGACTAAAATGTTGGCTCCTCATCCGATGAATCCTCATTCATTCGTTCAAGTTGCAATTTTTACAACTTACGTTGAAGTTCTTCGATTTGAAGTTGGTTCATGACAGTTAATAAAATTAATATATATATTTATTTATCTATCAAAATGATTTCTAGTTTACTCAAATTATTACGATCCTTTCTGGATCTGAAATATTGCTTCAAATAAATAATAGACATAAATTAAGATACTAGAAATGTTTCAAAATTAAAGAACAATATTTGATAAGATTTAATTAATTAATTAAAATCCGCAACAATAGTATTTTATGTATATTCATCAATGAACTACATATTCATAAGTTTTTGTATAAATAAAATTGATGTTCTTTTTATGGTATTCCAATTGTAAATATATGTTTGGTTAATATTCTTGTTATTCATTGTAGATGAATAACATGGATCTTTATATTTAGAATTTTATTTTGATAGTATTATGTACATTTATTAGACAACCAGTCTTTAAGGGTCTTTATTAATGATATTCTAAATTGATTATCAAATTCACGTTTATTTATTATTAGATGGTGTGTTTTAGTTGATGGAGTTATTTGATTGATGAGGGCACTTTCTTAAATTGAACATCAAAATGAATTTAGTCGTATATGAAAATAAATTAATAAATATGTTTAAATTGATCACATTTGTTATGAAAATACTTGTTCTGATTAAGCTATGTTAAGGGAGCATAATAAATACAAAACAAGTAACTATTTATTCAAATACTGACATAATTATTGACTCTTTTGATGGAGTGCTTGTAGATTCCAATTTTACTTTTAATTAAGATTTTCAACTCTCAAATCCTTGTAGTACATTTCCATAAACGATTAATGTGACTCCGTATAGCAAAAACATCACACAAATAATAAATTAGGCTTTTGAGGACAATTTTGTGGATGGACATCAAAAGAGTTCAACACCTAAATTAATCGGAATTGGGAAGGTGGGATTAGGAATAATAGTGTTGAGTTAATAAGGTGTTTTAATATTTTATACTTAAGAAAATAACAAGTATGATATAAGATCATTATAGCAGTACTAAGAATTGAATGGAATTGAAAAAGCATTTATAGAGTTTTTAGAAGACTAAATAGTGATTTTAAGTGATAGAGATGCGTGGATTCTTAAACCTAATTTTAGTTAGCATAATATATTTGAAAATGCTCATTTAGACAATGTTCACATGTAAGTTGGTCTTGGTAATATTCATAAATTGCATACAATATAAAACTATTTGTTTCTGACCTTTCTTAATTAGGGATTCGGAATTTATAGACTGGAAAATGCTCAATTATAGATTCTCCAAAAAGTAGAACTCAAGTCTATTATTGATTCTTTGGTAGTTGTAAAAGAGGATAAAATAAATGTGTTAATTTTAGATCGTGAAGTTGGTATTCATTTTTATGTGTACAACAAAATCATTAATGAGATGCACAAAAATTAGATCATAAATACATTTAAGATCAAATGCAGTTTCTTTGAGTACGTGCAATCTAATTTGTTTATACTGACAACTCAAGACAATCCAAATTTGAATACCTTATCAATATATACTCTCGACTTTTAAAACCCTACTTTAAATCTCAAATATTCTAAGCTAATAGAAGGAGAAGTGTAAGGCATTGAAATAATTACAGATCACTTCATCCTTTATAATCGAAGCTAAATAACAGTGTTTTATGGTAATTTAGGAGAAATTATCAAACTTGATAGCACAAATTTCTTGATACCTGGGACTAGGTAATTGATTTTCAGAAAAAATGAATAAAAATAAAATCAAATTGTAGGTATTACAAATAATGAGTTTTTTGCACTTGATGTTTCTATCTCAAAAATTCGTCTTGTATGTTATGTTACTCAAGATTATCCAGATGAATTTTCATTCAATTATGAATTATCAACTGTTTTACCTACAGAGAATAACTCAATAAAGTATGATATTTTTGTCATTTTCCCATTAAAGAGATAGCAAAAAATGAATTGGATTCTTACGGTTATTTTTATTATTTTTTGTCTCAGCATAAGCATCTTAATTGTTTTGTTGTTGAATTGGCACAAATACTCAAAAATTAAGAATCAAACAGGTGGTCAATTTTAAGAATTCGGAATAGATACTCTAAAAACAACTAAAAGAGTAGAACCATAGATGAGAGGACATGAGGAAACGGATAAAAATGTGCAATGTTGTGATGTCATTTAGACTTGTCTTCCAGCTAGTCGACACCCTATTATCCAGAATGAACATTAACACTGAATTAAATTATTTATAAATAATATTTTAATTCCATGAAGAAAAATGAAATTGAATTTCAGGATAGTTCTATTTCCATTAAGAGACAGCCACTTTTAAATAGGAAACAAAGTTAGGACAGGAAAGATGGTCTTGGAAAGTCATCTTATCGCGATGATCCCTTAGGCTAATTAAAAAAATCTATTCTTGAAGCTAGTGCGCATTAATAGTTTGATCAACATGTATTAATTTGAATATAGTAAGCCATCTCTTTAAGAATTATATGATTCCTTAGCCTTAATGAGTCTCGAATAAAAATGCCATCAGCTTTTAAAATCGGTCTAAGAATAAGAAGTCTAGGAAATTCTAGCCATCTTAGATCATTTTAATACAATTTCACCTCGGCCAAAACTCAAAAATATATATGACTAAAAATAATAGACTATTCTTCATATATCATGCTTTAAAAACTTACCAACTGCTGTTGAAAGGATCTTAATGTATGAGAAGGCTAATTCAACAATTGAGGAATTCAATAACTGGATAAATTTAAAAAATAAGGATTCCTTCGCATCAGTTCATTTTGCTGCATATGCAGGATCAATAGAAACATTAGAAATTTTAAAAAAATATGGAGCAGATACTAAAGTTAAAAATTAATAGGGTCAAAATGCACTATCCATTGCAGCATAAGGCGATCAAGTGTCTGCTATGGTTTGGCTATATTTGCAAGGGTTGTCCTATACTGAATAAGATGAAAAAGGGGGAACTCCTTTACATTGGGCTACTTATTATGGAAGTGAGTTTGCAGTGCAATTTTTGCTGAGTTGGTTACAAAAAACCAAGGAGGGCAAAAAAATTATTAACTAGTAAGATACAGAAGGGATGACACCTTTACATTTAGCAGCAATGACAGGAAATTAAAGAATTGCTAAAAAACTTCTCTATAAAGGGAGCTAAAAAAGCCTTAGGGACATTAAAAATTAAACTCCAGCCTAAACAGCGTTAGATAATGGATACGATATAATCTATAAAATTTTGGAAACAAATAATTGTCTAATGGAATTTTTAAATATCCGAGCAAGGTAAATGCTAAGTTCACTCTTATTAGTTATAAACCTGCCTCAATCAGTTGGAGTTAGATTTGTTCATTTTTTTTAATTTATTTCTATTGCATGATTGGCTCCGTTATTTTTGTATATCCATTTTTTGATACTGATACTTGGTTATAGTATTTATCAATAGCATCATTTTTGATTGGACTAGTTTTTTATTTTTTGACCATGTACATAAGTCCAGGGTATGTTGAAAAAAATGATGATTCAAGAAAATTATTCTCACTTCTCACTTAATATGAGCCTTGGGAACTCTGTCCAGAATGCTAAATACATAAACCATTAAGATCTAGACATTGCGAATTTTGTTCAAGATGCGTCATTGTCTACGATCATCATTGTCCTTGGTTAAACAATTGTGTAAATATTTATATTTTTAATTAAGATAGGAGCTAAAAATTATCCCTATTTTATATGCTTTATTTTGACCATCTTTATAAACTTAATTCATCTAATTATATTGAACGCAATATTTTTGATACATTATTATCCTGCTAACTTAAATAATCCTCATTATCCATGGTTCAATAATGTCACCAATTTAAAGGCACTCGATATCTCCAAAATATGCGTTCAATCCTCTATTTTAATTTTATGCATACTCTTTCTATTCCCCTTGGCATACTTGATCTATGTTTAAATGGATAATTTATTTAGAAACATAACTACTTTTGAAAAATATCGACAAGAAGAACAAACTAATGTTTAAGGATCAAAAGAAAAGAAGAGTCAGCAAAGTATCGAGTATATAATACCATTATTTTAGATCTACTTCATCTATTAAATCATAAGTGTAACATAATATATCATGTTCAAATTGTATAGAAATGTGTTGTAACAATTCAAAAAATACTTCATTTCAAATTTGACACATTAAATATTTATTATAATTTGAATTTTATTCTATTAAATTTTATATATCGAATTAATAAATTATATAGTTAAATTTTTGTAAATCATTGAAAAAAAGTGATATCTTATAAAGTTCATATTTTTTGACTTATCCTTTTAATAGCGTTTAAAAAATTATGATTTAAAGATTAAATTAATAATTAATTGGTTTCATTACTTTTTAGTGTTTTGAAAAAATAAAATCTAGAGTCATTTTAATAAAAAAAAAATAGATCTACTTTAATTTTTTATATTTATAATTATTTTAGAAGAAATTATGTATGAGATATTCCAAATTAGAAGCTATTATGTAAAGTATTCATTATACAAAATTTACAATAAAAATATCAATCGTACCAGTTATTTATGCTTTTGCCATTTGGATTTGATTTCTAATTAACATTATGCATCATTTAATTATATTTTTCTCTCCCTGTGTCCAGAATATCTTATTTTTGCAAATATTTGTAAAATATTGGTCTTTTAAAATTAATTTCTTATTCTGTTAATTCTTCCTAAGAGAGAGCAAACTCTTTTATTTGAACAGCAATCTTCTCATTAATTTTTGATTCTTTCATAATGTCGAATTAATATAATTATAAGCCTTCTGCTGATAACTCAAGACTCTGTACATCTTTATCAAAGCCTTAATGTTCAAAGTTTTTAAAAGGTATTGAATAAGTATTCCACATTTAAGATTAATCAACAATGTATGCCTAAGGATGAAATTTATTTATACATAAGCGTGATGTTATCCAAAATCATATGATGAGTTAACTCCTATTCTTATTTTATAGATTTAACCATCTGTTCTCATTTTAAAGAGGATTTTTGTAAATTTGGCGATATTGACTGATTTCGAATATTTATATTCAATTCCAACATAAGGTAATGATTCTAATTACTTTTTCTTATCAATTTGGATTTACCCCAAGAATGTAACTAAAATGTAAGAATTATATGTACCAGCTTCGTCTTCTTCCTTAAAGACAACAACACCTTTACTATCACCTCCTATGAGTTAATCTGTAAAAACATTAAATTTCTACTCATTTCCTTTTTCACAAAAAGTGTCCATAACAACAACAGGTGAACTTTTTAGATGGAGTGTGTATGGAGTAGCTAATTATTTTACTTTTTAGAATATTTTCATGTATTTATTTATTATAATTGAAATATTACAAAGTCATCCAAAAAAAACTTATGATCTATTTCTATATGTTTCAGAAGGTGGTTATAATGGAGGTAAATTATAGTGCCCACTTCCTTCATTTAAGATGAATTTGCCAATTAGTTTAGCTGAGCTTTCTGTAACTCTTGGTGAAGTCAAGGGAAATAAAGCTTGCTAACTTTAATATCTCTATTAATATTTCATTGGTATTGAAGTCTGTTTGCTCAGTTCTAAAGGCGTGAAGATTTTACTATCCTTAAAGATGTCATAAATGATATACCTCTGGTTTCTTAAATCTTTGATAAGAAACATTTGAAATAGTTGATAGATTGTTCATGGTAGTAATCTTATCGGTATTTTTGATGCAATCTTGTTTGTCATACCATTGATATTGTTCAGTGTGAGTTATTTGATTCTTATGATCTATCAGGTTGAATAATAATATAATTACTTTAAAGTGTTCTAATATAGGTTTTCTTCTATCCATCATATAGAACTTATCTATATAGTGGATTGGCTTCTGGATTGAGCATGAGATATAATAAATAATAAATATATTAATATTAAGTTATATATTTTTAATATCACATTCACACTCCATTTTAAATTAGACTCTTTAGACTTAACTCAACCTTCATTTTAGGTCGATTTGAATCTAATACTATTTCAATATTAGATACCTTATTTGATAAGAACTCTTTAGGTTGGACACCTACTAAGATCGACTATCACATGAGATTGATTTTAATTATGGGTTTCCTTAACCTTAACTTAAATCAATTTATTTTAAGATCTGTCAGTCCTTAAAGTTCTTTGATTGATAGTTGATATATTATTCTCTTTCGCCTGTCTGAAGGGGGATGCAGAGGGAGTAGTCCTTTAAGTGGTTCTGGGAGTAAGTTTTGATGCAATTGCATTCTTAATAAAAGGGGATTTGCTTCTTTGTTAATTGCTAGGCTAATTGTTCTATGGTCTTTGTAGAAATTATCTATATGGAGATGTGCTTCTCTTGGGAGAGACATCTTTATTTTTGCTTGGTTAAGGTTAGTTTTGACTAGGCTAATTGATTTTGTGCTGTGGCTGAGTTTTATTAATTTAATAGTTTAAAGTTTCCGAGGTTTGTTTGGAAGTAATGCTGTGTTAACTATTAGTATTGGTGGATAGTTTTTGGGATTAGTCATCTTGTTACAGGTACTTGAAGATGGAATGCATATGGTTTATTTGCAGAATCACATCATTGTCTTAAACTATAGGTAATTCTTCGATTTCATATTGTTTTAGAGTCATCTTAATGGAATCAGGTACTGAGTATTGTTGAATAATTTTGCTATCAGGGATTTCCAAGGATCTGTTAGTGTCTGATTAAATAGTTTGGAATAACTCTTGGCATTCTGTAGTGGATGCTGATTCCTTACTAGTAGATTTATATCTATGGAGTAATTCTTGAACAGAGAAACAAACTGGTTTTTAAGTTGGTTTAATTGCATTATCAAAGGTTTTCATTTAGCAGTTAAACAAAATTTATTAATAAATTATCTTTACTATTGATAAAATGATTATGTTTACTAATCATAGAGGATTTTTTGAAGAAAGTCAAGTGCATTTATTATTAAAGAGAGAAAAGGTTCTGATTAAAAAGACATAATAATTAGAAAATTGAAATATATATTATAATATATTCAAAAAATGCAAAAGAGCAGCTTTGTTGAGTCTTAATCCTTTTTCTATAAATACATGTAACAAGCTATGAAGAATAAAAAGAAGGCTAATAATTAAGATGCAGCTGCAGTGAGATGTTAGAGATGTTTAAAATATGGTCATTTGACTTATGAATGCAAAAACGAAAATGTGTATTTGTATAGACCCTCAAGAAAAATGCAGTTTAAGTAAGAAATATAATCTATAATGATTTTAGAGAGAAATAATTACAATATGAATTAAATAATGTAAAGCCTCCTGAGGTTCCTGATGCATTTGATGGAGATTGAAAGAGAAACACAAAAAAGAAGGTACCTTTGGAGGTATTTTCAGATTCAAGTAGTGATGAATAAGTGCAGTTAAAAGAAAGAGGGAACCGCAATCAATGTAAAGAAATAAAAGAATTCATTATCTTCTGAGAGCAGTAGTGAGAACTCTAGTAGCAGTGATAGCGACTCATCTGCTCCATATTATAAAAGGAGTAAAAGTAGATCTAAGGATAAAAGAAAAAAAAAATGAATTTTATACATTTAAATAATTATCAATTAATGAGTAGTAAGAAAAAGAATATTTCCAAGAATGATGATGGTTATGATGAAGTGGGATATTTCTGTGGATGGATTAAAAAAAAGAATTCTAAAAATGTCAATATCGAATAGAGCAGACTGTCGGTAAATAAACAGACAAGAAACTCATTATATAAATCTGTACTAGACACCAGCAACCATAATTGCTCCTCATAATTGAACTAATTAAATTCGACTAACACTGAGACACAAAGGTAAATTAGTGATGCCTCGCCATTTGTAAGCAATTTTGTGGTCCCTAGTTTTGAGAATAATTATCCATAAAATTAGCTATTCTAACTTAAGAATAATTAAAATGGGGACACCATTTTTGCTAAAATCACATCAACAAAAATCGAAGTGTCCAAGTCTATGCTTATCAACGAAGATGTCTACAATAGTCAAAGAATTTCAGATTAAATCTCAAAATATATTGCCACTCGAATTAAAGACTAGATTAATTCATTAGCAGAATTAGGATGTGGAGATGGAGGAAACACTGTTCAAGTATGATATGAAATAAATAAAAGTTTGCCAATTATTTAGACTTTGTTATTGCAATTGATAAATCCACTGAAGCATGTTTGAAAACTAGAAAAAACTGTGATAAAGGCAATTAAAATCAAGATTTCCCTAATCCAAAAGTAGAAATCATAAATTCGGATATCTTTAAATTAAAACGGCGTTTGCCCTTTGATAGTATTTTCATTAATCCTACAATCAATTCAGAATCTGCCTTTATTTGTAGAGATTTATTAAAAGATTGTCAACCTAATTTGTAACAACTCTTAATGACGATTTCAGATCAAATTGAAAACTTAATTATCCAATTTCCTGCTCAAATCGATTATTCGCAATTACCTCTCCTATTAAATATAAATCAATAATATTAAAATAACACTTAACATAAATATTAATCACTAGTAACATAACAAAAATAATAATCATTTATTGCTCATTGTTCTTTAGAAATTGAAAAAATTTATGTTAATGGAGTGCACGTACAAAACATTATTTATTATGGCAAAATTGCCAATATTTCCAGAGAGGAATTACGATCAATCTTAACTACACAATTATAAAATTAAGAAGTTAAACCAGAAGCAATTTAGAATGTTATTACTAAATTGAAAGATAAAATAGGTATGTAATCCAATTTTAATTAAGTTTAGGAAGCTTAGAAGTTGTTTATGAATTACTTCAAGCCTAAAGTTTTAAGTACAATATAGATAAATTTTTAGAAGTAGTTTGTGATAAGTATAAATTAGACTATTGTGATTACGGGTTTATTCTTTATCAAAAGTTATCAAAGTAATATATTGAGAATAATCAATAATTAGGGAATTTTCATAGAATACATTTAATTATCAATATAAATTAAGAGATTCGCATAATGAATTACAATAATCTGAATGCGCATATAGTCCCAAGTTCTCTTATAATTTGAATGGATTGCAAATAGATGACTCTGATTCTTTAGAAGAGAATGAGGATATTGAAGCACTGGGTTTAAGTTAGGATAATAAGTAAAATAAATTGAAATGATTTCATTTAATATATTTCTTAATCAAAACTTGTAGTTACTCTATTCTAACTGGTTTTATGATGTAATCCTTCATTCCACTTTCTAATGCTTTGCTTAAATTATCTTCTGTATCGTATGCCGAACACATAATGATATTTAATTTGTTATCAATTTATAGTAATTAGGTTGATGTTTGATATCCATTTAACACTGGCATTTCAATATCCATAAAGATTATTTTGTATTATGCTTTCTATTAGAGATTCCGTTTCTTAATTTAATTTATAGCCTGATAGCCATCATAAACAGTGTCACTTTCATAACCAAGGTTTTTAATCAGTAACTTCAAAGAAATCAGATTAAAAACTACATCATCGCAAATTAGTATCTACGACATTGCTTCACTTTAAATCAGTCTATTAGAGAAGAAGGTTTGAGTCAAAAAAGGAACCTGGTGTTGCTCCTATTAGTTATTTTCAATATCAAATTATTCTGACGAAATGATGTGGTCGATTTTAATGGAAGAAATCTTTGGTCCTAAGGAATAAGAAGTTATTTAGTTAAAAATTCTGAAACTCACTTTTGTAAACTACCCTTCCTTGCTTCTGATCTTGAAATATGATTTTTTAGAATAAGCCAATTCATTGCTCATCCTACTTCCTATTGTGAATCCCAATCCTACATATTTGGTTGTGAAGTTCTTTAACTAATGATATACATCATCAGCGACAGAAGTATGGATAATATTATTAATGGCATCCAATTCTGATTTGGCTATTCCTCTACCTGTATCATGGACTATAAATTTGATAAAATTATCTTTGATTATTCCTGAGCTTTTTTGTTTACTTTTAGCTGTAATACAAATTGCATCATTTTCTCTGGTAAATTTGAGAGAATTATTAATTAAATTAACTAAGAGCTACAATATCCTTTCAGGATCATTGTATATTATAATATTTTCAAGAGAGTCAAAAATTGAAAAGATCAGTTTTATTCCTTTTGTTGAACAGATTTCCAAATAGTATTCTTCCAATTATTTGAATACATCTTAAATAAGGAAATCACAGATATTTATTTGAAATGTTCCAAGACCGAATGAAGCATAATCTAAAATATCATTGATTTGATGCATCAGTAATTTATTTGAAACTATGGCAGGATTTAAATAGTTTTTTATAAGTTGACTAGAAATGGATTAAGTTTTCAATGCTTGTAGTAAGGTTAAGGAGCAATTGAGCGGTGTTCTCAATTCATGAGAGAATGAATTAAAATGTAAAGTCTAGAACTTTTGTTTTTGAATATATTGTTATAGTCTTTCGTTTTCAGTCACATCCTAGACTAAAATCAAATATCCGCCTTGATTTAATATATTAGCAATTTTACAAAATTACAACTCAATAATCTTTTCTATGTTATTGGTTGTAAGATTGACTTTCAATTTGTCGGCTTTAATGAAAGTTCTTTGATCTAAACTATAATAGTATACAAAAGGTACGGATTAATTATTTGGGAATCAGCAAATAAGGATAGGAGTAGCTGTCTAAATTCAGAAATAGTGAATTAGCTCTTTTTTTATTTATTTGATAAAAATTAAGAGTCCAGTCTTTTTTCACTCTTGGATTAGAATCGTTTGAGATTTTATTCAGCAGAGGCAATTAAACTTTCTATCATTTTGCTATCAGCCTTTTGTAAGAGATGCTTCTATGAGGCTCTGGTCTTGATTTCTTTTTGTTAACTGTTCAAATTTTAATCCTATTCAATTCCTCTATTAATTTAGTACTAAATTTACTGTATAATTATTTTCTGCAATTAAAACATGGCCAATTCTTATGATTACGTCTACAATAATTTCTGAGCCTTCTCATTCAAGTATTAGATGTCAAGGTTCTATCCAAAGTAGATGATACCTTGCCGAATATGGTTGAGGATGTAGATTAATTCATCTTTAGTAATTAAATCTATTTTCCTATTAGATGATGTATTTACTGCAGGAATAGTAGAATATGAATGGAATACTTCGTTGGAGTTTTGGTGTTTATGGAGTAATTATTAAGAATTCAGAGATGTTTTTATAACTATGATGATAATAAAAATTAATGTTGTGATGGTGTATTAATGAATTAAAGTGTTTTGGAATTGTATTTCAATCATACAATATAAGTAAGTTATGTATTAGAGATACTTCAGCTACTGGTTTTGGTGTTCGTAATACAATAATAGTAGGTATTTATAAAGGTTAAATGGATTTAGAGATGTGAAGGTTTGTCTGATTTCAAAAGCCATTTGCATTTGATACAGGAGTTGGAGCAAGATAGTGAGTAAGGATAGCTTTACTTTTTTATAAATTGCAAATGATAAGAGAATGCTCGATAAAGCTATAAAGCATCTTATTCCTGACAATATGTAGTTGACATCCGAGAGTGGATTCAAAAGGTTTAAAGTAGCATCTGTTCCAATAACCAGATTTATAGATAAGGCAATCCAAATATTCATGAATTTTTTAATACGGAAAATATATCACATTAATTAATTAACAATGGAAACAAAAACATGGATTTTAATATTGAGATGGGTCAATATTGTAGCTGCGTAAAAAGTAGTATTACTAAATTAGAGTAGTAATCGGAGCCATGGGAATCTATCAATTAGTTACATTTTAGATGTTTTCCGATTTCCATTTCTATGAAATCTGGAGTATATTCACACCAATCTATTCATTGTAAACTATTTCACCGAATAATCTAGGATCTTTTGTGGTCTCTTATTGGCAATCGAATTTAAGAAAGATTTCATAGCAGAGTAATTTCAATTCATGATGACTTGTTTTGGAAGAGGAATTTTTTACATATTGTATATTTTACAATATTATACAAAATAGTTTAGGATCAGTGGTATCGTATTCACCAACAGGATCGTCATCATAATAAGTGTAAATTATCACATAGAATATAGAGCTGGGTGGATTTGGGGATTGACTTTGTGGTTAGTGGGAATATTTTATGTGGTTATTCATTTTGTTGGACCAAAGAGTGCGACTGCGGGATTAAGAGATGTATTAGTGTTCCTTTGATTTTAGGCTGTAAGTGCAGAATATGGAACTGCTTGAACAATATTAAGGATATCTATATATATGTGGGGGGCAGAGGTTTATATTTATGTAAACTCTCTTGAAAAGTTATTCATAATTGTGGGTAAATCAGATAAAATATGGATTCAGACAGTATTCTACTTATTATATATGCTATGTGTGTCAATACGCAGCAAAACAAATAGCAGACATCAATATTATGCTACTAAGCCTTTGCAATATTAGAAATTTTATGAGATGAAAAAAAAATATGATTTCAAGAATGATGATTTGACATTCCCCATCAATATACCACTTAAACAAAGGTACTCGCAAACAAAATTATATCAAGATATGCATATCGACCATAAAGACAATTCAATAAAGCCACCCCATAAAATGATTATCTTAATACAGAAGTTATGAGTGGCAATGAAATCCTCTTATACTTTGAATAATTAGACAACTTGAGAATCAATGAGATCTTGAATGGTCTTGAGAGATTGCATAAATACAATAAAGGATGTATGACTAAGTTCATGATTAGAATTCAATCTTGCTGAACATCCTTGGGTTAAAGCTGCCTTAGACAAAGTATTTGAAGAACACAATCATCTTACCAAAATTCAATTTATACAATTACTCAATATCTACAGTAATTATGGCATTGAAACACCAGAGGTTTGGGCAAAGTTTTAAGAAAGAATGATTAAGTAATGTGTGAATCATATTTCAAAGACTATTACCCAATATTCCAGCTAAATTGTTTGGTGAATGTGTTAGACTATTCATGGAAAAGTCAGAAAGATCAACTGATGAATTCAAAAAAGAATTGAGTCTTGTTATCCCTGTTCATTTAACTAAAATGTCTCCATAGGCAATTGCAACAGCATTCGAAATGGTTTACAAACACAATCTGATGACTGAATACTTATTCTTTGATCATTTACACTTAATTTTGAGAAACAGATTCAAATGGTTCATAAAGGGAAAAGCTTGTCCACTCATGTTGAGACTCCTAAGAGAAGCTAACTTTGAAGTATTTATTACACATTATTAATAGACATGTGAATTTTTATGGCCTGAAGTGTACAAACAACTTGAGGCAGAATTAGATAGAATTCCAAATGATTAATGTGCACCAATCAGAAATGAGCTAGTCAAAATTGGTGAGGCATTTCCCAGTCATTCACAATATAATAATATTATTATAGCCAAAAAGATAGGTGCTAGAGCTACTTGGGAAGCGACACTTGGAGGATAAGCTAGAAAATTAAGTTTAGTGGAAATTGTTAAAAATGATATCCTATATTACAAGGAGAAATAGAAGCTATAGAGAAGTCAAAGCTAACAGAGTCCTTGATATATAATTATGAAATTGTAAAATATACAATTATTTACAAAAACTAAAATATTTATTTAATTGTACTTAATTATAAAATGTGTATTATCATTTTAAAAAATACTGAATTATAAAGAAACTATTATGCTCTTTCAAATAATTAAGTTATTTTTACTAAATAGAACTAAAAATTCCATTGATTAAACTTTATTTACACTATTCAAATAAAACGAGAAATGATTAATCACCATAAATTAACTTAAAATCTTTTAAGTATTAATGTCTAAATTAGAACTTGAAAAAACCCTAGAGCTTTCAGATTTGACTCATGCATTTATTTATAAAGATTTGATTAGACCATCAATTGCTAATGCCTTTTGTTACACACTTCAGCAAATGCCTGTTGCTTTCACCATTTATTTTTTGGAACAAACCTAAAATCAATTGCATGTTGCAACATTTGGAGTTGGAACTATTTTCTATTAAGCTTTCGGGTTCAGTGCTATGAATGGATTAGCTAGCGTATTAATTTAATTCAGCATAGGGTTTACAAGCTTTGGCTTCTTAGGCAATAGGTGCATAAAAATTTTAATTTTGTGGTAAATTGTATTATCAATCGATTTTCATTGCCTGTATTTTAATTATACCAATATCCATAATACTATATTCATCAGAAGACATAATGCTGTTTATGAAAATGTATTGATATCTTAATTCTAGTGATTCAGAATTGGCTGAAGCAACTGGACTCCTAAATAAAGGCATGATCTCAGTCATATTACTTGAAGGCATATTTGCATAGACCAAAGCCTTTCTAAATGCTTAGAACCTTTATCAGTATTATATGTGACATAAATTTAGCCTTTCCGTGTACACTCACTTTGCATCTTGCTTCTTATCTCTGATATTTAATTACTTCTTTATTTCAATTTTAGAAATGCAACTAATGGGAGGTATTATTGCTAGAAATCTCCTTGAGCTCTCCAATAATTTGATTATAATCTATCTCATAAAGGTATTAAATAAATGTAATTTCAAAGAAATTCGATTGTTGCAAACAAACACTAATCAAATTTGACTGGTCCTTATTAGATGGTACATTCAAATTCTTCAAAACTGCCTTGCCAATCGGATGTATATTTTGGTATGAAAGCATTTGTTTTGAACTATTCTAAATCCAGGTGAACTATCTAGCCTCTTTGCTACTGAGCTTAAATGTCTTAATGTACACTGTAGCATTGATTGCTTATTAATTCAGTTATGGAATATCCATAGCTGCAACTACTTTTGCTGGAAATGCAATGGGAGCAAAGTCAGTCAAACTGGCTAAGTAATACACTATTGGATCCTTTGTTTTATTTGGAGGATTTCAAATTTTATGTCTGGCATTAATTATTTGTTACCAACAAGAAATTGTTTAATTTTTGACTTCAGAAGTTGAAATGGAAGTACTATTCATAAAGTTTTTGCCTGTTTTACTAATCTAAATTGTGACTGATGGGGTTTAAGCCTTAGTTTCCGGCATTGTAAAAGTTATAGGAAAAGAGCACTTTGCCTCTAAATCTATGATGTTTTGTTACATTGTTTTTGGATAACCAACTGCTTACTTATTGACTTATGTTTGGGACTTTGAATTAGCAGGAGTTTGGTGGGGAATGATTGTTGCAGCTTCTACATATTCTTTATTATAAATATATATTATGTTGAAAAGTGATTGGCATCATTTATCAAATGAAATCAATGATAAAATACATTCTATGGGTGCGCATCATGCTGACACAGAATTATAACTATTAGAAAAAGCTTGATATAATTAATATATATATATAATTATTATTTAATATGTCCACATAAATTGGTGGCTTACTTATTTTATATTAAACCTAACTTTTAATAATAAAATTGCATGCTAAATGTCGTTCTTTTTAAAAGTATTATTTATCTATTTGCTATATGAATTTATTGAGGTTTTCATTATTATGTATTAAATTTTGAAACATTATTAATAAACTGCAAATAATTATAGAAATCAGACAAAAGCAGTTAGAAATTCTCTTAAATACAATAAGATATCATTTTAAAGATAAGCATTCTTTGCTCCAAATTGAAAATCAAACACAATAAATTGATTAATAACTTAGGTTAAATTAGATATTTAAATTGTGAATATTCTCAGGCAGTCTCAATTGCGATTTTATATTAAATTTATAATATTATTGTATTACACTATGTAATAGCTGCATCCTAAATTTAGAGCCACATCTGTTCAAGAACAGGGAGAGCAAAGATCAAAATTCCCAAATATTTAGACTCCTACATTTGCTGATTGGAAAATCCCTAGTGATTCTAGAGCTCATCCAAAAATAAGCAGAAGAAACCCTTTATTCAAATTTGGGCTGATTCCACCTAAAAAAGCAACAACACCTTCTTCGTAAACTCATCACATAACTCATGATTTTCGTGGACTCAAATCTGAAGAGCAAAGTTAGAGGATTAAAGAAATTATTGTTGAAGATAGAGTGAGTACAACAGAAACAAATAATCTTCATTAATTTGAATCTGAAAAAAAATACTTTCAACTCAGAAACAGATCCATTAGTGGACCTAAACACTCAAATTAATTGGTAAGTGATTTTAATTATTAATCATTAGTTAATCGAATGTAAATAATTATTTGATAATTAGAAGAAGGCTTTTGAGGAAATATTAAAACAGAATAGTCTTTACAATAAGTATTCTAAAGTAATCGACAAAGAATAAAATGTAACAAATTAGAAAATAATGCAAATTTTTAACTTATATAAATGATTATATATATAACTTAATTGTTAAGAAACAATTCAAACATTTATCAAATAGACTCATTATTTAAACAACTCATTCCTTTTTTGAACTATCAATAATTTTTAATTTTGGCTTTAATTCATTCAAATACTTATCCTCCAATTCTTTTTAATACGGTGCCTTCGTGATAAATCTTCTATAGAGGGAGTATCCGTAAATAGCCACTCCTGGAATTCCGAATATCCCAGTTAATTAGCAATATCGTTAGAATTTTAATGATGCTCCCTTACTAGATTTGAATTCTTGCATCAGCCTTTACTTTTTGATATTAATCATTACCTATAAGCCATAAATGTTGAAGGCATTAACACAAATGCTGTACCTGCCTCAAGAAGGAAAGTGTATTTGTAATGATTGAAATACTATTGTTCTTCAATAGTGAATTCTTTATTATCTTTTTTTCTTTGATACAAAAACTAGAATAAAGGGGATTCTGATTAATATTGATACTCCAATAAAAAATCGTCCATCTTATATCTCTAAATAAAAATAATTAAATAATCTAATTTTATAATTCCTATAATCAATCTAATTAATCGAATTAATCATAATTCAATGAAATACTAATATATCTCTTTTATGAAATATCACAAATACTAAGCAGTATCTTAGATCGTCCAAAATTGATGCATTAATAAGTTTATATCATTTATATATCGATTCGACGTGTGTTATTGTTTATGATTGTTGTAATATATGAATAATGACATCATAAAATTAATATTCATTTGTATAGACTTAATTCATGCTTTAATCTATGATGTATGAGGAAATTGATTGTTTTATAAATCATTGTTATCGCCAGATACTTGAAAAGAGGTGTTAATGTATAGATTATAAAATTTAAGTTATAAATGTATATAATTAATCAGTAGAGGCTTTGAGTGAACAAGCCTGGCTTTTAATATTCTAAGTCGATTGCCTTCCTCGATTTATTGTATTTACCGTAATATTCCATGCAAGTAAAAGTAAATCTTTTATTTAATATAAGGAGAGTACCTGATGCAATTTCCAAACTTAGCAGTTCGTAAATACTCTTTAGAGATTCCAGTTTTCGTGAGATCATCAGCATAGACGAAAATATCTGAACCATCTGAGTCCATCACTATGAATCCATAGTTTTTATTCTCATCAAAGAACTTCAAGAAGCCAGCACTTCTATTTTTCTTTGGTTGATCAAGTGCTAAGTCCTGTAGGAGTTGCGTTACGCTGACTTAAGGGTCTTAAATAAAGCGATTGCATTCCTATATGATCTGATCACCATCAATATTGCTTTCCTCTATCAATTATTGTTTATACTAGAATATTAATGATTAATTCGATACTTAATTTCTTGGATAAGAAGAACTCTTCTTAATTAAGGGGGGTTTGTGCATTTGATCCAATTTGAAAGTGTCATAGTCAAGGTCATTTTCGCTAATGTTTGTTGAGAAATCCTTGTATTCAGATCTCGAGGGCGACAACTACAAATCAATCAACTTCACAGGGAACATTAATAGACAAATAATTAAAATATTTATAAATAATTTTATTTTCTAAATCCTTGTACATATATATATTGATATAATTATAAAAAAGATCTTTTCAATAGATCATCATCAATTTTAAGGAACAATATATCGAATGTTTTCGAAATCCATAAGTAAAGTAACTTTATAGTCATGATATATAAAAGAATCTTAAAAATTCATTTATTTTGCAGAAATCCTATCAAAGATTAACTATTAGCATATGAATTATAAACTGAGGTTCTAACGATAGAATAATAGTTCTCTTATTGCACTAAATAAGCATAGATATTTTTTCTTTTTTCTTATACCTTTTTTATGATACACTTATTATTCTTAGTTAGTAGCCTACTTCTGTTTAAATCATCCTCTATAAGTGATTATAAAATTATATAAGTTTTACTCAGATTAATCTCATCTCAAAGGAACAAAAACTAAAAAATACAAATAGGGATGATAATAAAACAGTATTATTTTTATTTACTTAGATTATTGGTAGCCATAATTGTAAAATCTTTAAATTTAGTCATTTTGTTAATATTATATCGCATAATGATAATAAGCAAAGTTATTATTAGTAATTTAGAATAAACATCAATTTAAGAAATTTAATAGCTATCAAATAATCAAAATTTAATAGAGTCGCCAATTCATTTTGAAGATTAACTTTAGGAATTTAATAAATTAAATAATACTGAATTTAATGTGTAATGTTCTTATTTCTATAAATTATTTTAATTGATAGATTTTATCCATTGTAATCCAATAGTATTTGTGGATGTTTAATGAAATTCATCATTAACAATATGCTTATCTAAGCTTCTTAATAAAGCTAATCTTAGGATAAAAGAAATAAAGATGTGCTTTTATATCAATAGTCTAAATTATATCAACATCCAATATAAGATTTAATTAATTGTCATATTGTTTGCTTTAAACTTTAATAAAAAGTATCTTTGAATAACTAATTTCTTTATTCTATTTATAACATTCTAAGACAAAATAGTGCAATCTCTTCAAGATCTGAATTAATTATTCATAAAAAATTAAAAATTTATATTTTTGTGAAAATTCCTAGGTTATCAAATTTAGAAAATATAACTAGCTGTTCATGTAAAACATTCTATTGTTCTACAATTTTCATTTAATTTGATTGATTTATTTGCAAAATCTTGAATTAAAATTTTAATTCTTTGATAAATTTTCTTTCTCCAGATTTTCCTATCAATTTTGAAATTTCTTTTTTATAATTCAGATTTCTTTTCTTCAACAATAGAATACCAACTTCGAATTGTTGCAATATATATTTGATATCTTTTATTATCAAACTGCTTAAACATTGAGTTGATATAGGATTCTTAATGGTTGAATAATCTGGGATTATTGAAAGGATTTAAATAAATAATGTTAGGGATCGAATTTGGCATGTTTGTTACTTATATCAACTATATTGGATTTTAATAATAAAGGATGTAGAAATCATTAGAATAAGACAATAATGAGTTTTACAAATTTATTTGGTTAATGTCTATTTAAGAATTTCTGCTGATAAAGGAATTCATAAATTCAATTAGGCTCATGTTTGCAAGTAGTTTGACATAGATTGATAAATATTTATATATTTTAAATATATACCCAATATGCAAAACCAATTCCAATAGTTCCTCACTATTATGGCCTCAAGAGAAGAAGTTATCTTTATGATTCGAATCTTAACTCACTAAACTCTTGAAGATGGAAGAAATCTCAGGGAATATTAATATGAAATCATGAGAGGAGAGAGGAAAAGAGAAGAACTAGAAAATTAAGTGTATGAATAGTGTTTTATAGGGATTGATAGTTATGCGGCTATAGATGAATCTACGGACAGAAAAGCATTCCTTCCCAAAGTAGTGTAGAAGTTTAACAAACTACTAACCTATTATTCCAATAAAACAAAGGTAATCTACATTCAATTTATAAGATCTACTTCCCTAAATAAGGATAATAAATCGGATAGGAGAACATGAGTCAACCAAATCTAAGGAATGTTATAATGCGCATGTAACATGAGAGCTTAGTTACCATCCTTAAATACTTAGCTAGCTAGTAGAAAATGAGAATGAAGCTAGAACTCAATCGGGCATAGTATATGGAAAAGTAATATATAAAAGGCTATGCATTATTCTAGAGAAGAGAGGTGTAATCGTAATGAGAAGTTCTTTTCCGAACCTCTGCTCACCGGAAACTTTGGTATGAATTACATCAACAAATTACATCAGAAATATTATTTCTTTGCATCATAACGCAATTGGAAGAATGTTTATGATGTTCTCATATTGGATGACAATACAAAATAGATGTACTTATAAGGAGCAGGTTAATTTGGATATTAATATAGGCTTCAAGAGTGTGATTGCCAGCATTAATAAATAAAAGAAGACTACTGATGCCCCTTAGGTATATATCCCCATAGAAACAACTCAAGAAATCATTACTACCAGATATGAGAAGTTGCTCAAGGATCTCATGGATATGAATCATCATGTTTCAAAATCTATCATGAAATACAATGAATTGCATCAACGCAGAAAAAAGAATAAGGAGTCATAAAATAGGATCAAAATAACTACAACCAGACACTCATAATAGGTTCAGATGCTTAATTTAAGTGACTTTGGTAAATTTTCTGCTCCATCATCCAGATATAGTAGAACACGATAACTCAAAACACAGTTGTCATGCATGCAGTCACCATCTGAACCTCACTTTAGATAACATGAGTTTCTTTTAAGTTTACGCCAACCTGTTAATTCAGGTCGTCTGATTAATAAATACATTAATTAAAATTCATGAAATACTTTAAGGAAGCTTCATTCTCATTAAAATAAAAGTTTGGTTACACTCCAGAAGAATAAGCTGTCAAACTCTTTGATCAAGCATATCATTACGAAAGCTCAATTCTCCCTATCAATCTTCTTGATCAGATAGCTGAATTAAGTTTTCAAATGTATATATAATTGAAATTATTTTTAGCGATCATTATCCTAAAATAATCAATTAAATAGTTCTGTAATTATCTACTACCGGAATCACTCCCAACGTTATTCTTAAAGTACCATATTTCTCCATTAATTTAATTAGACACTTATAATTACTGATTATCTATTGAAATACGGATGTTCCGGTATTATAGATGATCTAAAGGTTAGGATATACATGTTTAGAAATTATCAAGAATTTAAAGTAGAATTCTAAGATCCTATTTATATAACATGTAACATTTTGTACTATTTAAAAGTACGGCAAAAAGCTGGAAACATCGCTAATTAGTTAACCAATAGAAAGCTTTTGTATAAGGAGAAAGAAATAGCTAAGTAAATGAAGATTAAGATATAAATCAATAAGCAAAAAACTTAATCATTAAGTCATTAAGATTATAAATAGACAACCACCACTCTTGATGACATTCTGGAAAATTATATTTTTAAATACATGGATAAATTTAATGATAAATTGGAAGGATGGGGAGATCAAATAAACGATTAGTTAGATCAAATTATTGATAATATCACAATAAATGCTGCTTATGAAAGAGATGAAAATGGGTATTACTTTCCAGAATCTTGCATGGATGAAATCACTATTACTAATAAACCGAATAAGAGTTAAGAATAGCCATAGAATGATCAATAAAATAAAAGTCATCAGACGAAAGATTTATGTAATATCATTTTAATAATGTAGTGGATTTTGAAAACGATAATATTGAGTAATAACAGAAGTAAGAGATTAATTTACTCGATTGATAATACTATTAAGTAATTTATAATATTGTTGATTTCTATTGTTGTGTTGAGTAGATTCGCAACACTAAGAAATATTTTAATAAATAATTTAATTATATTAATATGTAAATATAAAATTCTACAATTCTTTTTATTGCAAATCTAAAGTTACTTTTTTAAAAGGATTTTCAATGAAATATGAATTAAGAATAAATTTCAATTGTGTACTAAAATAACTATTTGCCGAAGCAATATATTCATACTGATAATATTATAAGGAGTGAGCAATTAAAAGAGCGTATCATATTAATTAATTATATTTAATTATTTTATATTCAAATGTTATAAAATGATTTGATAATTGAATCAATTTTTTCTTTTGAGTCACAACTTAGTTATCGTTTTCATACTTTAGAGTATTGAAATGAATAATCAGTGATGCTTCGTTTCTGAAATCCTTAGGTAATAACTAAAATATGAAGCAAATGATGCCCTGAGATGGTTTTATTGGTCGCTTGGGAATCAGATTGTTTGTAACCATTTGAAATTATTTGATTAAAGTTTCTGTTCTTATAATGTCATTTATAATATATATGATTTAAAGTATGTAAATTTATATGTTAATTCAAATAAAACTTGATACTTGAGTCTTATCTGCATTTTAGACATTCTTCCAATTATAGAATTCTAGAGAAAGTTCTAGAATTTAAGTATAGAATCGATTGAACTTATTAGCAATGTCTTCAACTAATAACTCTTCTCGAATTAACTCTTCAATCTCGAATGCTATTTTTTCCATATGCTCCACAATGATTCCAATTGTAATTTCAGGAATGGTAGTACTTTTTGATTTACTCAGAATGTTTTGAATTTGTTTCTTTAATTCTAGGATTTTATGTGTTCTTTCACAGTGAACTAACTTATTCAATTTTTTTTCGAGCTTCACCCACAATTATAATATCTTGGCCTGGAGATCAGGCAGTGTTGTGGGTTTTGGGTTGTAATTCTCGTTTTCAACTTTGATAAGACGAATGAGAGTTTTAGGTTGTTTTGTTATTGGTTTTGTTATACAAAGACCCATAATATTTAGATATTTAAATAATATTACATAATCATTCTTTAATGAGTGACTTTTATTACGAGAAATTAAATCTTTTTATGTATTTTTTAATTATTAGATTAAAAATATTCTTCATACAAAATTAAATGATAATTATGATCATTGAGCTTTTTGCAATAAAACTGGTGAATTATGCTAAAGTTGAAATCCAAATTTATCAATCAGACTTTTATAATCAAACAGTTTGTTTCCATTGAATTCCTTAAAAATGAACTATCCCAAGCTTTCCTTCTGCCTCTCATCCAATTACACATTGCTAACTTATAAAGCAGCCTTAAATTCACTTTCATAGCATAACTCACAATTTTGAGTGTTTGCTCTTTTGAATAGGATGCCCTTGATTTGTTCAACAATTAATTATCTAAATTTCCAAATTTATTAGGCAATAGAATTAATAATTTGCTAATATTGTTCCTCATTTATCAATGTGTATTTCCCTATGACATTCTTCAGTACACTTTTGATTATGCATATGTTATTGACTTAAAAAGGTGTAAAATCAACAAATTACTATGAATTGTCCTCAATCAAGTAACGAGCCAATAATAATGCTTACTTATCATCTTAAATATTAAAAGGATAGGCTTATAATATACCCACTAATTCTTCAATTGTAATTTCCTATTTCTAATCGAAAAATGTATTTAGGTCCTCCATCGCTATCTTTTCAGCCATTAATTAATATTTCAAAGATTTTCCAATATTTTCAACATCCTAAAAATTAACGCGAGGTAATTTTTAAATTGCAAATTCAATTTCTTACAAGTGCCTTTAACTCTAAACCTAAGATGTCTTTTGCTCCTCCACTACAGAATCTAGACTTCCACGATGTTGAATCACTTAAGATTTGTCTTTAATCTCATCCTCAACTACAATTTTAGAATGTGACCCTAGTTTAATAGAACGAATCATTTCATCTTCGGATATTATGATTTTATTTTTGTTAACTTTTTCATCTAAAATTTCTTAGGACACTTAAGGGACTTCCTTCTTATTAGTAAGCCATGATTTCTTCGACTCATATTAATCTTCCAATTCCTTAAATTAATGTTATTTCTAAGATACTAACATCCTCTACTTTTCTAAATCAATTTAAAATTGCATGATTTAAGTCTATTAGCTAGATAATTAATAATTTAGATTTTCTATGGTTTCTTTGTATTTATTTTTCTTTTAGATTTCTTATTCATGATCCTTTTTGAATTTAACAAACTCATTTGATACCTATTCATATTACTTCCTATATTTCTCCTTCAGTGCTTAACATGTCAATAGTTCTTGTCTTAGATTTAAAATTTTCTTCTTTTGCTTTTGATGTGAATAGGTGAATTGTCTCAATTATTCTTCTAATTGAATGGTTTGAACAGTTAATTTTTGAAATTTGTTTACCTCACTGTCAGTCTTTAAAATTTAGTTGAATTACTTGCTTAAAAACTCAAACTTTAACTTGGTTACACAGAGTTCAGTCTTGGAATATCAATAAAGCACAATACTTCCATCTCTTATAGCCGCATATAACGAGTATTCTTTTTCAAATTATCGATTTCAGTCTATTTCTCTTGCAGCAGTAACCTAGCCTATTTTAGTTTTTCAGCAAGTCTGGTGTTTTGAATGGTTATCGTAAAATCATCAGATCCATCCTGTGTAGTTCGTTTCTCAATTTGTTCTTTCTATTATCAATAATAATTTGATTACCTCATCAAGTTTTATCTAAAAACATAATTATTGGTTTAAATGCTTTAGTTGATAATTCTCTTTTTTTAATTGCATAATTTCTTCTTTCAATTCTTCAGCATCCTTCTTGAGTGGAAACAGTGATCTGCCCGTAGCAAATTCATTGTTTGGAGAATCTTAATATTTATGTGTAAGTCTTCTCCTATGGAATTAAAATGTGCCCATATTTGTGTTGTCCTAATTCAATACTGGCAATCCGTTTGTCATAGATTAATTGAGGGAATATGGAGCTCGTTAATTTTGGCGAGTACTTTGATTCATTATAAATTTATTATTTGTAACAATTTTGATCATAACTTATGAAATCAAAAAAAATAGATATCAAAGAGATGTTAAATCAATGATTAAGCATACTTTCTAATTTTTAGTAATCTATAATAATAACGAAAATGAGTTATTAAATTCTAATTCAAAATCTATCAAAGCTCTTCAAGTTGAGAGAACACTTCTGAAATCATTTCGGTTCTAATTGGTTTTGAAAGGAAAGCATCAAATCCTAATTTTTCACACTTCTCCTATTAAGATTCATCGTCAAATCCTGACAAAGCAATCAATTTTATATTATCGATTTCATTATTATTAATCTACATAGAATTAAATTGTTTACCATCTTTCGAATTGTTTCGGCTGCTTACCATCCATTTACGATAGGCATTTGCAAATCCATAAACACATACTTTATGTTTAAACTCCTCTGATACTGGCATAACTATATTCATAATTCAAAATTACTTTATTTATCGCTTATTATCCATTATAGGCTTCAATTATGTCTGCTTAAGGTATTAAATTTTATAGTAGCAGTTTAACAGCCATCACATTAAATATTTGATCGTCCACAATTAGAATACTAAACTTCTTGCTTTGAATCAACTATTGAAGTATTTATTTAGGATCTTGCACATCCAAAGAATCTTATGATTGTAGACACTTTTAAATCTAAGATTTCTAAGATATCGACTAAAATCGCAGAATATTCTTTTATTTCGATTGGTCGCTATCCTCTATTGAAGGCTCATTCATCTCAGTCTCAGCCTTTTCCAAAGGTTTCGTGTATAATCTTAGATACGATGATCTGACAAATACAGATTATTAATAAGGTTTATCTTTTGCATTCGGAGAGTCTTCGTTATGGAAATTGCTCAAGTGTTGAGAACTGTTCTCCTATTTAAAACAACTAACGTAATTTGTGATTTTATAAGAAGAATCTTATAATTTAGCATAAATCTAAAATGTCATTTTGGTTCCTACATTTACTTAGCTTTACAAATCTATTGTATCTGATGGCCCCAATAAACTTATTAGTTTTTTACACACCATTAGACCTATCCCAGTGCCATTCTTATTTTCTATTTTTTAAGATGAGAAAGTAGCAAACAAGTTGAATAATTTTGGTTTGATCGAATCAGCAATTCCACAGCCTGTATCCTCAATTGAGATTGTGTATACAAGTTTGTTGGAAGACACTGGAGGTTGTTTGCCTTAAAGAGACTTTCGAATCTGAGAAATTGATTAATTGCCATTTCCATAATTGATGTTTTTCGAGGAATTGCTCCTCTTTATGTGTTAAGATTTATCAGTATTTAAAGATTAAATAGTGATTGTTATACTACCTTTTTCAGTGAATTTCAATGAATTAGACAAGATATTCATGATAACCTACTTGATCCTATTGGGATCCGAATACACTTGATAAGAGGGAATATCATAAAAGGTCTTAATTTCAACTCCTTTTTATTCAGCTGAAATCGCTATGGTCTCAATAACTTCATCTATCAATTCATTAATATAAAAATCGCTAATGCAGAGTCTGAGTTGATTCTTTTCTATTCTTGCATAATCCTATATATCATAAATCATGTATAACATAAGATAAACATTTGTTCTTATAATATTTAGAAGATATTTCTCCTATGCATTCAAATTCTAATTGCCTTCCAAACTCTCCAAAATAGCCACGATTCCATTTATTGGAGTTTTGAAATCATGGAAAACAGTAGCAAGAATCATATCTTTATTTTCACAGATTTATTTTGACTCTGATAATTGTTACTATAATGCATTCATTGATTTTTCCGTCTCCTTGTTTTGAAATATCAACACGAAAGCTTGATTTTTATTCCAAAAACAGTGGTTAAAGAAGAGTTTCAATTTCTTCCTCTTCAATTCACTTACGCACACATTTCTTTAACATTGACTCTAAATCAAGAATTCTTCCATTATTTTAGACTTTTTATTCGTCGGGGTCTCTTCGCTTAACTACATTGGAGCTCTGCAAAACTGAAGGTATTTTGGAGTGTCAATCATTATTTCAGGAAAGTTTTAATTCTAGAATTTTTGTTGCTCTTCGTTTTATTCCTCATTGTGAGCTGCACCTAATTCAAAGAACTTTTGAAACAAAGGACTCGTTGCTATATATTAGCAATTGTCCATGACTTCTGAAAATATGGATCTGAAGCTGTTTTGGGGTTTGTATAAAAAGTCTTTAGAATTTTCGAATAGGGTTTAGAGTTTAATTTAGTTGTCTGAAGAAAAGTGATACAAACAATCCATAAATTCATTCGAATGGCTTTAATCGTATTTGTATTCATTTTCCAAAGCCTTGGTATGATAGAGAGATTTCCGAGAAAATTTATCTATCACCAACAAAGGCACTGGCAAGATCTCCTTGAGTAGCATTAAAAGGTCATTTTGGTCGTTTTATTCTTGGAACTACAATTATATTGATCATCTTACCAGAAAAATAGGAGAGAACGTAAATCCTAAATAGGATATTGGGTATTAATACTCATTGAATCTTATGATTGAATATATGAGCACTGTGAAATATATTAATTTCTAAAGTAACTATACTTGGAGAACTTAAGTCAAGGCCAAAAGTTTCAGTATGATGAATATGAAAATTCCCTTGATGTTAGAGCACTATATATACCTTCTCCTCAGTGTTTATAGTCATTTCAACCTCCACTATCTAGATAATCAATTAAGTTAGAGCTAAGTAATAATCTCCTGTTGAACAAATAAACTTTTATTTGTAGTCTAACAATAGAAAAATCAAGGAAAATATGATATCCACAATAACAAATAGTCCAGAATCCAATGCATTGATCAATTAAGTAAGTCCCAAAACTAAAAATACAATGGATGCAATCAGATTGCATATTGCGAATCTTTGCTGTAATCCAATTTTCATAGCCAAAGAATTGAATATAATTTAATAAAATAATTTTTCATATGTTCCTCAACTTATACACAACAAGCCGATGAAACCCTATTCTAATTTGCTTTCCATAATTTATTAACTTAATCACTTTTATATAAAAATACTCTGAAATAAATAATAAATGATGAGAATTCTGTAATCTTCTTTGCATAATTAAAATATTCTTTGACGCTTTACCAGTATTAAATTAATCTGCGCACACTAAATTCTTTTATGTCAGCATTTTTATCTTATAGATCTTAATATCTGTGAGTGTATCATTTCTATCTGACAATTCGATTTAAAAAATCAATTCATTTTTTTCGAGACTATTCTCTATATTAAGAAACAATTAAGATAATTTGTATTAGAAATAATATAAATATTCTTTTGGTGCTGTAGACTTATTGTGTTTAAATTAAGAGTTTAAATTATAGAGAATATTACTAATATGAAATTCTCGAATTGTTAATAAATTTTAATATTATCACTTCCGCATCAACAATTTGAATAACATTTAACTATTTTGATCAATAGTATCAACAGATAAATTTGAAGGATTAATACATATTAATCTGCTTATCTCGGAATTAGACTCATATCAAGTTAGAAGAGTTTTTCATTGATTTATATTAATAATTTTTCAATAAAATAAGTAAAAGTTTTAAATATATATGTTTAATTGATCAATATATTTTTATTATAAACTTATACACTGAAAATAATTGCATCAAAACAAAAGGTAAACTAAATGATACATAAGCGAAGATTAATTAAGATAATGGAATAAATATACTTTGAAGGTTGATGCAAAAGTACTAATCTTTGTAGACTTATTAAAGTAGTTAATAAAGTATTTCAGTAAATCGGAGAAGGTAGGAAAGGAAACTTATGGAATAGTAAATAAAGCATGTATAAAGAAATTAAAAATTTCAAGGAACATTGTGACGAAGTTGTCTCTTAAAATTTGATAAGAGAGATACAATTGTACTGAAATTGATACGTCCAAGCTTAATAAGATTATTATTTTATATAATAATTAAAAGGAAATAATTTTTGGGAACTTATAAATATTACTTCTCTGAATATTAATTAAGAGATTATTTAAAAAATATTGTTGGTATCACCTTTGTAATAATAAGAGATTATCATATAGAGATATAAAGTTACAAAACATAATTTTGAATTACATTGAATCGACCGATTTTGGATTCATCAAGAGTGTTACCATTTCCTTTTTTTGAATTTACAATCGAAATTGAAACTCATGCACACAATGCATTTGAACTAATATTAAGAGATAGCAATCTAGGTAACACAATGAGAATGATTAATTTAGGAATGCGAAATCATGAATAAGCCAAATGAAGGCTAAGGATAACAGTTAAGTAATATTGATATAATAGAAAGAAATATTGTGCTAAACTTCATAAAGTACTTATTCGAAAGTTTTTAGATTGAGAAAATTGATGCAAGCAATATATTAATCTCTCCCTTAATTATATACAAGTTTAATTGTCTAAATCTATATCTTAAACTTAATTATTTATTAATTCTAATCTCTTCATAGGGATTTCAAATGATGGCTAAGTTATACATACAAATAAGATTGAAAACTATAAGTTAGGACACTTTGTTTGAGAATTGAATTATTTTTTCGATTTTAAGCTTTCTAGAGCAATCCTTCATTCATCATAAACCGAAGGTTAATATTTTCACAACTTAAATATTTAAAATATAATTATCTTCAGCAAAATTAGATACCCTTTAATGCTACAATATGAGTTAAAACAAATTGAAACTAGATTCATATTTAAGAAATCTATGTGAATGAGGTTAAGTAACAGTGAGAAGTTATTACAGAACAATTAGATAGTATGACAAACCCTTTATGAATCAAATATTAATTTCTAATTATAATATTGCAATAGACTGATAAATTCAAATAAGTTAACATGAGGATGAATTTGAAGTCTTCTAAGTGCTATTTGCGTTATGATTCTAATTCTGATCCTATTTCTTCTACTCTACCTAAACCTACTGCTATCCCTAATCCTATTTCTACTGCTATGTCTGGTCCTATTTCTACTCCTATTTCTACTCCTATTTCTACTCCTATTTCTAATCTTATTTCTAATCTTATTTTTCTTTCTAATTCTCATTTTATTAAGTATTTTAACTTTTCTACTGGGTAGAATTTTAATGATTAGCTTAATTTTATGAATTTTGGGAATTTCTTGAATTTTGTAAATCATTCTGGAGCTTTTAAACTTGTTGTTCAAGTCTCTTTATTTTTTATTTTTCTTCTTTTTCTTTTTGTTCTATTAGTGCTTAGAATTATGATACCATTACATTCCTATCCTCATTTAATTGAGATATCAACTTCTCAATCACAGAAGTATCCTATTTCTAATTTTAGAGTTTTTAGTATTCACTCTTTAATTTTTCATTTTCACTTTTCAAAAGTTTTTCCTATCTTTCTTTTTCTTCTAATAATTTTTTTTTATCAATTTCATCTTATTCTTATTTAACTTTGGCCTACATTGCTTATTGATAAAATGATTCAACGACAGCGAAATATTATTTTATTTATGTTAATTGAGATTTTGCAAATTTATTTGCAATTTCAATATTTTTATATCCATCAATGAGATTAGAAAACTCCTCAAAATATTTAAAGACTTTTTAGAAATTTTTACAATTTTGATATGAACTATTAGAGTCTATTGTCGTTAAAATGTTTTGACATGTCAAAACAAATGCTTCAAACCACTCATAAGGGTTTTTATTTGTTTGATTAAGGATCAATTCTTCCAACTTTTTGACATTAGTTTAGGCATTGAAAATTTTTTCGTTTGATTATATATTTACTAAATTTGTAATTTAACTCTGAAAATTTTAATCCAAAGCAAATACGTATTCTTAGATAATCTTTAATGCTTCATTATTTATATATTAACTTATTTTTTCGCTTTGATGCAGTTTTTTTGGGGCATATTCGCAAGGTTTCAAATTTTCAATACAAGACCACAGTTTTTGTCTTGATTCTTAATTAAAAATTTAATTAACAACTTCTTAGCTTTAGGCTCCTTTTAAGACATGGATTTCTCTGATGTACTTTGTATATTGCGTGAGATCCTATCTTATTTTCTTTAATAATTCTTCAATTGATTATTTTGCAATATAATTATTTAAGATCAAATCAAATGATATATTTTTGTTTTAAGTATCAAGAGAATTTAGGAATTTTTAGAAATCAGTCGCTCTACCACTAAGTTTAAATGAAGGATTTTCCAATACATAAATAACTTTTAAAGGACCAAAAGATATAATTTTGTTAAATAGAAGGTCATATAATAATTGATCCTCTTCTCCATTTGTATCTTAAAACCCAGGAAAATCAATAATTAAATGTTTCTTTGCTTGATTGTAATAGAAATTTGGTGACTTTGTAACAGAATTGATACTATCGTTTATTAAAGAAAACTCTTATTTATTATTGGTTATTGTTAATTGACTCTCATTGTTTATTGCGAACTCTGCTCCGCATAAAAAATTGAAAATAGTACTTTTGCCGGACCCTGTTAATCCAACAATCATAACAGTCTTAATATCATTTGGTTAATTCTTAGGATATTGATTTAACAAGTTTTAACATTTATCTACCATAGCCAATATGTTCTCTGTTTTAATCCCATTATTCATTTCAAATTTACTTTAATAAATGTTTATTTCCCTGAAAAAATGTCTAAAAACACCCCTAAAGAATACTCTAGAATTTTAATTAAAGCAATTGTTAAAAAGAATAAAAATTTAATTGACTATTTTAAGTAATTTCTAATACTGAAGAAAATTGATTTTTCAAAGGACTGGTCTTCTAATGCATGCTAAGGCTTTGAAAGACACTGTGACTAACCTTGATGTGCTGATTGCAAATTTGGTTTTTCTAATTATTTTGACGTTCCTGCATGTAGCTTGAAGTCATAACTTTGAGATTAGATCCTACTTTGAGAGAGATCGAATGGTAATCCAACTTTCAGCAAAATTTTTTGTGTCCTCTCAAATAAACTCCTTCTACCAATCTAGGAGACCTTATGGGAGCAACTGTTTTTAACTAAATTTATAGTAATTTTTAGAGATTATTTTTCCGTTAAGAAATTACGGAAAACAGAAGTGTAATTTATCAAGTAGAGGAGAATTTTTGAGTAAAGCAAAAAAGTAATTAATTCTTGAAATTTGATAAAGTTTGATTAAAAAAGGAAGTTGATATTTTTTTTAAATTTCTAACTTCAGCTATTTTTTTGTATTTTTTCCTTATGGTTGATCTATCAAATCCTCCTACACTTAGTAATTATATTGCTGCTACATTTTGAGCTTGCACCTTTGTGTTGAAAAATATTGTGACATTATTTTACTTTTGCCTTTCCCAATCATACAAATAGGTATCTATGAGAAAACAGTCATAAATTCTTAAGGATACTCAACAAGTTTTATCAGCACTTTTTATCACTTGTCTTCCTAATTTTTTTTATTCATAACAAAATGTTGATATGCTTTATAATGTTTAATAGGTAGACGATTATTTATGGGAGGAAGTAAATTTCCTTTTTGTTCAATATTATACAAGTATGATTTGAGATTAGTTCTGGTTTTTAATAGTTGCTTTTTCCAAAAATTTAAATGAAAAGACTTAAGGAAGGTGATACCTAGATTAAACATGATTTGATGAAATTGGACAATTTATAATTAATGCTGTAATTTAATCCAATTAAAAGAACTTAAGTGAAGTATTATTATAACACAATTTGTTTAATGATATTAGATATAATTATTGATTATTGTATATCATCATTATTATTTCTCTTCCTAGACTAGTTTTAATAACATTTCTTAATAGGCTTCTGTCCAATTTTAGACATACCAGTCATATTGGGAACTATCTGGGTTGAAATAATCAAAGCATTCTTCTTTAGACATTTCGTATTTGGATGATGTTTATAAGAAACAAGAATGGTTGTTGTTGTGTTCGAATTTTCTATTTTTGGTTGATTATTATTGGCCTGTCAATTATAAGAAACTAGAGTGGGATCTAGACTTGAGTTGTTCTTCCAAATTGATAGAGCCATGATAGATTTCAAAAGCGAAGGAATATCTAATTTTCAATTCATCATAAGCATAATCGACACAACTTCCTGGTGCCAAATAACCAATGGCTTATGATGCAACCCCAACATCACATGATGGACAATACTTGCCAGATATATCATTAAGAATGTCCATCATTTTTTCTTCATTTTGTTCAGCTAGAATTATTGAGTTTATGATTTACCTGCATCTGTTGAATAAGCATGAGGTGTAAACATTCCCAAAGTACCAGAATGCACGGTTAAGAATATGTGTGGGTTAAATGATTTTAAAGAATCACGCACTGCTCTAGTTTCAGGTTCAGAAAATGGGTTTGGTCCAGATGTTACTTATCTGACATCATCTTGAACCTTTTCCCAATGTGCATCATAATTTCTATTTATATCCACTCCATTTTCATTCTCTCTTAAACAATATTCTCCTCCTTCTACTTTCTGTCTAGATAGTGGATTTGCATTAAGAATCAGTCTTAATTCGAAATTATCAAGAATCTGTTGGTTTTTTGGATCGGTTTTTTCATAGCATAAGTCGTTTAAGAAATGAATTCCTGATTCTGGACTGATCAATTCTCTTGGATGTTCACCAAACAAAATGTAAGCTGTGCATATATATACCCAATTCAATACCCCTGTACTTTTTGTTTTGATTTCTATTAATGTTCACTTCCTTAATTTATGGACTATCAGAAGCATTTGATAATGACAAGAATGAGCAACTACGACTCAAAGATTCTAATTCCTCATTCAATTCTGCTGTTGTGTGGTACTTGCTACTGAACTTAGTTGCAAAAACCAATGACAGGCTCAAGGTGACAATTAATGCAATTTTCATAATATAATAAAAACGGAACTTAGTTTAATTTCAGAATTATAATATTTTATTTGTGTGATTGAAAGGACTTCCATTAGCATATTTCATCATTACTGGAGTTGCATAGATTGTAGGAGTTGAAGTTTTGGGTTATTCGTATGAATGATTGGATTGATAGGCATTCAAATTGTTACATTGAGGTTGAATTCTCATACTTAATTGCTAATGATGCTATTGAGCCTGAAAATACTGACTAAAGTAATGATTACGAGGCTCAACATTAGGTGATTTATTGAGTTGTTTATAATGTTAACTATTATTGTTCCTTATAACTGGTTATTGCTTGACTCCTGGCTCACTAACCTAAGTCAAGCATCTGTTTTTTGAATCGCTCTTCATCTATTTGACAATCAATTACTCCAGCATTTATTTTGTCATCGACTTTTACTACTATATCAACTCAGCATTTAATTATTTTAGCCGTTTAATTTCATCAAGCAATACTTAAATTTCATCTGTGTGTTTAATTGACTTGCTCTCCTGATTCTTTGTAATGATCTTCTTCTTATCAAAATCAAATTCTATCTCTATCTCCTCAGACCCCTGCTTCAGTAACTTATCTTATTGTTACAATAAAATCTGATTCAATTTCTTCTCCAACATCCAATAATTCCTTTTCCAATCATCCAATTCCAATTCCATCTTCTGAATCATCTCGACTAATTTTGTTACTTTATATACAATAAAAGTCTCCTGATCACATTACAAATCAATCGCATCATCCATTTCAATTTTATCCAAAATCTTCATTAAATTATTTGTATCTATCTTCCCCTAAGTGACCTATGATTAACACAGACTCCTCTGATAAAATTCAGTCTCCTCTTGTATAACCTGAAGATCATTCTCATCACAACGCTAGTCCTCAAAAATAGAGTTATCCAAATTGCACTTCAACTAAACAATTTCTCTGTTGTGAATTCGCTCCTATTCCTCATACTTCTCTTCCCACATCTACTTATAAAAATCATATTACTTTTATTTATTCTCTTAATCCTGAAATCTCTTCCTCCAATTGCTAAATCGTTGTCTTTAGATGCTACTATTAATAATCTACCTTACTTCATAATCCTGATGTTTTTAAACTGAAGTAGTAGCTGATTCACTGCCTGTTGATTAATTTACAAGCATTGTTATATAAAAATTATAAATAATTAATAAATTGAAATCATTAGAAACTTCAGGCCTATCAAGATTGAACAAACTCTTTAAAAACTAATCTACACATTATTCAATCAATTAAATATTTCTCAACGCGTATATTGCTAAATTTTTAATAAAAACAAATAAAATCAAGTACTCATTAAAGATCAAAAAAGAATACTAGAATTAATTTAGAAGAATTAATAGTATTGTTCACACATTAAATTTAATTAGCATAAGCAAAACATAGCCTTATTTTGATAATTTTAAGAATATTATTAATTTAATAGAATAAATTAAATTTAGTTCTTACTATAGTTTCTGCACAAAAAGATTTGCTAAAATGAAGTATTTATATATAAATTTAAAAACAAAATATACTTATTTTAGTGTGATTTATATTCTATTGAATTATCAGACTAAAATTTAATAAATTAATAAATAATAGTATTTTTTTAAATTTGTATTTCAGGCTGTTAGGTTATTTATTATCTCCTCTATTAGCTAGAATTTTTCAAAACTTTGATTTCAATAGTAACACCTTATTCAGATAATTGCCATATTCATCTAATTACCTTATCTCCTTACATTTTGGAGATAAAAATTCTCAATTTTATCATATATGTTAAACTAAACAATAATCGTGAGTTAAAAATCATATATTTAACACTTGCAGCATAAGAATACTTTATGTTATAATTGGCATTTATATATATTTATATCACTTTTCAATACATTAAATGAAATATCTTAATTGTTCTTATAATTAGTCCAAAGTAGTTACTTCTTCTGCTTCTTCCTATTAACTACGCTCGTCATTTTAAATAAGCACTAAAGCAAGCCATTACATCACTTGTATGAATTCATAATAAAATAAGCCTTCAAACCCATTAAATTTTTCATCATGAAACAATTCTTTATATGCTGTCTTAATGATTCCATCCAGATTGTCTCCTTTATAGCCGGAATCTTGGATTAGTTATTTAATTTCCTCCTATCTGATATGGAATTTAATGTCAGAATTATCATCATTCCCTTGGCTAAATCTTTTAATGAATATATTCTGCATTTAATCTTAAATTTCCTAAGTAGATATTATTTCGATATACCCGAATAAAATTGACTAAAATTTCATTGTACTTCATATGTTATTAGAAATTATTGAATTCTTTTTCATCAGCGTTAATTTCAATTATTTTATCTACAATCTTCGTGACTAATTGATCTTGGGCTAGAATGATATTATTAGATATATTGTACATTCTACTTCACTAAGATTATTAGTTTTTTTAAATTAAGCCAATTCTACAATGATCACAAAGAACTCTTGAAATTTAACAGACAATTCCAAGCTTTTTCTGACATCTTTTGATTTAGTTCCCTATTTATCATATGTTTCCACAAAAGAAAATAGTTCCTGACTATCTTGTACTAATCCATACTAATGTTAAATTGGAGATTGAATACAAATTTTAAGAAGTGCATCACATCCTAAAATGAGATACTAATTTCATCTTTTTTTGCATGATCTGTATTATAAAGAATAGCATATTGTCGAAATACTTCGTAAAGTAGAGGCAATTTATCATCCATATAGGCAGCAATCTTATTGTAAAAGTTTTCTTCCTTTTGATAAACAATATATTATATACTAGATCTTTAAGTTCAAGATTGCCCTCTGCATTTTTTTAAATGATTGTCCAGAGCTTCTCAAATTTATAAGGACACTCTTCGGCAGCAGATTGTTTATTTTTTTAACTATCTTCCCTCTTTTGTATCTGCTATTGTTGGAGATCCTTTTCTTTTTGTTAAGCGTATTCCATGATCTTTTTTTGTATTTCCTATTGAGAAATGGGGACAGGATTGAGTCTTGCTGTGTGATCAAAGTTTTTCATGTCCAATGCAAAGATAGATTGTTGTGGTTCTTAGCCTTCTTTTTCTGTGATAATTTAGCCATAGAATTAGAATGTGAATTAGCCAAGAGGAAGAGTGATTTCTGCAAAATACTTTTTAAAATTATCTCCAGCTCTAGAGATAGAATAATAATATAATGAACTTGATTTCTTTCATGATGATTTTATCTTTGCTTGGATAATTTTTAGTATCGAATTCATGCATGACTTCAGGGAACATCTTATACTCGTATTGGATGAGATATGTTGGTTCTTGGCGATTGACGACTTTCTAATTTAATGGAGCCAATTAAAAGGTGGCAGTGAATTGATTTCTCATCTTTCCAAAGGCTTCATCATACCATTCTAATATAGTGGTATTGATAATACTTTCTTATTGATCAGTCATAATCCATCCTTATCCTTTCCTTATTTCTACTTGCACTAAGGTTTCTTTGCCTTCTTCATCTTCTTTGAGATAGTCGAAGATTTTGGCACGTGGGGGAGGAGTTAAAAACATGTCAGTTCCAGGGACTCTGAATTGCAAATAGCAGGGAAGATAATTGGAGTCAGGATTCTTTTTGTTGGAATAGAGTTTGGCAGCGGCAAGGGCAAACCATGCGAAATCATTCAATCCTTGTCCTACATTGATGTAGAAGACGAATTCTTCGACTTATACTTTAAATTTCATTATTATTAATTATTTTAATGGGAATTTGTACTAATAAGTAATATGCTTAAGCCAGTGAACCTCCTCAGAATCACAGACAGAATCGATTATATTTAAACTATCAACAATTGGCAAATATCAATCACCCTCTGAATGTGAATCACAAATACAACAACTACTTCCAAATCATACCAGATACCACTGCTAGGGAAGGGCATTAAAATGACCAATCAATACACGAGTCGTCTGAGCAGAGAGGAGTGGCTGGAGAAGAGGAAGGAATTTTGGGGTAGGATTTTATAAGTTATTTAAAGAATCGAGGGTTGAGGGAGAGAGAGTTTATTGGCAATCAATCTAAAAAGCAATTGAAGAACAGGATGAAGGTATTGTCATCAATATGTAGCCAATGCATAAGCAATTCTCAATGCATGTGATCTCAAATTGGTTAATAATTCCATTCAGCTACTTTACGACGCCTCCATGCATAAATATGATGTCCCAGTCTTTATGATCAATGAACCTCAATCTTTCCCCTCCACCAAGTTTTGTGATGCTGGGTTGATTCAGGATTTTCAAGAAACGGAATTAAAAGTATATATTTGTTAAGGATAATCTATTCCCAGATCAAAGTGAGATCTAACAAACTGCCTTAGGATTTCGAGATTGTTACTCACACCAACCAAAGCATTGCTGACTTAAAGACAAAGGTTCAGGAGTCATCTCCAGGAATTGATTAGTGCAGGCTCTTCTTCAAAGGCAGAGAGATGAAGAATCATCATCTCATTGGAAATTATTAATTAAAAGACGGAGAAGTATAACCCTTTACTATTCATTTATCTAGATGGTCCAGGCCTTTATGTGATATTACTTATTAACAAACAATATTATATTTATAATGGCATTAATTCACAATCAGAATGACATACAAAACATGTTTAGCAAGGCTGGCAAAATCACCTCAGAAAAATATATTGTCTTCCAAAGAAAAGATGAAATTATCAACAATAAACCAAGATATTATAACACCAAATCCTTATCAGTTTCATCTCCTGAAGAACCCAACCTATAATCCGAAAAGAAAACTGCAGATACCCTTACCAAAAAGCCAGAACAAATTACTGAAACAGAACTCGTCCAACGCAAAAATCAACTCAAACTCTCCTAACCCTTCTCTAAACAACTCTCTCGACAAGTCGGACATTATACCAAGCTCAGTAATGATAGCAAACCCTCCTGTGGACAATATCATGTCAAGTACATTCCATTCACGATTATGACAAATCCCTAAAGCAAACCACTCCCGGAGTCGTATAAGGAAAGCTTGGATAACCAGAATGCATTGAGTAACTCATTATTGCGTCTATTCAAGCAAACCTATTGTTGATCGACCTAGATTTTCTCGTACTTGTTTCACAGATCTGACCAGGTAAACTCAAAGGTAATCAAATTCATCCTACTGAATAGACCTGACATCTTCTTTGGAAGACCTACTCCACATCCAGATAGATTCACATTCTTGGGTGTCACCAATTCTTGGAGTAAAATCCCAAGAACCCCCAATGTTTAATTGGACAAGTAATTGTCAAGGGATTAAATGATCATTTATAAAAAGAAATAATTTGCCCCAGATTATCATCCCAATTTTGAATTCGGTAGAAAGTATTATAAATATTCTAATTCAATTAGACAATTAGGTAGTTGTGGAGCTCCCTTCGATAAACTTGAAATCAGAAAGGATATTATGACCAAAATACCTCCCTATAATAATGAGGCCTATTTTGAATTTGATGTCTACTCAAAAGATCCATAAAGTAAATTATTTAGAAATCCTACTGCCCCTAATTTTGAAAGAATGCTAGAAAGAGAGTGCGATGGAAAGTCATTGTTACCCAGCTTTATGTAGGTAAATTATTCATTAAAAATGAGAAATACACCAATACTAGGATGGGGATTGCTCATTTGAATCAAAAAATGTTAGAAGTCAACAATTTTAGAGATGGTAGATTTCAAACTGTCACTACAAGTTTTGCCCCATCAAAATTAAAAAAAAAATAACACCTTGATGAGTCCAGCGAAGAAATTGAATAGATTGAAGACTAATAATGAATTTATTTTATTTAATTATATTAATCATCCATGGACTTTAGTAGTTTTATCACAATAGGAAATTGGTACTGTTTACTTCAATTTCGAAGTTGCCCATCGTCTTTGATTGAAAATTCGTTGTGTATATTTCAAATAAAATTACTTCTCTCGTCTATAAATCTTAGTTAAAATAATTTATATAATTCAGTTTTTTAAAAAAAAGTTTTTATTACATTTTGATTTAAGCATCTTGGCCTTGGGCTAAAATAATGGTCAATTGAAGCATTATCACACATATAGGAATATTTCGTATCTTATTTCTAAGATTATTAAGTTTATTAGATTATTTTTTCTCATTACTTTTAATTTCTAAAATTTTATGAACGTCTTTCAAAATAATGGTCAAATCTCTTCAAATCCTAACATTTCTGTGATTTTCAACCATGTTTAAGAGCAAATTCAATAATAGCATTTCGAAATTCAACAGATGTAAATTGAGAGATAAAAGACTTACGAAAAGTTGAAAAAACACCTAGATAAGCTTAATCTATTAGTTTATCGAATGACCAACCAATAGATTGTTTAATAAGTAGACTCTAAATCCAACATTTGTAATCAGTAATACAAATATGAAATTTAAATGGATCAAGATCTAGAGCTTCCATGCTATAGGAATAGAATTTTTTAAATAAGACTTCGACTTGTTGAAAATTAAAAGGTCATTTGTAATGCCAATAATATCCTTGTGGAGTTACAAGTGTAAAATAGTACTTAATATTAGTTGGACCTACGATAATCAACCAAAAAAGCTGAGTCATAACAACAAAAACTAATCTATATACAAGGGATGCTAATAAACCATTATTAAGAAAGGCTATGGATGTTTGAATAGAATACAGATTAAGGAAGTTTCTTCTCATTTTCCAAGAGGAGTATTTCAACTCATAGTACTTCCTATAGAAGATGGTGCCGTGGTAGGAAATGAAAGGTATTAAATTCAATAATAGATAGTAAATTACATATAAAAAAAGAATTGGTCAAACCTCTAGTTATCAATGATGTTTCAATTAAGGCAAAAAAGTTTTCAGATAGACACTGTCCATATTTTGCCAAATCTGATGGAACAATTAATTTAATTGAATAAAACTGATTGATTTTTTTGCTATAATAATAAAAAAACATTACATCAAATCAAATCAAGCATTATAATTGTTCCGATTTGCTCATTAAATGAGGAAGTAAAAAATTATAAAACTTCTTATTTTATTCCTTTTTGAAAAATACTACATTCCATTATTACTACTAAAGTATTAGAATAAGAGTAATAAAATTTAAATAATATGGCAAAGTTATACAAAATTTAATTATTTTTATTCTCAATGCAATGGGCATCTAAATTTATTTGAAAAAAATTTTAAATTAAACAATTCATTGATGTTCTATTTTAAAAAACAGTAATAAATTGATAAACTTAAGTCAATATTAGATAAAAGTTGATAAAAATATAAATGCTCAAAAAAAAAGACATTTCTGAAGTTTATAAAATTCTAATCAATATTATAAATTTCAAATCTAAACTAAGACAATCCCAATAATGAAAAATTCATGTATAGTAAAACACTTATACCAAAAGTAAATATAAGCGTTTTCATATGTAGTTGAAATAGGTAAGTTGAATTTTTTCATTTACTGTAGTAATTTCATATTTTATTCAAATAGTAATTTATAACTTTAACTTAAAATTTGATATGACTAAAGACGATAAGAAATAATCACAGAAGATTTTGCTTTATCAACATATTAATTTCAAATAATTTTGAATTACTTTATTTTAATAAAAAGTATATCGTAATAGTATGTAATGCTATTTATTTCATAATCTTCAGTTAAAATTCCATAAATTTGAGACGAAGATTTATATATATTAAGTGATACTATTTCAACATCAAGATAATTTAGTATTATTATTATAAGATAAAAGTCATTAGCCTATCTATTTATTTGGTAGAATAAATTAAAAAAAGAAAAATAGGTTTCTGTTAATCGATTGTGCATGATTTCTAATTAATCTGAATTTTAATAAAATAGGGGAAAAACTCTCTTTATTTTTAAAGCCAAATAGAGTAAATCTACGTTAATGTTATCAAAAAAAGTGAAACTCTCTAAAATGAAAAAAAAATTCATTTATTAATAATAATAAATGAAATAATAGGAAGTTTGAAAAAAATAATTGAAATAGTAAAGTCAAATTGTAAATGAAAATTTTTGGTTTATTAATCATTTAGTAATATGTCTACTATTAAAGCTATTTCTTAAACTATATCATAAATTAAAATAATTAAAGAATAATTGCATATTTCATAATTTATAAAGGGAATTAGAAATATGTTTTTTTTGAAATTAAATGTACCTACTTATCTTTATGAAAATATTATTTCATAATCTCTTTGGAGACTAATAATACATTCGATTATTTATTTTGTAAAGAATCAATAAAAATATAGTATTTTGATGATTTTAATATGATGTAATTGGTTTGTATCAATCGAAACTCTATTTTTTTTTTAAAATATTGCAATAAATATCTAAAATTATCTATTTACCTCAATAATTTTTAATAATTAACTCAATTCTTTTGAAATAAATGCTAGAATATACTGGACAGACTAAAGCAAATTCAGAAGGTTTCCATTCAGTTGTAGACTCCGATATAGAAAGTTGGATAAAGTAATAAATACGCTTACAAATTTTAGAAGACCTAAATCCAGTTCACAACAAGATTATCGAAAACTATTTGAATTAACAAAACATTGTTACGCTGCAAAATTGCCTTAAGCAAATTGTGATGAGATTCCTGAGTTTGATACTTATGAGGATTCCTTCTTACAAAGACCTTCTATGTGTACGAATAAATCAAGCAAACAAAGCTATGAAATTATGAAGGAGGAGAAGCAATAGGAGAAAGAATTAATCACACCTATAAATGATGAGGACAAGCATTTGTTGTTGAGGAGTGATCAAGAGCAATGCAAATTGTTAGCAATCAAAATGAAGAGTGGAGGATGCTATACAGGATAGTGGTACAAAAGAAAACCACACGGTATTGGGGAATATCTATTTGCTGATTCGAGTAGATATGTCGGAGAAGTAACTAGATATTACAATAATAGTGGAATAATGGTTTTGCAAGCGGAAAGGGAGAGTATTATTATGCTGATGGTGGACACTATAAAGGAGAATTCCATTTAAACAGCATGCATGGCACAGGAATTTACAAATACGCAGATGGAACCGTATATGATGGTATGAAATATCCTTATCGTTAAGGTCAATGGATGAATGATAAATACCATGGATATGGAATTGAAATAAAAAACGAAAGCCAATATAAGGGTAAGGATAAATTATATATTAGGTAAGTTTAAGAATGGTTTGAAACATGGTCAAGGAACCTTGGTATTTTCTAATCAGGAAAAGTACGAGGGGTCATTTGTGAATGGTCTATTTGAAGGGAAAGGAGTTTTTGTAAGCAATCTATTTTTATCTTTAGATTTGGCCAGATGGAAGAAGATATGAAGGAGATTGGAAAAAAGGAGTGATGCATGGATAAGGGATGTTGCAATGGTTAGATGGTAATAAACTGTCTCAAAATAGGTCGTATCTACGTAGGACAGTATGTGAATGATAAAAGACAAGGATTCGGAACATTCCAATTTGCTGATGGTCGTAAATATGCAGGTTAGTGGATGAATGGACTATAACATGGATCAGGAGAGTTTACTGAATTTCATGGTTAAGTTACGAAAGGAGTTTGGAGAGACGGCAAATTGTTTTCAATTTATTGATTATATGATACTAATTTATATATCTCATAATTTTGGTTAGGAATACTTAGCAAGGTTATCTGGAGTTGGTGCTGGGAATAAACTAGGTGTGAATAGAGTTCTAATAAGATATTATTGACTATTTACGCTTTCTTCATATTTCCCTTGATCTTCATTTGTCCTTTTAAGAATGCTTCATTGGCTTACAATTTTCCTAAGCAAACCTTTTCAAAATCATCATCAATCATTGTGAAAGTGGCATCAGCTGATTCTTTTCCTTCCTTTATTCCTCCTTGACCATTCTTTAGATCAATCACCCAGGATTTTACCACTGGTCCACCTTTTTATGTGATAATTTCAAAATTGAAAACTCCTTAAATTTTAGGAATGAATTCTTTTCCTTCTCCTCTATCCAAGAATGCTTTCATTAAACCAAAAATCTTGTCTGCTTTTAGATTAACACTTGGAGCTTGTGTAGTTTATTATGTTTAAGCTGTTGATGTTTTTCCTTCTTTCTATTATTTAATGAAATCTTCCTTATTGAAAAAGATTTCAAAGATCTCTGATGATGTTTAAGGATAGCAAACATTATCTCCAAAACCAGCTACTTATTCCCATTTATCTCTAACATCTTCAGGGGTGAATGGTGTGTCAAAGAAATAGCCTTGATTTCTTTACCATCTCAATTTAGAAATGTATCCAGCTCCCAATTCATAAATTGCACCTGTTTCTTTTGAATCATCATGACTCAACACACCTACAAGTGGTACAACAAATTCTGGCTTTAAATTTGCAAGTAATTCTTTGCTCATAACAGTCTCAGTCAATCTACTTGCAGCTACAGGACAGATTGAATTAACTAAAATATTTCTCTTCAATCCTTCTCTTGCCAAAGCCAATGTCAATCCGTGAATACCCATCTTGGCAGCACAATAATTTGTTTTAACCAAAGACACCATAAACACCAGAGGCTGAAGATGTGTTAATGATTCTTCCATACTTTTATTCTCTCATGTATGGCCAAGCAGCTTTAGTGCAAGAGTATGTGCCTTTTAAATGAACCTAAAAGGCATATTATCATATATTACTCTATAAATGAGATCCCAATCTTCATCTTTCATTTTTTCAAATGAAACATCTCTTAGAATACCAGCGTTGTTTATTAAAATATCAATTTTTCCAAATGCCTTAATTGCAGTGTCAATCACTTTCTCTCCAAATTCAACACTATCATAATTGGCGACAGCAACTCCACCAGCAGCTTTAATTTCATCAACAACTTTATCAGCAGCAGAAGATGAAGCTCCTGTACCTTTCATTGAACCTCCTAAATCATTAACAACGACTTTTGCTCCTCTTTTTCCAAAAAATAATGCGTACTCCTTTCCTAAGCCATTACCAGCTCCAGTGATAACGACAACTTTACCATCAAATCTCAATTAACTCATATTTTTAATATACTAATACAAATCCAAATGACATTATATATATAATGAACACTTTTAGGAAATCGTGCGTCATAATTAAAAGAGTGATTCAATTATTATTATTTAATATGTTACCTTTCAAAATTTATAATAATTTATTTTGCTCAATCAATTTGTGCTTTAATTTATTTTATACTTTAACATTATAAATTGTTAAAACTATTCAATCAAATTAGGTAGTCTAATTTTCTTATTTTTATATTTCAAAGTTAATAATTATTTCAAATTTTGAATGTTCCCTTATGCCAAAATGATAGTAACTTGAATATATCTTTGCTTAATATAATCTTGTAATAAAAACAAACATTCAATATTTTATACTATTCATGATTGGATTATAGAGACATTATTAGTAATTAGCCTAATTGCTAATGAATATTTGTTAGATTAGGATTAATTTTAATAATTGTATTTAAAAATATGTCTTACGACACTGCTCTTACAGTTTTTTCTCCAGATGGATAACTATTTCAAGTAGAATATGCAATGGAAGCCGTGAAAAGAGGATTGTGTTGTGTTGGAGTCAGAGGAAAAGACATCATTGTTCTCGGGGTAGAGAAAAAGGCAACATCTAAACTCTAGAATGTTAAGACAATCAAGAAAGTGTATTAGTTGGGTAGCAATTTATTCAAATGATAGATAACAATTTATGCATGACATTTTCTGGATTAAATGCTGATGCAAGAATATTGGCAAATCAAACAAGATTATAATGCTAATAGTATAAAATTTATTATGAGGATGATCCTTCAGTTGATTACATTGCTAAATTTACTAGCTAACAATAATAGAAATTCACTTAAAGAGGTGGAGCAAGACCTTATGGCATTTCAACATTAATTGCCGGGTTTGATAATTAAAATAAGCCAAAGTTATTTTAGACAGATCCATCTGGGGCTTGTTCTGAATGGAAGGCTACATCTCTTGGGAAGAGTGCAAAATAAGTGAAGGATTTCTTAGAGAAGCATTGGAGAGAAGGATTGCACGAGAAGGATGCACTTCTACTAACAACGAAGGTATCGGATTGTGGTATATGTCAAGGCTTTGATGGATGTAGTTGAAAGTGGGAATAAGAACATTGAGTTGTGTGTGATTAAGAAGAACACTTGCTGGTTTTTGAGTGAGGCTGAAGTAGAGGAATTGACGAAAATAACCGCATAGATCTAATGATTATTATTATAATTAAGAGATTGAACAAATTTGGCTTATTTCAATGATGTTTTATCCTATTTTCCAATAAGGATAGTTCGCAATAAATTCAAAATATTAGGAATAATTGAGTGCTTTTTATGGAATGATATTTGAATCCTTATAATGCGGTAATAATTTAATACTTGCAATTAATAATATATATCATAATTTCATTCATTCTGAAATCTCAAATATTATAATTAATGAAACAGGAATCGTGGGACGATTTACATTTGGCAAATGAAAAATCTATTACTAAAATCTTGGAGCCTGGAGAGTAAGTGTTATTTTCAAGTCTACTCTATAAATTCAATGAAGTCAATAAACGCCAAGAGAGAACATTACTGATTACAAGCCATAACCTATACAATCTATCGAAATTGACAGTGAAAAGAAAAATACCTATCAAAAGAGTTTATGGAATAACCATAGGTCTGATTGGTACAGAATTCGTGGTGCACGTGCCTGAAGAATACGACTATAGATATTCAAGTTCAGAACGAAGAGATCAAGCAGTATTAAGCATAATCAAGGCCTATTGTTTATAACACAGAGGCACTGCATTGCCAGTCTTCTACAAGGATGAACTTACTCTCACTGCATATACGACAACTAAAGTGGACAAAAAAAAAGGTGTCAATAGATTACCAACCACTGGTTCGGAATTAATGAATGAAGAGTAATTCAGAAAGAGGATAGATTCATAAACAGAAGAACGATTGTAAACTCGAGCAAAGACTTCGACACTCTTCGCGAGATAGAAGGGTGAGGTAGTAACAATTGATGACTTTGACCTAATAAAAGTCTTGGGAAGAGGAGCCTATGGAAAAGTGATGCTGGTCGAGAAGAAAAGTGACAAATAATATTATGCTATGAAATCAATTAGAAAAGAAGACATTGCTGATCCAGAATAATTAGAACACACCAAAACAGAAAGATTAGTGTTGGAGCATGTAAATCATCCATTCCTTGTAAATTTGCATTGGGCATTTTAAACACCTGAAAAGTTGTTTTTTGTTACTCAATTCATGAAGGGAGGAGAACTATTTTAACATCTGAAACATGTCAAAAGATTTGATGAAAGCAGAACAAGATTTTATGTTTCAGAAATTGTAAATACTCATTATCATTTTAGATATTAGCATTAGAACATTTGCATTAGAAAAATATCATCTACAGAGATCTAAAACCAGAGAATGTTTTATTGGATGAAGTAGGTCACATTTGTTTAACAGACTTTGGAATGGCCAAAATGCTCAAAAAAAATGAACTCGCCAAATCATTCTGTGGAACTCCTGAATATCTAGCTCCTGAAATACTTCTAGAAACTGGACATTCTCAATCTGCAGATTGGTGGGCATTGGGCATACTAACATATGAGATGCTCTATGCATTACCTCCATTTTACAATAAAAATCAAGATTTGATGTTTAAATAAATCCAAACCAAAGAAATTACATTCCCAACTACACCACAACTCTCCAACGAGGCCAAAGATTTCATTTCTAAAGTAAATATCCAGTTTAATCTAGTTAACAATTAAAGATCCAAAACAAAGATTAGGAACAGCCAAAGTCGATGAAGTCAAAAATCATCCATGGTTTAAAGGAATCAATTGGGAAAAACTCTTGAAAAAAGAAATTGATACTCCTTTCAAACCCTAAATCCAAGGTGATGCTTGGATTGATAATTTCGATAAACAATTTACAGCAGAAGAAGCTATCAATTCATATGCCCCTGAGAATAATCTAGTCAACCAAGATGAATTTAGAGAATTTGACTATTATTAAAAATGAATTGAAAATAAATATGTAATCATTTATTAATTATGAATTTATGCTAAAGTAATTCCAAGGAAATAGGTCATTATTTTTAATCTCTTTATAAGCATAATCTTTGAGACAGATGTTGAGCTAATCGATTAGTTTTAGAAATCTTAGATTTACATTTGGCTAGAACTCATAAATCATAAATCCCCTCTTTTTAGAATAGAATTCATTCTGTAAATATAATTTAATATTTTTCTATTGATCTTTTCTTATGAATTTTATTGTGATAAATATCTGCCAAATATTCTTATAATGTCCTGCAATCTTTTTGTCCTTCGTCTGTACATTTTAATCATTTTTTTCAGTCCTTCTATAGTTTTGTGAATAACTTCTTAAATACAGAATTAAATAATAATTCCTATCATTATTATTGATTTTATTAGATCTATTATATTTCGAAATTAGACAACAAGAAAGATAATATTCTTGTTAGAAAAAGGATCTAAAATTCATTTGGTTATCTCCTTCTCTAGTAATTTTTCATTGTTATGAATATAATTTAGTCTGAAACTATACTTTTCAACTTAATATCAAATAAAAAATTATATATGGGATTTAAAGTAAATGGACAGTAACTTTAAACTTAATAAATATTATTACAATATTTTACTAAAATCGTGAACAATTTTATATATTTTTATTAAAGTAAATAATTGCTTTACTTAGGGTAAGTTAATATTTGAAAAGTTCAGATAAAGTATATTTTGAATTATATCTAAGCTGGCCATTTCCATCTGTTATAATAAAAAATCTATTTGTAAATTATTTGTAAATTTTTATTTATTATGAATTATTGAAGTATAAGCAAAATTAATGATAGAATAACAATATTCTTTTTGAAATCTTTATTTTTTGAAATCTTATGTGTTACAATGGCGAAATAGTAAATAAAGATATATCTAACTCATGAAGTTTAAATAGAAAGCTAGATTCAAGAATTTATTATTTTGGTTTTGAAATAAAGTGAAAAATTTAAGACAATTTTATAAATGATAGAATCTCTAATCAAAAAAGATATATTACAAAATTAGCAAAATGAAAAAAGTGTCTATAATACATATCACTATTCCTTAATTCATTTTCCTATCAAAGATCGGATTGTTTACAAGTCTCTAGTGTTAATCTTAAACTAGGGTAAGATTTATTATTATTAGCACAAAGTTCCATTTAGATCTTAACTCAGAGGAGACTTTTTTGCAGAATATTTATCAGGAGTTAAATATTTTTTTTTTTCTAATAGTTAAATAGTCTTGGTTATTGAATCTTAAATATCCTATACAGATACCATTTTAATCGAATTAATAAGGTGATTTGATTTCCGGAAGTATTACAGTTTACTTTTTATTTATTTTATAAGGACAATAAATTTCTTAACATAATTTTAGTTTAGTTTTTTCTTGGAACTAAGTATCGATGATTGTAATATAATTATCATTCCGATAAACCTTCTTGCTCATATTATTTTTTGTAGAGATATTCTAATCATAAAGTTGAAGGTTTTCTGTTTCGAAAATCCGTTTAATCTCACATCCTTAAGGTCTAGGATCTCTACTTGATGCTCTCTGAGGACTTACTGAGAATGAATACTTAATATTCATTTTAGCCTTTTCCTTTGGAATTTTCTTACCAAACATAATAATAGATTTATTGCTGTATATAGTTTAGATTGGTTCATTCATCTTTAAAGAATTTAGATATTAGGCCTTGACTATTAGAGTATTCATTTCAATGGTAGGTTAGAGATTTTACATATTAAATCGTTAATTCCTTTCTAAACTTTAACTATAGAGCCTTTCGTAATTTTGTTGCTTAGTTTAATGAAGTGTGATGAGATTTAAACAATACTATCTAATATCACTTGGTTTAATACCTTTATAATAGCAGAATATCGTAGAGTTTCCAAAAATCTGAATCATAGAATTGGAACACTCTCTAATTTTCTTAAATATTTTATTGCCAATTCGGTAGTGATTTCTTCACATAAGTTGAATTGGTATCTTCCTTTGGTGATTGCATCAAATCCTCAGATCTTTTCTGAATTTTATTAAGAATAAAATTAAGATTTTAACCATCACAATTTAAAATGTCAATGATACTTGAAATATAGTCAATAGCATTTGGAGTCTTGCACTTTTCAAACAATTAAGAAATCCTTATATGGAATCGGCGGATCAATCTGTTGGTTAAAATAATTAAAACTTTTTATCATGATCTTAAAGGTTATAGTTTTTGTATTTTTCTTAAAGTTAAGGGATAATTGTGTTTAAATCGTTTTCTTTTTGTTCGATCTCTTATTGAATGCCCCTAAAAATGGTATCTAAATCATCTGGATTAACCTCATACAATTTATTTAATTCCATATTTATGTATAAAAAATAAATTTATAAACTCTCTGAAAACATAGGAACTCTAAAGAAATAGAAAATTTGAGAAAACAGGTTGACATTTAATATAAATAATTAATGTGTTGAACATATTCTCATCCAAATACATTTTTAAGAAATGCTTTTTTTCCTATACATTTTAAGGTATTTAAATTTGAAATTAAGTACATTTTTTAGTTATAAATCAATTATATTGAAAAATATTCTAAAAAGTGATTTCAGTTTTTGATTATCATAAATCTATGAAAAACCTTATATAAACCCAATTTTGCTTCAACTATGACGTTTAAATGAATTTGGATAAGAATTAGTATTAAATGAATTTCTATTAAAGCATACCTGAAATTCTGTCCTAAAATTTATTTAAAAAAAAAAAAGAAATCAATAAACATTAATTATTTTTCAATGATGGATCAGGAATAGACCTGTTAAAGACATCAAAAGGATATAGAATATTTTTGCATAGAGAAATCAAACTAATCTAAAATATCATTCCTCTGTTAAGATTGCATAGATGAGGCAAACCCTTCTTAAAAATAAGGTCAAGGAAGGTTCTTTAAATTTGATAATATTCTGAAACAAGTTGAATAAGCAAGCGAAGCATTAAAGACTAAATAAAGTGATCTCAGCTAAATAATGAAGAAGTTTGAATAATTCAAAGAAAAAATTGAAAGGTATAATAATTCAATAACATTTTAGATAAATAAAAGTAGAAAAAACTTTCTTTCATGATCTCTCATAAAAAATTAGAGATTTATAATTTTTTGGTAACCAAAGGGCATTTCCTGAATTATCAAAAAACTCTTCTTATTAAAAAGCAATTTTAAATGAAGAAAGAGAAGAAGGTTGGAATAACTTTAGTTAGAAAATGAAAAATGAATTTGAGTTATTTACGACTGATATGGATAATTTCATCAATAATCAATAAAATAACTTTAATTTTGAAGCTTATGCTGAGTACTCAAACTAAAATGGAGGCAAATATAGTAAAAATTAGATTAAAGAAAATTAATAAACAAAAAAAAGTCTTATATTGAAAAAAGAGGAATAAAAGAAAATTTAAATAGCAGCTAATCCAGCGCTATTAGACTCTAATGGCATAATAGAAATAGATTAAGTTGTATAACCTTAAAAAAATCAATTAATATAGACGACATAATAGTTTCAATCAATTCAACCAATTCAACCAATTTAACCAATTCAACCAAATTAACCAATTCAACCATAATAACAATAGGAAACAGGGAACTAATAAGAAATTGCTTAAGGTACTCTATAATAAAGTATATTTAAATTAAACAAAAATCTTTTCAAAGTTAAAATAATAGAAAAAGAAGAAATAAAGCATATCTTAGTTATCAATAAAGAAGTGCAAATAGTGGCATCTGAAAGAGAAGTTCGAATATGTAAGCTTCTCAGATCTTAGGAAGGGAAGATAATTAATAAAAAAAAAATGAATAACACTATTTTGGATATTCACCTTGTTTCTCCTTAAAAAGTTCTTTTTTTCACCCAAAAATTATTGTACTTATATGACTTTAAAGATTTGTTACTTATAAAAGAAAAAACAGATAAAATTGAATTAAAGAAAAATTTATTTGCTTATTAAAATGGTTTCTTATACAGGTATGAGAGCTCAACCTAAGAATTGATAAAGTAAGAATATGGAAGCGACAAACAGCAGATAAATAATTTCGTGGATCTTCCAGATGATATGATGGTTGTTGCGATTAAAATTGTAGGTGACTAATTACATGTTGGATTTAGTAATGGAAAAATAAGACATTATGAACTTTCAAATTTAATTTAGAAGGATGAAGAGTATGTAATAAATCGAGAGGAAGAAGGAATATTTAGATTTTTTTATTTTGAAAAAGATTATTGCATCGGAGTTCAAAAAACAGTGTTATACAAATTAATCTATAAATCTAAATTTATTGATGATATAGTTAGGACGAAAGAACTTATAAAACAATGTGCATATTTGATAGACCACCAGAACAAAAAAATTGAAATTCAATGTTTATTACCAAATAATGTAATTTTCATTAGTATTTTTAGAAAGTTTTTACTTATAAGAAAAAAGACGATGTGGTATGTCGAAATAAAAAATTAAAGTACACCAAAATCTCTTGTATACAGGCTTGTCCTAAATTTAAAAAATTTTATTATGGATACATAGGTGGAGATGTAAAATGTGTAAAGCTTCAAATTTGAGTGTATTAAATTAAGTAATTTAATAAACAATTTAATTATTATCAATTTTTATATAACAAATTCTTTGTTCAAAGTATTCTATCCCAAATGAAAATATATTAGCTATTTAGAGTAAAAACGATGATAAAATCAATTAAGATTTTTCTTAATATAAATTTAATTAATTGACATTGTCAATAGATGGGGACATGTGCTCAATGCAACTCAAAGATTGAAATTATTGAGAGTGATCCTTTGATGTCTAAGGAAAGTGTATTTTAGAAATTAAAAGAGCTAAATCAAAATTCAAAATCAACAATTTTTCTGACGATGAGAAGTAATAAAAAGACTGGTAATGATAATTTGGCTGATTAATCTTCCTAAGTTAGCGAAATTAATGATGAAAGATCAGAGATGAAAAATAATATACATGGAAGTGTGAAATTAAGAAAGAGGACATATAGCTTTTAAGAAAAGCAGATGTTGTAAAAACATGGTCACATTAATGATTAAAATGATTCGCAAAAGCTTAGATGTTTTAGATTTACAGATCCAAACCTTCCAAGAAACCTGTCAAATTCATCAAGTTCAAATAGTTAATTTAGAGAATTCAATGCTCATTTCAAAATTGGTGAAAAATCAATAATTGAATCTGACGAAAGCAAATCAATAAAAAGTATTTTAAAAAAAGAGCCCAGACAGAAGAGTGAGACAAAGTCTGTTCATTTTGCAAAAAATATCAGTATGAGTTAAACGAGAATTACATCTAAATCATGTCATCATAAATAACACAGAAAGAAAAAGAAAAAACAAAAACAAAAACTAATTTGCAATTAAAATTAAAGATTTGAAAATTATTAATTTTGAATTTTGTATCACTTTTTTTATTTACTAATCCCTTTTTCATCTTCAACTTTAGGAGCTATTCCAAGTAATGTGTCTCTGAACTTTTAATACTCGCTCTCAAAATTTGATATTTCATCTAGAACTTTAGTCTTGAATTTAATAATAGAATAAATACATCTCCTGGTTGTTTTGTTTCTTTCATCGCTTGAGCTAAAATCTCTTTCTCATTTTGTTCCTTGGCTTGCTATTCTCTAAGCTTAAATCTTTCCTAATAATAATTGACCCTCCTGACTTCTCTATCCCAAAATTATCTCATGACTTTTATTTCATTCCCTTGATCTTTGCATAAACTTTAAGGGAATTCTAATAAATGCAAGGTACCATCTGAATCACCAACAGCCACGATATGTGCCATATTGTCATTAAACTTCAATGAAGTGATAGCACAAGCTACAACCTAAAATTATAGTGTCCATTTATGTGATTAATCTAACATATCCCACACATCTAGGTTTCCATCAGTTTTTCCAATGATAATTACTCCTGCTCTAAATGGAGAGAATCCACCACAAGTTATATGTGCACCTTTCAAAATTAGACTATCAAATATTGGTTAGGTTGAATTATGTTTCCATACACAAAAATTGAAATCGTGTAAAGTAAGAATGATATCATCGAAAAATGGACTAACATCCAATGCTATAGGAGGTCTCATGCTTCTTGCCTACTGCCATATCGTTGTGACTAATTAATTCTTTTATCCCTCTTCTCCCTATCTTTCACCCCAATCTAAAATGAAAACTTCTCCTTCATCAGATGTCCCAGACAATGTGGGTGTTTTCTAATCTATAAATAATTTAATTAAAAAATACTCTTTCTAAATTGCAAGTATCCACCACCCATCATTCCACCTCCTTCAGGTCGATATAATTATATTCCATATGTAGCTTTCCAGGGAATAGATGAAATCTAATTATTTAATCAACTAATTACATCTTATTATGTCTTTTTGCTGTCCTTATCTATCAAACGTGTATCCCAAAACAAAATTTGACCATCAGCACTAATACTTGCGAATTAATATGTCTCCTATGATGTGGTTAGAATAAGATGGTTAAAGTGTTTTTTATCGAATTCCATTCCTATAGGGAACCATTTAAGGGCTAATGCAGGGCTTTTGTGGGATGCAACCTACTTTTTCAATACATCGTTTGCTGCAGCTGCTTAGTATGAAGCAGGGTCTTAAAGAGCTGATGTCATTTTTGGTAATAACTCTTGTATTTCATCTAAAGTTAGTTTATGATACAAATACTTCTTTCTTGTTTAGTTTTTTATGTTTTTTTGGATGCAAAAACAGAAAGTGCTGTTCCACTTAAATCCCAAAGCATAACTTATCCATTAATTGCTCCTCCTATAATAATATTAGGGTCTTTTGGGTTGAATTCAAATGCTAGTATTTCAAGAGGCGATTATAATAGTAAAACTGGTTCAATTGAATGGATATCTTCAAAATCCCAAAACACCACCAAAGATTTATGAGACTTCAATTATGAAATAACTCTTTCTTCAAATAATAGATTTTCCACAAAAGACTCTGCAACAATATATTTTGATTTGATTGCCTGACTAGATGGTTAGAATTGTATGCACTGTATTTTTTTCCCTTTACAATTTAAATAACTGAAACTTTTGATTTCTTTGATTACATTTGTAAGTTCAGCATTTTAGTCTATAATGAATATTAATATGTTATATACCTCCATTTAGATCAGATGATGGAAGGACATTGAAATCATCTTAGTAAATATCAATAGTTTCATTTGATTAAAGAGCTTCTTCCATTAATGGATAGACAGTTTCTAAAAATTTTAGAAGTTTAAAATCCTCATCAGGTTGTTCCTATCTCTCATCTCCTTCGTCGACTTGAAGTGCTTTGTTAATTTTTCTGTTCCACACTGTTTGAGAGGAAGCATCTAAAACAGGATTACATCCTTGTATGCCCATATCTATAACTTTATTTTTGACTAATTAGAGGGGGTCCTTGTCTAATGCCTTGATTTCTCCGGTCCTTTCGGAAGTCTCTTGATCACTAAATTTGAATGTCAATCTAAATAAGGTGGATTGCAAAATTCAATACCCAAATTCCTTTCTCTTTTTGATGAACTGCATTTTGATTAGGGGTCTATCCTTAACGTATAGAGATAGAATATCCTGGTTTAATTGAAAATTTGATTACTTGAATGGTTTCATCATCATGAGGTGTTTTATAAGGTCTGGGTTCAATGGGCTTTTCTTCAACAAAATCATCGTCGTAATCCTCAGATAATTCTACTAATCAGAATGATAGATACCGGCCTTGTTATCTGAATCCGACTAGCTCATTATTTATATTATTAAAAAATAATTTGGATTTGGTTGGTAATTATAGAGTGTTTTAAATCCAATTGGAGGAGGAAGGAGAAGATGAATGAAAGTTAAAAAGAGAATAATTATATTAGTCAAGGTCGATAATACTTTAATTATTTATTACTAAATTAATTTAATTTATCGTTAGATGTTTGTTTGTTGCGGTAAGAAGAAAAAGGATCGTAAACATTTATCCTTAGGGAATCTGCATTAGTTAAATTTAATTTGTTAAGATGGTCTATATTTTGATAAGACTCTTAAGATAATAACAGAAAACAATAAGACTAATGTATTTGATTAGTAGTATTTAGGTAAGTGAAATAGTGAATAAGGAATGTAAGTTTTACTGTCCAATCTGCTTCAAATATTATGATTGTATGGATATAGATTAAGTTAGGTATGTTATAATCAACCTGCTGTTCGAATTATGTTTGTCATATCTGCGCAGTGTAATCTTTAAATAATAAAATGTATAATTGTCATTACTGCCGGAATGAACATTGCAAGTACGTGGATGTAGATCCAAACCAATAGTTAAAAGTATATATCGACTCACACCATAAATTATGAAACATTTATAATAATTAACATAAATGAATCAACATGAAAATATTAATATGTTATGATATGTATCTAATGCATTAATCATTCATCAATGGATTTTGAGGCATAATTGATTTCACAATTATAGATTGTTTATAAATCCTTGTTGCTGAGGGTATCGATAGAGTTTAATTGTTGATAGAATCTAAAAATATAATATGAAGTTTATACTAATCTTATGATTTAGAGTCCTTGATAGCAATTTTTCCTAATTATTTGAATTTGTTTTAAAGGATGCCATTTAAATCGCAATGAGTATTTCTGGCATGACCAGATGGGAACATAACGAATTGACTATCCAAATTCTTGCCATCCTTCAACAAGATTTGAACTCTTGTTGGAATACCTTCGGGATATTTATCATCATATTCCTTTCCTCCATGTTCGAACTCAGTCAAGGCCATGAGTTTCTAAGAATAGATATTGATAGCATACTCTTGTATCCTTATTTCTAACGGCTGCATGACTGTAATCATATGGTGAAAGGAAGAGAGCTTTCCAGATTTCATTCAAATCATTGGTGCTTGATAAGAGTTAATGGAATGATTTTTCAGTGAATGCCTTTCTCAACATAGTGCCCAAGATGTAAACCATTGAGTGATCAGCAGATTATCTAGTATGAGGATCTCTTTTAGCTGGGTCTCCAATAATTCCAAAGGCTGGTTCATAAGCAGTGACTTTAATTTTATCAATGGAGTCAATTGAGTAGTTTTGGACGAATTTGGTGTCCAAAATAAGCTTTTACAATCCTTCCAAAGCACCAGCAGATTGATGTTCATACAAACCTAATTTGAAATGCATTCCCATCACTGCATAATCATCTCCACCTAATGAGAGAGTAATATCAAAAGGACTGTCTCCCTTAGTCTTTTAGAACAATCTGAAAATGGCTTCTGGGTTACGGAAGATATCAGCTGGACCAACAAATCCATTCATTGATCTCTACAAACATTTAATGGCTGCTTCAGTAGAAATGGCAGCAGATGCACCCTTAGAATCTGATAATTGATGTCCTGCTCTGATGGCTCTGAATGGGATGTAATGAGCAACAAACATACCGATGGCTGATTCAATTTAAGCTGGATTGGCTCCTAACAAAGCTCCGTATGTGCAGATTGATGCAATAGCTCCATGAACAACGTGATCTATACAATATTATACGAATATCAATACCAATTTTGTATGTTTTCAATGAGAATACTTCAGCCAATCTTCCTCTGATTTCATCACTCAATACCATAGCCTTAAGTGCTGTCTTTCCATCAATAGCTGCATTTTGTTGAGCAGCTGCAATAACAACTGGGTAGTAATCATTGTGACCAAATTCACCTGCTCTTCTTGCTGGACTACTAGCATCATATCCAAACACTGTGCCATTTGAATCCCATTCTCTGACAGCGGCGGAGTTGGCTACGATTGCATTTGTGGCTGGCACCCATAAGTTGCTTCCGAAAACCTTGGCAAATCCAAGCTTTGGTTTGGAAGCTGCTCCAGTCTTGGCTGCCAATGATTTGGCTTCTTTACTAATGTTTATTCAAGTATTCGTACGCTAAAATAGTTGGAGCATTTGTTTTCAAAGCTAAAGCACTTAAGCCACAGAATACTGAATCTGTGTGGAAAAGTTTGCATCTCTCGAGCACTTTCACACTTGGATTACCATTTTTCATGAATTCAATGGCATACTCTCCTAACTCTCTTGCTTGATTCTTGTTGGCTTTTAAGACAACTTGACTGAAGGCACGACTAATTGTTTGGGTTAACATAAATATCTTTTTATTTAATGCAAAATTAAACTCAATTTCCATTAATATAGCGCATTAATATGATGGAATTAAATATGACAATTATTCATTTTGATCAATTTATTTACGCAATACGCCATAATTAATTTTTATAGTGAGCATTATTTGAAAAATCTTGTTTCTCTTCCCCATCCTCTTTTACTTTCATTTCCCCAACCATTCCAGCCTAAAAGTTATAGATACGATGCTTGGTTCTACTAATCATATTATAAATTTGATATTTAAACTACGTAAAAGTGGTAAAATATACTACCAAACTATGTAATCTACAATGTGTAAAGAGTGTGTGTCTAAATCTATCTGAATTTCTTCAAAAAAAAAGAAAAAATAGAAATCCTTATTTATTATGTAAAAGATGATATAAACTGATAATATGTCCTTTATAAATCTCTATAATTTACAACACAAAATAAAATCCATTTTTAAATGATTATTTATTAGTTTACTATTGGAAAAAATCATTTATTTTTGAATTAGAATTACATCTCTTTTACACGAATAACAGTAAAGTAAACACAGAATAATTGCAATATAATTGCTATTCTAATTATCCTTACGCAATAATTAATATTGGATTACATAGATATATCATAACCCTTAACAATTTTTAGATTTTAAACTCTGTATATTTTTTTATTCATTATTATAATAATATTTGATTATTATAATATTTAGTTTCACAATAGTATCTTCCTAAAAATTTCAAGAAAGATTCAACTACACTTCTATGTATTCATTTCTTGGTACCATATCTATGATGGCTTCTTTCATTCCGTTTGGTAACAATCCACCTGGTTTACCATAGTTCATTTACTCCAGCTTCATTACCACTCGGCATTCTCAAATTAAATTTTGATGGGTATGGAATATCAATCCTACTAAGACGTTTTGAATAACCATCTTCCTCTAGGAATACCTAGATTTTTCTCGACTATTGAAAGGCTACCGTTGGCTGCTTATAATAAATTATCCATTTGAGATGTAGGTACAACAAATAATCCATTTTTTGTTCCAATGTGATCTCTTCCATATTTATCTAAAATTGCAGTGACAATTATAAATGAAGCTCCATTATGAAAAGTTTTCAAATGCTGATCAATATAATCTTAATTCAAAACTACTTATGGTTCCGGTCTGAATCCTTTAGGTATATTGAGGATTAACTCTTCACTCCAACCTAAATTATAAATTAAGGGTGATTTGCTGCTCTATTTGTTGCGATTAGTATCAATTTCATAGCAAGCCTATCTGCCATCTATCTTAGAATTGAGATTACATCATACATATTATTAATTAATGAGAGGAAACACTATGAATATAATCCACGTCATTTTCATATCAATTAATATAAATATTTAAAATATTTAAATTCATAAAATAGAATATTAAATATATAAAGTAATTATTGATGAAAATTATAAAATCTGTCGGTATCACTAATAAAATTACAAAGTACATCTTAATTGTTATTTGTTACTAAATGTATAGACAATAAGATTTTGTAAATGTTAATAATATATATATAAGCATAAATTAAAATATAGATATTTTACTCTAAAGTGTGATAAATATGTTAATTTTTTGTATATTGATTGAATTTTTTTTGAAGGTGTTGGCAAAAGAGTTTTCGGTTTATAAAAATAATTAATATTTGCTTCTCAGTTTGGAATCATATTGGGATCAAACTTAACTTATGAAACTCAATCAGATTAACCCTGCTATATCATAAATTAAAAATTAAAGAATAAGCAATCATAAGAAATCAATCTAGTACTTGAATTTAATGAGAAGACATTTGCGAATTTTTATGATAATGGGAAATTGAATGGAGATATCAATTTTATAGTTTAGATGGTACCAATTTCAACTGGTGCAGTTGTATTGAGCAATAAAGGGGAATTAATTTATTTAAAATTAGTAGAGAATTCTTTTCAATTGGCTGATTCAAAGATGTTATCTATTACAAAATAAGTATTCCTCAAACCTGTGTATCTGCAATACATCTAGAATTCGAATGATTTGTTGATCCTTACTGAATGGCAAAACTTTGAAAATCAAATTGGATAAGAGGGCTAATCAATTTTTTGCGAAATTATAAAGATTTATGATGTTTTCTTAACGGAAAATATAAAGAGTGTGGCCATTCTCGAAGACTTACTATTTGTGGCCTCAGGTGAATAAGGGTTGCATGTCTATTAGGTGAGCAAAAGAGTATTTGAACAGATACAATGCACTGTGGAATTTAAAAACATTACAGATATAAGAGTGGTTTCGGAGAATTCAGTGGACTATATTTTTGCACTTGACTATGAAAAAGGCATCAAAGTAATCACTTTCAATACTAAAACAGGATTGTTCTACGAAAATAAATCATTAACTAATATACCATATAGAGGGGAGATTATTGATTTGTATTAGGATGTGTTAATGGTTGTTAAAGAGAAGGAAATTGATTCTATAATTCATGAATTGCGTATTTAATATGAGACTAATACATGGAGGTTGATCCATTAACATTCAGCATAGAAGTACATTCAAGATATTGAAATGACTGAGAATTACGCTATCATTTTAGGGAGAAATGGACACGAAATAATATATCATTCTCTCCCTTCTTATGATATTAAAATTCAGGATAAAATTATTATACCTGGATTACAGAAACTCTTTTTTCTTGATAAAACCCAGTCTAATAACATTTAGGTGTTCGGAGTAACAAAACATATGTTCTTCACTACAAGACTATAATTGTTTCCTCAATTCATTAGTTGTTTCTATAGCAAGGAGGAAAATGAGATAAAGTTTACTTATCATCAGAACTCTACAAAATGTCCTGGGTCAGCTTAAAATAAGATTTGCCAATTCAAATAAAATTACACTGTTCAATTTGTTCACCCTATTCTTTTACATCGGAACAATCGATCTATGTGTATATAACATGTCTGATCATTGTAGCACTCTTTGTAATAGTTTTGGGTTTTTTGATAAAAGAATTCAACAGATACCAATTTATTGTAAAAAATCATAGCTCGAAAGATCCCTCTGATTAATAAAGTGGAAGTAGGGCTCCTCCAACCAATGATATATATGTTCTGAACTCATTTGATAGCCGATTGAAAATTAGTAAAAAATCATATATACCTTCCATTCATGTATAAAATGACTAAAAGATTGAATGAAAATATAAAATTAAATATTTTTAATTATATGTTCATTATTCTTTAACTCTTGGTTTAACAAATCTAATCTGAATCTATTTAGATTCTAACCAAGCAAGAAGCAATCCTAGATGTCTTTAGTTCATCTGGAATAATCCTCGAATAATAATTAACCAATTCAAGTTTATGTCACATCGTTCCTTAATAACTGGTGGCTCACGACATTGACGACAATTCAATAACCTTAATTGAGAGCTACAAGGATGATTTATTTAGTTTAAACTTTGAACTTGGATCCTTCAATGGAAAAATAGGAAAAATTATCAAATTTGTCTAACTCAACAATGGTGTTCTCGTCTTATAAGATGATGGCCAATTGAAGTATCTAAATTACCAAAATAACTCATTTCAACTGAAATCTACCTTCAAATTAGAAATAGAGAAATTTGCATTAGAAGGCAATGTATTCTTGGAATACTTCTATTACTAATCATAAGTGTTGTTGATAGCAAACACTTAAACTATTGCCTTAGATATCATCCATGACGAAGATGATTTGTATATCAAATAGTATAAGATTTATGAGTAATGGCAAATCTCACACATCAATAGCATTGCCACTGTTGGTAATATTATGATTGTGGCTATGGACTCTGGTATAAAGATATTCGAATTTAAAGATCATTTATTAAATGAGATTATGATCGAAATTAGCCACATTAACCGTGTTTAGGATGTGAAGATATTTAATAAAAAGAATAATGAACTTTATTACATTTATTTGTTAGATACAATCTCAGGAATTAATCAATACATCTTTAACACTGTAACTTAAAAATTGGAGCATAATTCTAAGTTAGGGATTATTCCATATCCAGGAGAAATTCTTGACATCTATGGTGAAATCTTAATGGTTGTGAAGGACAAATATTTGTACGAGATTCGAGTTGATTATTATCGAAATTAATTCACTCTTGTTAAATAGCATCAGTTGGAAACAGATATCATTGATATAGAATTAACAGAACAATTCGCCATAGTGATTGGCAGAAATGGCCATTAAATTTTGTTTCATTCAATTCCATCCACTTATTCTTAATTTGAGTGGATGAATTAATTGGTTATACCGAATTTGAAATAACTGGGAATATTGTCTTTAAATTTAGATCAATAGAACTTAGAACTGAAAGAGGCCACTTCATCTCACAATATCATTATTGGAATTACGTAACATAAGTTCTTTTTTTCGAAAGTGGAATTGGTAAATATCTTAATTATTCGAATTAGGAGTAATCCTTTATTTAATGTTATTCCGATGAAATCACCTCCTAAATTTAATTGAATTATAGTCACAAGGCTACTAGATGTAAGACTAATTTGAAGAGGAACGAATGCGATCTAATCAAAAGCTATACAATCTAATTCGTAGAGCCCAAACAGTTTGGAGGTAATAAATAAACTTATTTATTAATAATATTACTTTACATAGTAATATTGTTACTATTTATTTTATTTATTGGATCCTTAATATATCTCTATAAGAAATATCAAATTGAACCTAAATAATAGTCGTGTGAACAAACACCTGATGTAACATAAAATTTGAAAACAGACCATTAAAGCAATTTTCCATAGCCATCGTCGAAAGAGATAGCTCCTGTCTCTAGAGATGACCAAACAACCAATTTCTGAATAGCGAGATTAAATGAATCTGTAACTTCGAAGCAAAAGACCCATAACACAAGAAAATGGTGATTTATCTCCAGGACCCTTCGAAATCAGTTGAATTTAAAAAATCATTATTTTCTAATTATATTATGATATAAAAAAGCTAGTCACTTTAAATCGTTAGGATCTAGAACTCCATTTCATAGGATTTATTCAGAAGTATTTGATTCGAGCACAATAATTGTCAGCATAATCTTATTGTATTTCATCACCTTTCAAATGAGAACTCTGATAATAAATATATAAAAGTAATTATACCTTTGGAAAAGGAATTTAAGTATTCAAATATAGAGATTAAGAGAGAAAGAAGAGATTCAAAAGTTAAGATAAGATCTTCTGAATATGATGTAGAAGTATATCAAACTTAAGGAAAAGAATACTAAAAATGAATTAGTTATATTTAATTTTAATTGTTTTTATAACAAATTTAAATCGAATGGCTGAAGACATCGATTAGAAATTACTTTAGAGATTTGAAATCATCCAAAAAATTCGAAAGGTTTCTGGAGGAGTCATTTGGAAAGCAATAGATAGGAAAACTAATAGTGTATTTGAATTTATTGAAATATTGTTAGTCGCTATTAAAAAGATCGATTATTCAGCTAATCCTTTGCATCTTTTGAAATCTATGAGAGAAACAGTGATACTTTAAGAAATTTCTAAACATCAAAATATTATGAAAGTTTTGTAAGTTATTAATAAAGGGAATGATCAATATACTATTTATGATTTTGTAGAGATGGATTTGATTTCGCTAATCAAAGTCAAGATACTCGAACCAGTATTTAATCATCACATTCTTATAGAAACACATCCAAATAATATTATGCAATATAGTATCTGCTCTTTACTTTATACATTCTGGAGGATTGGTTCATTTAAGTTTGACACCATCTAAGATATTGGTTGATTCTGAATGCCAGATCAAATTGATAGGGTTTGGATTCTCTCAATTGCTACCAATCAAGGACCCAAAATACACATGTTTGCATTATCTTCCACCAGAGATCTTATTGTAAGGGAAAGTCAATACATCTGCAGACATCTGGTCATTGGGATGTATTTTCGGAGAAATGTTGTGTCATCACACCTTATTTACCGGTAATTCCACTTTCAATCAAATCGAAAAGATAGTTGAACTTATAGGGAAACCTAATGATACCAATCTAAGCGAATTAGCCCCCTATGTTCTATAGGGCATATAATCAGATAGAAAGAAGGCATTCACAAGTATAAGTGATGATTCGACCGCGATTGATTTGTTAAAGAGAATGCTGGTTTTTGAACCTCATGAAAGAATCACTCTAGTTGATATTTTAAAGCATCCTTATCTTAGTGAATTCGCCAACAAATGTGAATTAAAGAAAGCCATAGCTCCCTTTTAAATCGAAGAGAATTCTTTCAAAGAGTTTTAGAATGTCTTAAGAGAAAGAGGGAAGAAGATTGAGTAGCCTTCTATTAATAATTCCTTCAATTAGTAATTGGACTCTAGCAGAAAGAAATCATTTAAAGAGTCGACTCCCATTTCAGCTTTGAGGTAAAAGACAACAACTAAGATCAAAGTGAATTCTCCCATCCAAAGTCCGAAAATATAGAAATTATATTAAATTGATGAGAAATAGAGATGAAAAACTAGTTATAATCGTTTACATTAATTCGCAATGTATATTGTACTTATATTATATAACATCAATCTGTATGTTAAGATCCCTTTGTGGCACCAACACCTGGCTTTCCGTGTCTTGTTGGTTTATATGTCAATGAAAATTCACCCAAATATCTATACGTTTGCAATTCAATAGTACCTTCCGATCATGTCAAACTTAATTTCCACGTTGCTGAATTATCTGCCATTATACACACCTACGATTGAGCCAACCATTTCTGGGACGACAATAGTGTTTCTTTAGTGAGTCTTAACTGGTTTGGGTTTCTCTCCTGGTAATGTCTCCTTCTTGGATTTACGAATCTATACAAATTAATTGTATTCTCTACTTTCTTCATTAAGTTTTAGAAAGCGTGAACTTTTTCACCTTAATTAGAAATTCTTCTTCTTTATCTTGCTCTGAATTATTCAACCAATTTATCCATGGGCAATTTAACAAGCTCTTCGAGTTATAAGCCTCTGTAGGTAAACTTTTTGACACCCTTGAATTATTTATCTTATGTTTATTCAGCCATTATTTGAAAAATGAAAATTAAAGGATTTTAATATAATCTAAAATAAATAATTATAAATAAAATACCTAACCTTAAATAATAATCATAATTCACTACACAGTGATTCCAATGTGATATCAGTATTACAAATTATGAATTCAATCTAACTCTTTCAATTTCATATACATGTGTTGAAGTGGAGTAAAAAATGAGATAAGTTTATATATTTTAATATCCATGAATTATATCATACTATCAATAGGAAATCTACAATTCAAATATGTAGAGATCTAATCTTAAAGTTGATGAAATTAAATAAGTCTCTGAAATGTTCTAAAACTTATGTGTCCAAGACAACATGGGTTGCTCTTTTAACAACTTTAAGATGATTATTTCTAGAAAATCAAAATGAAAAATTATAATAATAATAAAAATGGGGAGTAAATGCTGCAAAAGTGACACCTATCGAACAGAAATGGTTAGTGAGATAAGAAATTTCAATTTCAATGATCCAAAATAAGAATTTTCACTTGAATAGCGAATTATCAGAGAACTTATGCTGGACACAAAAACAGTTTACTAATTGTAGATCTGCTTAAAAAAATTTTTGCTTGAGAATGCCTTCTTAATTAAGGAGGAGAAGATTGAGGCATAAGACAAGGGAATAGTCTCAAGAATTTCAGCACCTCCTTTATTGGATTAGGTTTGGCAATTGGCAATTTTATATTCATAAAATTACATTACAATTTGTAAAAAGCTTGTAGGATGTATAATTGATAGAGAATATAATTAATAAAATATGCATTAGAAAATTCTGAAAAGGATGTTGCCTGATTATGATGATAAAATGTATTAAATTGAATTGGAGTTTATCATTTGGATAAATTCTTACGAATTGGAACAAGTGATGATTGATATTCACAATTGCATAGTGAATGAAGAAACCTTGTCTTTCGAAATGATCTTGATTTTAATGATGCAGATCAAACTGAATTTATGTAAGAATGAGACAAAGAAATTTCAAATGAAACAGATTAGCGATAAGAATATCGAAGTTGTATTTAAGAAAATATAGTAATTGATGCCTCGGGATTTAGAATTTACCATAATGCATAAATATTGCTTAAGTCAGTAATTAGCCAAACAATACATTTACGAGTATTGCCATTTTATGACGATGCTGAAATTCTCTCAAACTGTTTTGGTTCCTAGTGAAGAGGTTGATTAAGTTTGGCACACCCATTAATGTATGACAAAATAATATCGCTAGTTTTGCTATGCAATCTATGACAGATTTATTTATCATAATCCTGCTAACTTAGGAAATCAAATTGCAGTTTAAGATTTCTATTCACAAACACTTTTATTTTACAAACGAATTTTTAAATATGAACCTGATTCCTAAATTTGGCCTTGTAAAGAAGAAAGGTGGAATCCCTAAAACTGTTTGGGATCATGGGTGAATCTTTACAGATTGTCAATGAGTATTATCCAATTAATTCAAGAAAAGCTGCAACCAACCTCTAAGAATATTCTCTAAAAGTATCAGACTTGGAAAGGAACAAATGTTTTTCGAGATCAAATTTAAATTTAGGTTGAAAAATCTACGGAGATGACTCAGAGTGCTTTATAATATTACAATTACGAAGTTGGTTGCTACAGTTTATCCGAGTTGGAAGAAGATAGGTTTTCATCGAATTAGAGGAGAAACGAGTTGTTTTTTGACGATGATGTCATCATAAACTCTATTTAGTGATATATGATCTATTGTTGATAATTAATTTATATTTCTATGGAAAAAGCTATTCTAACATTGGGCCTTGCATTGCTCCTGGGCACCCTATACAATTTGAATTCCTCTCCTTCTCTTGATTTAAAGTAGAAGTACACTGAATACAAATTGACCTTCAATAAACAATACACTTCCGCAGAAGATTTATATAGATTTTAGGTTTACTTGTAAACCTTAGAAGAAATTGCACTCAAGAATGCCAGATTGGGTAGACAAGTGTATGGCGAAACCTAATTTGCTGATATCACTGATGAAGAATTCAGAGAACAATATCTGACATTAAAATATTCCCCTGAAGAATATGCAAATGTACAAAGAGAGTCATTCTCACATATTACAGCTGACCCTAAAGAAGTCGATTGGAGAAATCTAGGAGCAGTTACCCCAGTTAAGAATCAACTTAAGTGCGGATCTTGTTGGACATTCAGCACAACTGGAGTTTTGGAAGGATTTTTCAAAGTTACAACAGGTGAATTGCCCTCCTTATCTGAATAATAATTGATAGATTGTTCAACCACAGTTGACTTAAACTTCGGTTGTAATGGTGGTATGCCATAAAGAGCTTTGAATTTTGTGAAAAGAAATGGTTTAACAACAGGAGACAAATATCCATATGTATTTTATAATTTAAATCATTATAGTAAGGAGTATAAGGAGAACAATGTTTAGTGAAGGGAGGATTATACAAAGTCAATGGATCTAAAGTATTAGATATATCAGAGTGGGCTTTGTATCAAGCATTGTAAGTACAACCAGTGTCTATTGGTGTTGATGCAGGAGGATGGAAGAATTATAAGCCAGCTGAAAGAGAGGTCTTTAATTTTGATGAATGTGGAGATAATTTAAATCACGCAGTCTTGGCTGTTGGTTTTACTCCAACTGCTACAATAGTAAAGAATTCATGGGCTAATACATGGGGTTCTTCAGGTTACATTTATCTTGAAAGAGGTAAAAATACTTGCGGACTTTGGAATACCATGGTTGTTCCTATTTGATTAATATTATATAATAATCAATAATGTCCAATTCGTTATTGTTTTCGAAAATTCCTTAGACTCTCTTTTTATATTAATAATTATATAATGAATCAGATTAATCCAGATTAAATCTTATCATCAGAGGAGGTCAAGGCAGCTAAGGATGCCTTTGAGGCATATGATAAAATGGGCTATGGAACGTTGGAAGTTGAAGAGTTGCAAAAAATACTTGAAGAATTTGGACATAAGCCAAGTAAGGAGGAGTTATAGTAAATGATTACTTAGGTTGATGTGAAGAATAAGGGATTTATAGGTAATAGTATTGTGTATTATTTGAGACTTTGAGGATTTCAAGAGAGCAATAGCAATTTACAAGATCATAGAAGAGGATAACGAAGAAGATGACACATGTAAATTAACAATTATATTGTATAAGTGGATGCTTTTGTGGCTATGGGAGGGAATGCTGATAAAAGTGGAACTGTGGATGCAACAAAATTGATATAAGTAAGGATTATTATTATTTAGATTATTAAATCTGATTTTAAGATGACAATTGATATTGAAGTAAAGATGCATAAATATGAACTTAGAGATTGATTAATGAAATGGATCGTGACAAATCAGGTTAGATATCATATTAAGAATTTAAAAACTTACTCTCTGATTGAAAGATGTAGAATTATGTTATTTATTGATTATTTATTCGCATTTTAACTCTTATGTTGTTTCGATTATTGTAATTTAAGAAATAATTATTTGTTTGTTAATTTAACGATGTCGAAGTGGTTAGATATGAGTTTAACATGTACCCAAATTAGTTTCAAGTCACAACAACCTGTTTCATGTATTGTAACATTCATCAATCCAAGATAGTCCAATGAATTGTGTCTTTGAACATGATGGACACAAATTATATTTAGGCAATATCAATGCAGCAAATGACTCTACATATCTCAGAAAACACGATGTTGGAGCTGTACTGTCTGTGATTGACACTAGTGATATTAAATTAGAAAAGTCAGTTATTCACCTAGTAATTACATTCCTTATCATAATAGTGGATTGCAGCTGAGGATTGTGAGACAGTTCAACTAATTAGATATTTTGATTAGGCATCTAATTTTATATAAGACAACCTAAGACACACTAATATATTAGTTCATTGTTATGCTGGTATCTCAAGATCAAGTTCATTGATAATTGCTTACTTACTCAAATATCAAGGCTACACGTTAAAAGAAGCCCTAAGCAAGTTGAAATGCTAGAGACCATAAGTCGATCCAAATAATGGGTTTTTGGAGCAATTAAAATAGTATGAGGAGAAATTGAAATCAAGCAAAACTCAATAGAGTTCTAGTCTTAATAAAAGTGCAAGCAAATTTATAAGTCTGAGTTCAAGCGTTGAAAAATAGAATTCGATCCCAAAGGGTCGATAGAACGTTTCAAACTTCAATATTTATAGTAATCTTAATCCTTAAGTTACTAAAACTAATATCAGAAATCTTTAATTGAAGACTATTACAGTTCCAAAAGCAAAATAAAGCTTCTTAGAGAAGAGTTGCAGTCCATCTAATATTAGCACATAAAATAGCTGTTAAGGGAAGAGTTTCTTTTCGAATGGTAAACATGAAGATCCTTGGAAACAGTACTAGAAAATAAAAAATTAGGAAACTGTTTGGAATAAATAAATACTGGGAATGAAAAACATTTACAGTAATCACAGTAGATAACATTCTTTAAATATGTGAATTTGAGTATTGATATTTTTATAAATAGAAATTTACTATATATAAATTAAACTTAATTATTTATGCTTAACATTTGTCTAAGTGGATTTGATTCAAAAGAGAAGACTACTCTGTCAACATTTATTGAGGAACTCTCCGATATAGGATTCAAACAGTCTCAAGGCATGACTTTCTAAGTTAATGTTTTGGTGTGTAATTCTGCTTTTTAGTCAGATAAATATAAAGTATTATGATTGCCATAAAAGGTAGCAAAAAGACTAGATGTTGATGTTGTAAATAAAGAGTGGATCTATAATTGTTATAATTAACGCTAAAAACTAGATACAAAAAAATATTTACTTAAACCATTCAGAAATATCAAATTGGCGCTATTAGGTTTTATGAAGAGTGAACTCGATAAATTAAAAGAATTTATAGTTAAAAATGAAGGCGTTGTTGAATCAGATATCAATCAATCCGATCTTGTAGTCTTTAAAAAAGGCTCTTAATTTGAGTTCGAATTAAAGAATTGCACAAAGTGTTTAGTAGATTCCGACTGGATTATGTAATGTTATGAAAGAGCTGAATTCGTGCCTACCCAATACTTCCAATATAATTAGTAGAAATTGAATGCAAGAGAATTACTAGAGAATTTATAAGGAAGTGGTGTGTTGGAGGCATTAAAAAAAGTGCAACTTTCCGAATATTGTTATCTCACCAATTGTGTGATTTATATTGCTGTTAAGGATGACAATCTCAAAAGGATAATATCACAATTGATTTCAGCTGGAGACGGGTTCTATGTCAACACTCTCCTCCCCATTGTTACTCATGTGATCTACTTATAGGGATGTAGTGAGGAAGTCAATCAATAGATATATTAAGTTATTCACCCTATGTGGCTTTGTGAATGTTTTAGATTAAGACGAAGGTTGAGAGAAGATGAATATTAAATCAGAATTAAATCTTCCTTTGAATAGACTGCTGTGAATAGTTTTGCAGCTAGTCAAGAGGAAATTCAAAGAGATTAGTTTGTATTTGGTAAGATCCCTGACTCGAGAGCTTTCGGAGAAGAAAATAATAACACTTCGAAATTCGGACTTAAATCTTAGTCATTTAGCAACAATAATAGCAATATGTTGGCATTCAATAGATTCTCAAATAATACTGCAAAAAAAACCAAGTTATTTGAATAATGCTAAATATTTGTTTTTGATCATCCAACTCTTGATAAGGCTGTTCTTTCGTTATTGAATGATAATGGAGCATTAGTCGAAAGATTAACCTATCCAATGAAAGTCAAGGTTTCGAATCTAAAGATTAGCAAATCTAAGGCTGTGCTAATCTTTTTATTGCCTGATCATGAATAATGTAAAGAAACAACTTAGATCATTGAAAAAGATTGCAAAGTACAATCCATAAAGTATTACAGTTATAGATGGGTTAATTATTGTTTAGAGAAGAATCTTTTGGAACTTTAAGTGGTCAATAAAAAATTATATCATCTATAGCCTACGAATTAATAAACACCTACTCAAATCCTAAAGAACAAATTAATATATGTTACAACAAAGGATATCAATCAAAAAGTAGTTTTTAAGGAACTGGCTAAAATAGTCACAGGCAAATTTCCAGAATATAAATTATCAGAATTAGATTATTATGTCTCAGATAAACAAGGAAAGAAGTTTAAATAAATATTAGATATAAATAGAGGTGGTAGGTTAATGAATTAAATTGAGATCAAAGATATTGATTGGTTGTTATAGTAATATATTAAATAATAAAATCAATGAAAAGTATCATTTTATTTATTTTCTAATTTTAATCTTATATCCTATTATCAAATTTAATCTTTATTTGATGATATTTAATGTTAATTATATATTATATTTTACAATATTCTATTTTTAGATCAATACAATTTAATTAATAAATTAATGAGTTTCCTAATCTAAATATACTTCGACTTGGAAATGGCCCATTGTCGCTCTTTCTAAAATTCTTAAGATAATAATTAAATTCAATCGTCTAATGCTATATTCATTTATTTCATCGATTATATAAATTATATCTTTTTTCTATTTGGTGAAACAAGCCAATATAATAATACTTTGTCCTTAAATTCTCTGCAATAGTAATCTCCATATTTACAGAGTAATAGCGTTTCTTGTCATAGACTAATCCAGAATTTCAAAATATGAATTTGATATTTCGCAGACTATAATTTAAGATGATCAATACACCCTCAAAAAATGAGTAATTTAACTAGAACTTAAAATGATCAATAAAAACCTTTGAAACATGTGTAATTTAGTATGTTGTTATTTAAATAAAAAAATTATATTCAATATCTTATGATCAAATATCCTTCTTTAAATTTGTCGTAATCAATCATGATGGTGAAATTTATGATCAAGAAATTATTTCCATAGAAGTAATTCATCGGTTATTTCTTAAGTGCTTTCTTTCCTTTTTTGCTTTATTCTATTTTTAGCCATTTCCATAAATGGGATTTGTCTAGATTTAGTCGTTTTAGATATTATTTTTGGACTGTTTTCTTCTTCGGCCGGGCTATTGTCCCCGTTTAAAATCAACTAGTGTATGGTATGAGATGGAAATGCTTGCATATTTTAAATAATATTGTAATAGATAATGTGGGGATTAATATAAATAACTGACGAATTGTTATCCATATTGATTAAAGATTTAATCAAAATTATTAAATAAATTTACACACATGAATTAATTCATATAAATTTCTTCTAGAAGAAATTATGTAGTAAAATTTGATGACAATCTATTCTTTGATTATGATCAATGCAGAACATCTTTGTGAGTAAATCAAGGAGATCGTGATCTTTTATTAACTAACCTAATTATAATTATGGCTTTGGGTAAGGGAGAGAATTTAGTTTGGTTTTAATTTTGGATCTCTCTTTCATCCATCTTGGAATTGGACCAAAAATGGATTGGATTATTGCCAAGTGCATTAAATCATTGTTTCCTACTTTAATAAATACGGATCCTATATGGTTTTTTGTTTTGACTATATACCCGTATATAATTCAACAATAAGGCATGCTAGACTCCAAATGTCACTTGAGGTATCCCAGGCATCGCATCTCAAGATTACTTCAGGTGCTCTGTATTATCTAGTATTGATGACAGTGCTATGATGTTCATTGGCTTAGGTGGCACCTCCCATGTCAATTAATTTCACAAGATGTCTTAGTCATTTTACTTGTGTATACTTTTGTTGGTGAGAAAAAACGATGTTTTCTGGTTTTAGATCAGTGTGTGTAATGCCAAGAGAATGCATAAACAAGAGCGAAGTAGTGATCTGTTGAAATATTGATTGGAGTTCTGTAATGTTGAGAGAATTTTATTGGAGATATTCATGGAGATTAAGGCCAAGCTGTATTTAATTGTTTAATATGCTACCCTTTCAAGTAAGATACAATGATAGTCCTACCAAGCGAAGTAATCATAGAATCTAACGATACCAGCCTCACCAAATGGATCAAACTACTAGATTTATTTTAGAACTTCCACTTCTGTGTGATCAGTTTGGCTCAAGATCTGAATATTAATCGAATAACTTTAACAGCATATGGAATTCCTAACTCATCTATGACTTCTAACACCATTCCGAATGTCCCTGAACTTAAATACTTTGTGATAACATATTTGTCAAGTTTTTCCCCAATCTCGTATAAGAACTGACATCCTGATGAGCAGCTAGAACTACTGCTGCTACTTTTATCGCTGCTACTTTCAGAAGAAGAGCTACTACTACTACTACTACTACTCTCCGTAGTTGAATTCATAATCAATCTACTTTATATTTTGCTAATATCACTTAAGCTTAGAAGTATTTCTACTTCGGTATCGATATTGAGTTGTTGAAGTTTCTTGCCCTTACATACACTATTTTTTAATATTATTATTAATGTTATTATTTAATCAGACAGGTGGCTTTATACCTGAAACAGACTATCTAACAGTTGAACCTGAAGTTTTCACAACTGACTTGGTGACTGTAGTGGATGAGGTCACAATCTGTAATATAATAGATAGATTTACCTTCTGTTTCTTTAATGCTTCTAATTCTATTTCTGCATTCATTAATTTCTCTTGAGTTTCACTATATTCATGATTAATTTCTTAAAACTTTCTTTTCCATACTTCTGCTTCATTATTGACTTCCATAATTCTTTAGGTCACTGTTTCACTTTGAGTCTGTTGAATCAATAATCTGAGCCTTTCATTTTCATCTTCCAATTCATGCACCTACACTCGATTAGGAATATGAATACTCTTGTATTGTCCATTTACTTCACTACTTCAACAGTCTTTTTCTTTTCCAATTCAGAAATCAATTATTATAAATACAAGACTTCATCTCTCCATGGAGCTTCAATCTCTTCTCTGGAAACTACTCCCAATCTTACTACTGCCTATTATTAAGGTGGACAGCAAGATTAAGCACTGGATCCGCACTACATATTTGAAGCACACCCTCCAAGTTGTATTGATTATCCAGGATTGAATGATGTTTGCATTTGATAATGTGTGGATAACACTTTGCTTTGGTATGAATTTTATTTGCCTTTTTTGTGCCAAAATTAATAGGCTTCTGGTCTTTCGGATCTCAAGTAGGTTGTGTTCTAGATTTCATCAAACTAATTTACATATTAAGTCTAAGGAAGTGTAACTTATTTTCTTTCCTATACAATGGATTCTTAACGAATTGTTGTGTAATTACTCATATCTTTAATATATAATTCTTTAATTAATTATGGATAAAGTAGAATCAGATTGTGTACTCTGTGTATAGGAAGCAGACATAATTGGACTGGGTCATTGTAACCACAAAACATTCTGTTATCAATGCATGATCAAAATGAGAGTGATAAGCAAAATAACAATGTGTCCCATTTGCAAGCAATAACTTGACAAGATAATTCTCACTGACAATCTCAATGCTCAATTCGCAGACTTTTAAATCAATAAACTCATACCAATCACATATTCAGTATGATATTAACTTATATCACACCTTTAGAAGGAAGCAAAAGATGTCTTTTATACAGATTCCGAGGATATTAAAACGAAAGTCGAAAGTCTCAACAATTTTAAATGCCCATTCCAAGAATGCTAGAATGGGTAATTGATGAGCAATTACAATCAATTACGATTCCACCTGAAAGATTAGCATCAACGATAATTTTGGTATCAATCAATTACTTATCCTTAGTGACGTCTGTATTGAATAGAAGACCTGTTTTCTGGTTGAATAATAGGTGTATACAGATTACGAACACCGTAAACATCTACAACATGGTGATTATGACGAAGATGGCAATCTCATCTTTAAACATCCCTATTGCAAATATTGCAAAAAGAACTTTTATGACGAAGACAAATTCAAATACCACTTGAACATCGCTCACATAAATTGTAATTTGTGTGACAATAGAAAGTTTGTATTCTACAAGGATCACTTAAGTTTTGAAAAGCATTTAAAGCTCTCACATTTTTTATGTGAAGAGCCATTATGCAAATCAATGTTGATAGTATTCAAAAACGCAGGTGAACTTGATATGCACAAGAATTAAAGTCATCGAAATGATCCAAGAATAAAGAAACCAAATCAATATAATATTCAATAATTTGCTGGATTTTATGATAATCCAAAATAAAACGTACAAAACAACGACAATGAGGGATGGGATTTCAGCGATCAATTCCCATCACTTAAATAAACAAATCTAAGAGCTGTTGTTCATCGTGATTAACATAATGATGAAAAAATCGACTTTAGAGACTTTTTATATGTTGATTACAATGATGAAATAGATAAATAATCTGATCAAAGTGAAAAACTCCATTCTTAATAAAATGTTCATTTAGAGGATCTTCGTCTTGTCAAACCTGCAACTATTCCAAGCATTAATCATGATTCCTTTATTAGAAAATGTTCTTTCTTCTTGAGAAATCAAAAAGGCAAAGAAGATCAAATTAGAAAAATGATTAGCATGTTTGAATAAGAGAGATATGATCCTGAAAATTTTACCACTGATTTCATTAGATTATTTGAGTTGAAAACAGGATTAAGATTGATAACCTTCTTTATGGCTATGAGAGAGCTTAAAGAGAGGAAAGATTTATGGAAAAAAGTTGATGATGTATATTTTAAAGAGTTGCAGAGGTTGCCAAAAAAAAATAATTCAATTATTATGTAATGCAAAACTTACTCAGAATTGTTTTTAAAATTATTAGATGAATTGAATATCAATCTGGCTTGTAGAATTGAAAAGGGAGAACTTAAAAATTATGCTGATACTGCCATGCCAAAAGAGAGAATATTTTAATTTATTGAAGTACTCAGACATGTAAAAACTTAAGAAATGGGTAAATTCAAGTTTGCTTTGAATTTTGGTTTGGTCCAATAAGTATTGGAGCACATTAAATAAAAGATTTTATTAGATGATTTCTCAAACATTTAAGGTACTTACTTAATTTATGATTAGAACATATCTCAAAGATTAGCAATCATGATCTAGTTCCTTTCTATTTGTATGTTAATTTAAGCTCAAAGATCTTAAAAGGAGAGTAAATTCATAAAGAATAAAAGGATGTCAATGAATGTGTATATTTGGAATACTTCTAAAAAAATCCAAAATTATTCAATCTTATTTCAAAACCTGAAGTAATTGAATCCAGCAAATAGTAATTATTGTAAAAGATCCCAAAAAATTAATAAGGAAGTGGTTTAGATATGAATGCATTTGATTTTCCGTCCTTACGTAATTATAATAATAAATTTGTAGCTAAGGCACCAAAAAAAGAACAGACTATTGAATAATTCTAAGTCAAGACTGTTGAGCCTTAAAAATAGTAATAGCAGGAGAAGAAATAAAAATAGAACACTTAATCTAAAAAAGGGAAATAGGAGGATAGTGGAGCTGCAATATTTTAATATTAACCTACATAAGAAGAATCCTTCCCTAGTCTTATATCTCAACCAGGTATCAATTTCTAATTATCATTAGCTGAAATACAACCTAAACATGTAACCAAAGTAACTGGAACATTTGTAGAGGATGAAAGTTTTGTACCACTTACTACTTACTAACCAGTTAGAAATTTAGAAGGAACAGAATGGGATTCAAATCCTATAGTACCAGTAATTTAATTTTGTTAATAAATTATAGAAAAAAAGCTCGTAAATGAAGGAAGTTGCCAAGATAAAGAAGAAAAATAAGACTATAGTGTAAATATCTGGCGGATTTTGTTGAATTATTATTGTTAATTGGTTGAATTTAAAATATTATTGATAAATTCATTTTGCTAAATTTGTTTTTAACACTTCTGCTACTTTTTAGATAAATTCCAAAGTATTCAAATATTAATCTCGTGGGACACTAAAATATACAAATATTGATATACTTCAACGTATTATGAACACAAATGGCCAAATCCTTAGTCATGAATCCTTTTTCAACCGCCTCGATTATACTTGCTTCAAGAGTATTGCAAAATCTTTCTAATTCTTTATTGTTATCTAATTTGGCTCTATGTAATAATCCTCTTGTCCAAGCATAGATACTGGCAATGGAATTAGTTGAAGTTTCCTTGCCCTATTGATGTAATCGATAATGTCTTGTAACAGTTCCATGAGCAGCTTCAGCTTCCACACATCCGTCTGGACTAACTAATACACTTGTCATCAAACCAAGAGATCCAAAACCTTATGCCAATGTATCGGATTAGACATCTCCATCATAATTTTTGCAAGCCCAAACAAATCCTCCTTCACTCTTGATCATATATGCAACCATATCATCAATCAATCTGTGTTCATACCAAATCTTCTTAGCTTCAAAATCAGCCTTATACTTAGTATCATATAAGTGTTAGAAGATGTCTTTGAATCTGCCATCATAAACTTTAAGAATGGTATTCTTGGTTGATAAATAAAGGGGATATGCTAATTCAATTGCATGTTAGAAGCAAGCATGAGCAAATGCTGTTATTGATTCATCTGTATTGTACATGGCCATAGCAACACCTCCTGTGCCTTAGAAATCGAACACTTCGACTCTTTATGGTTCACTTCCATCTTTTGGTGTGAATAACACTTCGAACTTTCCTTCCTTTTAGAAACGAAGATCTGTAGCCTTATATTAGTCACCAAAAGCATGACGACCAATAACTATTGGCTTAGTCCATCCTGGAACGAGTCTAGGAATATTCTTAATCAAAATAGGTTCTCTAAACACTGTTCCATTAAGGATGTTTCTAATAGTACCATTTGGAGATTTCCACATATATTTCAAATTGAATTCCTTCACTCTTGCCTCATCTGGAGTGCTATGATAATTAATATATTTCGATACATTGTAGCACATTTGATTCCTACTTTGCACTCTTGAATTGCCTTTGCACATTCGATAGTAACCTTGTCATCAGTCTGGTCTCTATTCTCCATTCCCAAATCATAGTATTTTATTGGAATATCTAAGAATGGTGTGATGAGATATTCTTTAATCCAAGCCCAAATAACCTTTCATATTTTTCTATCTTACTCTAGTCATTTCATCTCCATCCATTTCTACAACTGGATTATTCACCTTGATTTTTGCGTCCATTACTAATAATTTTAATATTGTGGGAATTTATGAATGCGTTTATAAAATTGTTGATAAGATATTTTGATAAATTATATTTTGTTAAAGCAAAGTATTTTGAAATTGGATAAGCTCCTATTGATATTTTATGTTATCTGGGAAAATGTTTGGATGAAGAATTAATAAAGATATTATAATAGGAAAATCAAAGATTTGATTAATTTGTAAGATTGTTAAAACAGCAAACCATATATTAATTCTATTAATTCAAAATAAATATCTCTAATTCACCTTTATATTTTGTCACTAAAGCCTAATGAAATCTTAATTTCTAAAGTAGAATTCAATAAATTAATAAAGTAGTCCAGAATACAGCATTACAATAATCAGCTTAGCATTTATCATTGTAATTGTACCAGATATTTTAATTTAATATATCTTAGTGCATTTTGTAGATATTAATTTCATAATTTTAACGAATTATAAAATTAAGTTAATGTTAAATTCAAAATTTACTGTGAAAAGAGAACCACTAAAAGAAAGGTTTCTATAAATAACTAATAAATTAAATAATCTTGATATCAAATAAGGTACAAGCAAGGCTCATAGAATTGATACTTTGAATGAAAGAAGCTATAAAATAGATGAAAGAATAAGAGCCATTAAAGAGAATTATAATAAATAAGTCTTGTAGTTAAAAGAATAAGTTTAAGGACTGTCTGAATAAATTGACTAAGAGAGATAGGAATTTAAATAATAGCATAATTAGTATTCATAAAAGGTGTCAGATTTGGAAAAGTCGACACAAAAACAATTACAAATTGAATAAAGTGAAAGAGTAGATGGTATTAATTAATTGACAGCCTACTTAAATGAAAAGGTATTAAAAATTAATAATTATTAGCTTACTTTCATTAAATCAGATTTGACAATTGAATCAAAATTAAGAGAAGAATTAATTGATGAACTCTAAAGAGGATTAGAAAATTAATTACCTAAAATGAATTAATAAATCAAAAGTGAAAAAGAGGATAGAGAATTATTTGACAAATAAATTTTGAAAAAAAGCACAGTTGAAATGAATAAATTGTCGAATTAGTTAAATGATGTTTCAAGATAAACTTTAGAATAAGAAAATTAAATTATTGGAATGTTATAAGAATTGATTATCAGAACTAAAGAGGACTTAAAATAATTGTCAGAAGAAAGACAGGAAAAAGAAGAAGAAATAATTAATTTGATTGAAAAGACTTGTGATAGAATGGTCTAAGCCTCATTGATTTGAATATTAATTTTCATTTAAGAATTTCAATATCACTAAACTAAATATAACTTTTGAAAATATCAAAAAAAATCTAAATATTCGAAAAAGAATTTATTTCAAATGATTTTAGAAACATGTTTTGTCCTGTCGGAATTAAAAAATATCAGTTTGATAAACATCAATAATAATAATCAAGAGACTATATTATATCAAAAAATCCTTGTTATTATATCTATGTTCAAAAAGGGAATTAATTTTCTTCGAGTAGATGAAATAGATTATAATCTTCATTATATCCAATTTTAATTATTAAATCATGGAATACCTTTTTCAACACTGAAATTTGATATTAATCAACAACAATTTCTGAATTGTGACCATGTTTGACCAAATGGAGAATGATATATAATGCATATAATCCACTATAATCAAAATTTAAACTTTAACCAAAACTGTTTACATCATTCACAACTCCAAATTGATAACTAAATCTCCCTAGTTCTTCTCTGGGTTTCTTTAATTTAATTTCGAATTCATATTATAAGAATGAAATTACATTTTTCATATAAGGATTCTTCTCTGGATTTATATATTATGGATCCCTGATTCTTAATGAGAGAGATGACAGCAAATAGCAATAACATGTTTTCCTTTTAAGATTAACAAAAACTATTGAATATTCAGTAGGATATTCGGCAATTGGGATAACTAACCAATCGAAAATATCGAATATAGTTTCATCCTGTCCTGTATATTCAAAAGTGAATTGATTAGCTTCAAAATAATTAATTCTAAAGGTGGAATGGAGTAAATTAAAACATAATGTTTAGTAAAATTAAGTAGGAAACAATTTAATATTAGTTGTATAATGTTGAAATACATTATGATTTTTACGTTGATGGTAAGATTTTTCTTCAAAAAATTTTAGTAAAAAATTAAAAATCAAATTATTCAACTTGCCATCTTTATAAAATTACTTCATCATAGGAATTTCAATTATCATTCCATATCTTTTAGCAGCTATATTTCCTTTTTAAATGAATTCTGAAGTGTTTCTTTTGATGGTTGGTAAACTAGTGAATTGAGTTTTTATAGTACTTTCATCTTTTGATTTTGGAAATTCATAACTAACTTTTGGGGAGCTGACATCCATCTAATCCATTTATTAAAATAAGTAATCCTTTCGTTTTAAAAGAGATTTTTAAAAAGATTCTTGGTTTTCTTCTCCTTAAATCATTTCATTAATCATTCTAAGTATTTATTAATCATCATGTAATATAGTACTATAGTTTTATAAATTCGAGTTATAAACAGCACTATTATTGATGGCGCTTTTATTTTAAACCGTATCAAGCACATCCTCAAATGTCATCTTTTTTCTTTTTTCCAAATATTGCTTTATTTTGCCATTGATTCTGAAGACTTCTTATAACTTTTAAATTTCTATTTCCTTATCTACTTCATCGTTTATTAATTCATGATAATATTCTGTCAAATCTTCTTAAATTTTGGTTAATTTATCTTAACTATCCAAATATGCTTATGCTTATGGTTGATCAATTGATCTTTTCTTTTTATTGAATAAACCAGAAAATTCATCTTCATCATATTCTTCACTTCTTTGAGTTTCAATAATTGGTGCTTATTAATGAAGAGCAGAATTATTTTTATTTGTACCTACTCTGCTTCCAGGTTATAGGACATTCTTTTTTCCTGTAAATGATCTGCTAGCCTACTATGCTAATTAAATTGAAGTTTCACTGGTTTCTGATTTAGGTGATAGATCACCTTATTGTTTGTTTTTACTAAATAAAGAAGACTTCTTAGAATGAGGTTCCTATTACTCAGACTTTTAATCTGAAATAATCGACTTTTATGGGGAATTCATGGGCGATTATTAAATAGCAGTTTATTACTTGTTTCTGAATGAACTGACAAACGTTTTTTTTTATTAAGGAGTTTACTCTTCAATATTTTTATTTGATCTTTGTTGTGGTGTATCATTATTTGTATTTGTATTGTTTTTAAATCTTCCAAATCTGCTACCCCCAGATTAAGATTGAGAATTTTAAACTTCATTTTACTAAGCTTAAGGAAGTTGTGCTATTAGTGGAATAGTTATTTTCTTTTTGGAGCCTATTTAGATTGACTTTAGACTGGAAATAACGGTCTACTACATCTTAATCAAGGCCCAAATCAATTTGGATCTTAGTTACCTTTTCTCTGAGAACCCAAATTTAATTTTATCAATAGGAGTACCTGAAATATATTGCCAAAGCCAATTTACTATGTATTCAGTTCCGTCTGTGCTATCAGGCATAGCTTTAGAATATATAGTTTGGAGCTGGATTATTGTAGGTGATTAAAGATGATATCAATTTATCAAAGGAATTTTTCAATTCATCTTTAGTTACATTCTTATTTTAGAGATCTACAATATCTAGAGATTTTTAAGTCATATGGTAAATTGCAAAAACCCATCTGGTATTTTTAATATACTATAATATGATTAATCTTTCATTTTCAGCGCCTTATCTCCTTCTAGGTTTAAAGATTATTTCAAATTCTTCACAAATTTCATCTCCTTCTGCTACTACAAAAAAAGGAATTAATGGTGTTTTGCTCTACAAATCAAAATAATACAAATAAGACAGCCAAAAGGCCATCATGTGAAGTTTAGATTTTCCAGATTTTTAGAGTAGTTCAAAATCAGTTAATTAAACTTCAATTCCTGTCCATTAGCCTGTTAGAAATGGGTCTAGATTTGCCACTTAATATTATTTAATTTCATTTTCATTCCATTATGCTAATGCTGGCAATGGAGGATAATCAACATGTAAAGATTTCTCACCTCTGAAAAATAACCACAACAATTGAGATTTTAATTTTACCTTGTCACTCGGTTACAATTTTACAAATGATTACCCTTTGACAATAGTTTGATACAAATAATTTATAATATACATTCCCCCATCAGTTGCTTTATCTTCCTAATATATGTAATTCACAGTCTTGAAAGATACTTTTGCCAATCCTGTTTTTTTAAGTAACTGTTCATATGATTTTTTTAAATCATCCTTCGTCTTATTTTTCTAGAGATCCACAATATCTAAAACTGTTGTTTTTAAATTAAATATCCCAGTTACCCACCTATCGGTCCAATAGAATATGAGAATATAGTTAATTGGATCGCCCTTTTGTTAATTTTTTCTTAATAAAGAGTTCAATTACTCCACAAGATCTAACATTTATCTTTAATAAGCTAAGTAATATTAGTGAACAGCTTTAGAACGCTTTTAAAGGTAGTTAATAAAGTAAATCATACTCTTAAAATTCATTTTTCCATCATTGTTTAATTTCAACACATCATCGTAAGTAATGTGCACACCCAATACTAAATCATCAATAAACATAATTTCATCTGGTGGTGAAGTTAATTATTAGGCTGACTCTGAAAAATTTTAGTATAAATCATTATATTCTTCATCTTGAAATTCACTTAACGAAATATTCATTTATAAATATAAAAATCAAAATCCAATTTCATCTAACATAATTATTAGATTAAACCTTATATTTGTACAAAATATTGATTAATAACAGAAGTGATAAATTTGTTAGAGATGTTTATTCATATTGATTTATGAATTGAAATTAAATATTTTATGAAAAATAATATATATAGATCAGTTTTAAATACTTTATTCATTCTATTCATAATGAGCTGAGTAAATATTCATCATTCTGATAAATTATTACAAATTTTAATTTTTACTATTAAAATTATTTTTTAAATAATTATGGGTTTAGGATAATCTAAAAAATAGTCTTCTTGTACGAATTTAAAAATCTCTCAACTCCATTATATCAGTCTTGTTATAGGGTTAAGGATTTCTGTTAAGCCTTTATTAGTTTACTATTTTTATTTAATTCTAATAATGTCTGACTGTCAAGAATCATTATGTTCCAAAGTGGTTTAAAGGTTGGATATGTTATTATGAATTAATATGAAAAAGATATGAAAAAGTAATGATAAATTATCATTGTAAATATGATAAATATTGAAATTAATTATGATTATTAATAAATTAGGACTTGCTTAATAACTGTATATATAAATGTAATTTTTAGATTTGTTTATTTAATAAAAATATTGTAATGATATCCGAGTTTGATATTCTTAACTATTATCCGCTCTAATTATACGATTTGTAAATGCCCATGACTTCACAACTGGAAATTGAAAATTTCAACGAGAATGAATGCTCAGCAAGAAAATTAAGGGTTAGCTCCTAATGTTTAATTTTAAAAAAGTATAAGAAATTTAATGTTCTAGAAAAATCAGACATAAGCCAAAAAGACCATCGCTATTAAAAATAGATGAAACCGCCAGGAATGTTAAAATTTACAGCCTTAGGCCGAGTCAGACGAATTTAGAGAATCTAAATGAAGACTAAAAATAAATTGATGACTGAGATAACTCCTTGAAGTCTAAAACTAAATGATCTTGATTAATTTATATTTTATGTTATACTTGACAGATTGAAATCCAAAATATAAGATTTGATCATAAAATATTACGAAATATACATTATATATATTTATTATTAAACTAAATGAATTAATAAAACATTATCGAATTCTATCCACACATACAGGAACAGTTCTAATCAATCCTTTTCAATTTGTACAGAAATGAAACTTTACAAAAATATCATAGCATAATTCAATAAATTAAAACAAAATTCCCATTTCCAAAATAGATGCCATAATTTATGTATCCTAATGCTGAATAAATTTCAGAGTTCTTTCTATAAAATTATTAACCAATCATTTTGGATTTGCCCGCTCTTTGTTTGAAGCCTAATGTGAAAATAAAGTTATACAAGAATGCTGTATATTTTGGAGAAATCCATCAAGAAATGAGACAAGGACAAGGAGTTCTTATAAAAGAGAACAAACAAATTTATGAAGGGTATTTTGCACTTGATAAAAAAGATGGGATTGGGTTTGAAATATTAAAAGGAGATACATATTATCATGGGCATTACGTTTAGGGTTATCCTCATGGAGAAGGTGTTTATATGTCTGCATCCCATTAGTACATTGGTTAATGGCAACATGGGAAGAAAGTAACAAATTATACTAATAATAAGAGTGGAATCGGATGGTGTGAAGGAAATAAGAATGACTATTTTCTAGGGGGTTGGGAAAATGGAAAGTTTTATGGATTTGGATTACACATTTATGATTCAATGTATGAATTATAATTAAAATAATAGTTATTTTGGTGAAGTCATCAATGATTTAAAGTATGGTTATGGAGAAGAATACTTCCTTGAAGGTGACATTTATAAAGGGTAGTATAAGAATGGCCTACCAAATGGTAAAGGTAAATATATTTGGAAAAATGGAAATTAATATTAGGGTGATTTTCAAAACGGTTTGAGATGGGGAGATGGATTTTGGGAATAAAAAACAGAAAAAGGCATTTAATTTTATAAAGGTTAATATGTGAACGACAAGAAAAATGGTCATGGTCATTTTCATTATTCGAATGGCACTTAATTTATTGGTGAATTTAATGAGGATCAAAGACATGGATATGGAGAAATAATTTGGCCAGAAAGGGCTACATATAAAGGGTAGTGGAAACAAGGTTTAATGGAAGGAGAAGGGATGTATTCCTATGAAAATCATAAATTACAAGGTATTTGGAAATAAAATTAATTAATTTCATAAGAGAAAGTTCGAGTCTCTTTAAATTAATTTCCAATATAACATTAATTAAAAGATATAGTTGAGGATGAAGAAATTTAATCTCAAGTTGCAGAAGAGCCAGATCATGAAAAAATTGGTGATAATTTTAAGAAAATCTCTCTCTAAAGCAAAACTAGTCTATGTGTTTCTGACACTTCTAAATTTCCTTAATTCATTTAACTTTAAAAATAATAAGATATATTAATTGGTGGTCAAACCTATCCAACATAACGAATTAATCAAACTACCTCAATTGGTATTTAAACTGAGGTTAATTCAACAAAAAAGAAATTACTTACTGAATTACCATCAATTCAAACAAAGAGAAAAAATATTTAATCAAGTTACAGTGTTGATAGTAAAACTAAGGTTAAAAATAAGAATTTGAGTGAATCTAATACAAATACTAACTCTCCTAATACGAGAGAAAGTGAATTTAAAAATAATAATCTTCAGTAATCATAAGAGAAGAAATCAAGGAAAGTTAAATAAAGGTTATCTTTACTAACAAAAATTGAAGAGAAAGTATTAAAAATTAGACTTGAAAAAGAAAAATTGAGTCCTTATAAGTTTGAGAAACTGTGGAGTAAAAAAGTACGTCGCGATCCCTTATTATATTAGGTTGTTAATTAAGCTAGATCTCTGATATATCCACCTGTATGGATTCCTCCTTCTTTACATCCTTAAATAAAAAGAAAATCGTGAGAACAACATACTTGATTATTTTTGTAAATAATTTTCCGAAGATAATTTAAAACAATAATAATTAATTCATTAATTTGGATCATTGATGCTGAGTCGACGATGATCTGAATTATTAATCTAATTATAAATTCGTATTTTTACTGTTACTATGAAAGAGTTAATTGTTGTATTATTGCATTTAGAAATTGTCTCCTTTCCCATTATAAATTGGATTGGAAGCATGGTCTTTGAGTAACAAGCTGTCATTATGATGATTTTTAGGCCACAATATACCATCACCAACAGGACGTCCTCCTTCCATTTAAATTGGCAGGAACCATGACAATTTACTCATTCCAAATACTTGTACCCAATTGTAATATGGTTTCAAATCATATTGATTAAAATCATCATTTTGTTAGCCTGTCTCTTCATTTCTTTTCTTCTCTAAGTTTTCTATTGTGGTTCTATTACTTAATACCAATTCTAAATGAAATTTAAAAAACATAGTTATTAAACATGATGCTAAACAACTAATTCCAAATGCGCATAATAATAAAAGGGCATCAATAAAATGTAGATCTCCTTCTGAATTAAGATAGAGCATAATATTTTCAAATTCTATGTATAAACCATAACCCAATCCAATTACAGCGCAATAGGAATCAAGAATAACATAAAATAGCATTTGCATAAAAAACTTTCTATTTTGGAATCCAACGCAATTATTTATCCAAGGACAATGGTGATCCATATTTAACACGCATCGATTACATGCTGAACAATGCTAATTATTTTTTATCAAACTAAAATACATGGCATCTCTCAGGTTTGAAAATATGACAAACTAAACAAAACTTCCTTTTTTTTTACTCAGGGTCGTTCAAAAAATATCCCCAGTTTTAGGGAACTCTGCCTGGGTCTGTAAACATTGTTTTAAATAGACTCCAACCCAATAAAGTAGTTAATATCGTAAATAACAACAAATAAGGAATCCTATAACTCGAACCTATTTGAAATATTATATCATATTTTACTTTCAATCAAATCCATCCAAACTACTTTAACATTAACTATGTAAACGAACACAATTGAAAAACAAATGAAGTAAATGAAAAATTTATTAAGGTACTTCTTAATCATTCCTTGGTATAAATAATAATATAAATTCAAATTATATAAATTTCATATAAGAATAGTTTATTCATTTTTAGGTTTCCCTCTGCTTGAATTAATATTAACTCTAGTTATTTTCTATTGTACCCAAATCCTTATGTGTAATTTCTTTTACTTGTGAATTCAATAATATTAAAAATTCATAAAATGAATTATAAAGTAGAGTCAGCTGATGAATACTTAAGAAGAAATAGAATTATGGAATTATTTGAAGATCTTTGCACTAAAGCCAGCTACATTTAGCCTGAGAATTTAGAAGAGTTTTTTGTTGAAGACTTGAAGATTAAATAAAAATAAGGGTATCAATAAAATATAACGATTGTTTAGATTCATCACTCCAATCTTTACAAAGGCAGAAATTTAAAATATTTTTGAATTATTTGATTTAAAACGTGATGGATATATTACATAAGAGAATTGTAGAAAGGCATTATTAACAATTGCATCATCTCAAAAATAATAAGAAGTAATAGAAGCCACTCAAGTAAATCATATATTTTATAAATCTAGGTAATTGATGAAAAAGTCGATATCAATAGATTTTAGAGATTGGTTGAATAATTCTTAGGATGAAATACTCTAACACATTATTTTATTATGATAATAAAAATCTATAATATAGGAAATTATATTAATAATAATATAAATTTATTATGAAAGATCTAATCTTTCAAAGACTTACTATTTCAATTGTATTATTACAAAATCCCCAAGTATTCAAAAAATTATTTAATAACTAAGAATAATTTATTAACATGAAAATTGAAATATGCATTTACATATATAGCAAATATAATCCTGATAAAAAATATCCAATTAAAATCTAAATAAATGACCAAGCCCATCCCAATGGCCTTACTCTAGAACAAAATAGGCTCTTAACCTTATCATGAGGTAAAAAAGTTAAATCTTTGGGGAATAGATTGTGAGGATGCACCTTCTCTCACTATGTTTCCTAACCTTTAAATTCTCTAATTATCAAGAAATTAGATTAGAACCTTGAAACATATAAGCGGATTAAAGTAATTAAAAGAACTTTATCTTGAGAAAAATAATATTAAAGATATTAAAGAATTAGAGTATTTAAAAGAATTATATAACCTACGAGTTTTAAGTTTGATAGGTTTAAAATCCATTATATATATTAGAAAATCCTGTTGTGAAGCATCCTGAATATAAAAAAGTGGCTTTAAAGCATTGTTTAGCATTGCAAGTGCTGGATGAATTCAAAATATTGGAATAGGATCGATAATTCTTAAAAGAGCAAGAATTGTCTGTTTAAGATTTATAATAGAATTTGGATGCTAATTCAAATCAGATGGATACAAAAGAAAATCAAAATGAAAAGCAAGTTATTGCTTCCAAAAAGAAAGTTAAAGGAATAAAAAAGTTGAAAGTGGAACCTAAATCTTCTTAATCATCTAATCAATCAATAAATGGGTCAAAAAATAGGCTTGATATTCATTCCTAATTGATATAAAATACTAATGATGATGATAAAATAAATCAATTTAATTCAAAACCCTCTCAATAATCTAGGAAAAATACCTAAAAGTGCATCACAAAAACTAAAGCCAAAATGACTAAAAAATAAGCTGAACCTTAACCCCAATACATTGAATTAGGATCAGATTCAGATTGTTCTTAATCCAATAAAATCAAAACTAAAAAGAGCACTTTGAAAAAGTTAAAAAAGTTATCAGATATATCTGAGTAGAATAGCCAGCTAGTATAATCTAATCAGAATGCAGAGGAACAAGAAAAGGATCTTTAAGAATCTCAGAAGTCAATTCGACAAGAAAACAGCGAAGAGGATGAAGAAAATCAAATAGATAGTAGAGATGAAAAATTAAGTCAGCATTTGCTTTCAGTTATATAAAACTTAATAAAGTTTATTGATAAAACCGCTTTGTAATGCTTATATTAGATTTTATGTGAGAAAGATAAATGAATTTATTCAAGATAATATGAATATATTAATAATTCGATTATGAATCTAATAATTGATTTAATTTAAGGAGTAATTCTTAAACCTATTCTTCGTTATTCTGTCTATATTTTCTAAAATTTAATTTGATTATAAATTAACATTATAATTTATATTGTAATGCAATACTCTAATAAGGATAAATAGAAATAAGAGTTAAATTTTCAATTGTTGGATGAACTTAGAGTGTTTGTGACTGGAACATTTGCTGCTTTCACTGAAGATGTGAAATCGTAAATAAAAGTAATCTACTTCATTATCAACATAGTAAAACAATGGATATTTTTAAAATTTAGATGGAGAAAAGGGTTGGATAATCCCCATAAACAATTATTAGAATTTGATAACCAACGTATAATTGATTAGAATTAATAGATAAGATCATAATAGATGGATATTGTAATAAAATAATTGCCTCAATTATTGTAGAAGTTATAAAATCTCAACATGAAAGAAATTAAATATTTTGATAATGGATAATTGGTTACTTTGAAGTATGATAATATGATAAATTATGAATAAATCGACAAAGCATTGCATGAAAATTTGTATTAATATCAAAGAGATTGTATTAAATAAGGATTAAAATTTAATGGTCGAATTTTGATTGCAGATGATATGGGTGTTGGTAAGACAGTACAATCTCTGGCTCTTGCAAGCATGTATAAATAAAATTGGCCTTTATTAATCATGTGTCCTTCGCCATTGAGATTGAATTGGTAGGATGAAATCATACACTGGTTAAAAATCTATAAAACAGACATCTAGTTAATCAATAGTGGTCGAGAAGGAATAAGAATGAATGCCAAAATAGTTATAGTTTCATATGATATTGTTAGTAAAATAAAAGATGTAAAAATTGAGATAACATTTAGAGTTTAATGAGTAGAAAGTTTTAAATTTGCATAGCAGATGAGTGTCATTACTTAAAAAGCCCTTCAGCAATCCGAAGTCAAGCATGTGTTCCTATTTTGAGATAATGCATGAGAACAATTTTATTGACTGGCACACCTGCATTATCTAAACCAAGAGATTTATTTAATTTGTTGAATATAATTCGACCTGATATTTTTGGTAGTTTCAAGGAATTTGGATATCGATACTGTGATCCAAAGTTGAGTAGATATACAAAAGGGATTGATTTTGATGGTGCATCAAACTTAAAAGAATTGCACTTTTTGTTAACTAACTATATCATGATTAGAAGGTTAAAGAAAGATGTTTTGAATTAGTTACCTGAAAAGAGAAGGGTGAAAGTAAGAATTCCGGGGGAGGCAAGTCTAGTTAAGTAAATAGATGCACTTTTAAAATAATTGGGGAATATTGACATTCAACAGCTTATCAATAAGGATGCCATTTTTTAGGAATCCTCAAAGGACCATAGCGAGCAATTACTATCTATAAATTCAATTTTGTAGAAATGTTATATGTTAACAGGCTAAGCAAAAATAAAGGCAATAAAGGATTATATAAATACATTGTTTGAAAATGAAATCAAATTTTTATTCTTTGCTCATCATTAGGATGTATTGGATGCAGTTCAGGAATATTGTGTAGAGAATAATATTTAATATATGAGAATTGATGGTAGCGTTAGTATTGAATAAAGACATTTGAATGTGCAAATGTTTTAAAATAATGAGGCTATTCGAATTGCTATTTTGAGTGTTACATCTGCAAACTATGGAATTACATTGACAGCAGCATCAACCATAGTCTTTGGTGAAATGCATTGGACTCCTGCTATCATGATGTAAGCAGAGGATAGGGCACATAGAATTGGTTAAGTTTAATGCGTTGACTGTCATTATTTAATTGGGGATGGTACATTAGATGATCATATTTTCAATAAGATAGAAAATAAAATGAATACGGTCTCAAATTTTATTGATGGATAAAAATAAAATTTAGGTGCCTAAGAATTTTCAGCAAACGAAATCTTAATGAAAGGTACTTAAAAGGCCTCATTGATTTCTGATAAATGCGAACCTGTCTTCTAAGAAGCAAATGTATAATCTTCAATCTAGACATTAACTGAAGATGATATAGAGGAGATCTATCAACTTCTAGAATCTAAAGAAAAACATAAAGATTAATCATTTGAATTAGAATAACCAGAGATTCAATAAGAAAATGTCAATTTAATTTAAGTTGATCTTTCAAGTTAGATAAAAAATTAATGTTCTTCTTTTAAATCGCAATTATTGGATAAATATTTGAGTAGCAACAAAGTAAAGAAAGAAGTAATTGATGATAACAAAGAGCTTAACAAGATATAAATGATTATTGAATAAAACAATTTAATAGCTTTTGCAAAACCCTAAAAATTAAGTTATGAATATTTATAGAGTCGATTAGATGGAGATGACAAATCAAAACAAATAGGATAAAAGAAACTCCTTCTCAAATCAGCTAATTAGTAATCAATATCCAAAATCAATATTGAACCTTTTGACTAAATTTTAAATTGAGTTATTAATATATTTTAGTATTATTTTATATTTCATTAGTTTTCATATTAATTGTAGAATTTTTCTACCTTTAATTTTTAATATAAGAGGATTTGTGCTAAAAAAAGAATTTTTCGATAATTCCTCCTGGTCACTAAATAACTATATATTATCGATGATTTTATTATAATTATATCAATATTCTATAAAATGAAACCATATATTAATTGCAATAACAATCAGTTTTAACTATTAAGATAGTGCAGGTATTATTCATATCTTAATGGAGATTATCTCTCATTTATGGCTTATTTTTCAATTTTTCCATCTTTGATATAAATTATTCTGTGGGCATAACATTCAAGATCAGGATTATGAGTAACCATAACCATAGTACAAGGAATGTGATTAGATTCGTTATATCCAAAATTGTTAAGTTTCAATAATATGTCCATGACTTCAACAGTTGATTTTGAATCTAAATCTCCTGTAGGTTCATCCAATAATAAAATCTAAGGTGAATTCGCCAAAGATCTTGCTATAGCCACTCTCTACTATTCACCACCCGATAATTCTGATGGTAAATGATCCATTCTGTCTTATAAGCCAACACTTTTCAGTAATTCTCTGACTCTTTTTTTTATTTCTTTCTCTGACTTTAGTTTATAGATAATTATATTACTAACTTAGCCAAGATTCTCATAGGTAACTCAACATTTTCATAAGCTGTCATTGTGGCTATTAAATTAAATGTCTAGAACACAAATCCTATAGTTGTCAACCTAAGGTCACTCAAGTATGAATCTTTTGATAATTTATTAACTTCTCTTCCTAATAATCCTATTCTAATATTTATAAGTAACTTATTGTGCCGCTAGTTGGCGTGTCTATTGTTCCTACTTAGTTTAGGAATGTTGTTTTTCCACCACCAGATGGACCTCGAATAATTACAAACTCTCCCCTTTTGATTGGATAAAATTCATCGTGTTATTTTAAATTGATTTCCTTAAGTGCATAAATCTTTTCATCTCTTCCAATTAGATTAAACTCTTAGAAATTTAAGATTAGGATACCTTTTGATACATCTTCGCATTCAATTACATTTTCATCATCTGGTCCAAATTCTTTTGAAGGCAAATTGTATATGTCTCTTCCCTATCCTTACAAAGCTTCTTTATCTGGAGATCCTGAGAAAATCATTAATCAAGATAGATTGTAAATTTTTATTATAATTAATAATTTTCTAGTTAACTCAGCTGATCTTACTGATTTTATGTGCTGTTTAGAGAGACTGGTACTTCAGTTCTAGATGTATTGGAATGTATAATAAATTAAGTTTAGAAGAGGACTCATAGATTAATAATATTTTTTGTGTTTAAACAAATTGAAATCAATGGAAATTGATATAATCAAGTCCTATCTTCAAATTGACTTAATAATTAGCTAAAATCTAATATTTAAGGTTTAATTTAATGAAGCTAGTTGCTACAATTATCTATACATTTGCATAGGTCTGTACATCTTTGATTTCTTTTGAGACATTCACAGTATTTCTTTGAGCAACTATAGATTGAATTAAAAAATATAATACTTTTATTTTTGACATTTACATCCTTAAAATTCAATTGTAGGGCTTACCAATTACATTTTACCACTTGATTATTTTACTTATTTATTGCAACATCCGGTGCATTCACACTTAAATGAACATTCTTATCCATATTAAAAGCATTCACAATAATATTTTATACATTTAGTTTTTTTACATCTACATGTAATTGATTCATTCCTAATATTCTAATATTATTATTATAAACTAATGAATTTAGCATTATTATATTTACTGATCTGAGGGTTGTACTTTCTCTAATTTATTTACTATGACGTTGTCTCTTCTTATCTCTATTGAATTTATCAAATCCAAAGTGTAGGATGAATTGACTAATGTTATTAACTTGTTGTATACCTTTATACTCCTTATTGGTTGTTCTTTTTTATCTAAAAATGGATTAATCTTTCTTAATGACTAGCTGGTCATCATCAAATTTGATTCGTCTGATTATTTTGTTTACTTTTTCTTCCAATTTTTATTCGTTCTTTAAAGTTTATATTGATTTATTTTGGAATTGTAAAGGAGAATCTTTTAATCCAAATTCTTCTATCGTCTAGATATTTTCCTATTATTACTATTAAACCTTTTTAGGAGTTTTAACTAAATGAATTTTAAAATTATACATTCATATTCATTTAGTTGCTTTTACTTGAAAAAACCACTCATTATTATAAACTCCAATTATCAAAATTAATACATAAGTATACATCCAATATTAATATATACATCTATCATTTATTGTATTACATTAGACAACTTTATCACTTCCCACCAATTTACCGCCAAAGTATCAGAATTCGTCAGTCCAAATAAAAATAGTATTACAAATAATTTTTTAAGTTTAGGCTGAATATTTAAAGGCTTTTTTAAATTATATATATTATTTTTCTATATTTCCTATGAATCTACTTATTTAATTCCCTAGAACTCATCTTTCATTTGAAATAAATACAAAAATTGTTTTAATTTTTTTTACTAACTTTTGTTCCATTTAAAATTGCAATTTACCAGTCTAATTAATCACTTTCCTCCCTTCTTATTAATCTAACATTTTACAATTAAATTTTATTTATTATGTAAATTTAATCAGAAAAAATAATCTCAATAAAATGATTGAATATTTCTTGTTTAAAGATTAATTTTATTGTTACAACAAATTATTTTTTATAAACATATTAATAGATTTTATAATTAAAAACTTTAATACAAATGAGAACTATCGTAATAATTGAAGAAAATGTTAATACCATTTAATTTTAGGTTGGTAAAATGAATTCCTATCGATTACAAATAGAGGAACCTTATTTGTGAATTGATCTAATACAGGATTCAATTAATAATCTTTAAAATTGAATATTTCAGATTCAACTTCAAAAAATAATTCATTCTATTACAAATAACTTTTTTTTTTAATAAATATACTATATTTAGATAGCAAGAATTATTGTAAAATCATTCTCTATCTTACAAAATTGAATGAATTTCAAAAAGCATTACCTAATGAAACATGACTAGTTCCAAATATATCTAATTTGATGTATTTTAATTATATGGCAATAAATTCATTAAGTAATTTTATTTATTAGTGTATCTTGATTTGAAAATAGTCCAATTTGATAAATTGACTTAGTATTTTAACCTTTATATTAACATTCTAAAATTTACAGTTTGTAAAATTTGGATTGATTTGATTTATTATATTAAATATAAAATAAAAATGGGGCTTTGGGCTTGGACATTGAACTAGATGCTAACTCCTAAATTTTGGACTTTGGTTCGAAGAGAAGGTAATACTAAACTATTAAGACTTAGGATTTTGGCAAACCTATATTAGAATGCACAGAGCTTAATCAAGATCAAGTCATTATGCAGGAGGTTAAAATGGGCCAATCCAATGCGTTGGCTAAGATTAATTTGGCAATAAATATTATGAAGATTTTGATGTCACACGTATACTGTGTAAACAAGCAATTTTTAGATCGAAATCAAAGGAGATGGGTCGAATATAATGATTATTTCAACCCATGGCATACTCTTGGAGATAGGGTTCCTCCAATATGGCATGGTTGGATGGCACATGTCTATGATGAGGCTCCTTCCAGAACTGGGCATTCATATTTTGTTTAGCCATTTTATTAGAAACCTGCAACAGACAATCAATCACCCACACCTAATCATTATTTTCCTTAAGGAGCAATGCAAAGTTTAAATAGATTAGAATTTATGTAAAGTCTTTCTTGAAAATATTTAAGCAAATACCATAGAGATAGAAGAGCAGCTCCTTTTGAGCCAGGACAATCCCAAGGATTTGAAGGAAAGAAACTAATAGTTGAAAGACAGAGCTATTCAGAGGATGTAATGGCAAATAGAGAATGATTTAATATATAAATATAAGATATTATCGAGAAGCTAATAATTTTGAGTTCGATGTAATTAATGATTAAATAATTAATTTATGGATAAGCACAATTTATAAGAGAATGTAGAGTATGAAACTTCAGAATAAATAACTATTTATCCTACTTTTGAATCTATGTCATTGAGGGAAGAACTTTTAAGAGGTACATATTTAGGAAAATCTTAGGCATCTATGCTTTTGGTTTTAATAAACCTTCAGCAGTGTAACAAAGAGCAATTGTTCCTGTAATATAAGGAAGAGACGTTATAGTATAGAGTCAGAGTGGTACTGGTAAGACTGCAGTATTTAGTTTGTCAGCTTTGTCGATGATAGATTTATCTATTAGGTAGAAGATTATTTTTATTATTCTTAGGGAACCTTAAGTATTGATTTTATCGAATACAAGAGAGCTGGCAGAACAAAGTGCAAAAGTGGCTATGGCTTTAGGAGATTTTCTTAATGTTTCAAGTAAGAATGTTAGTCGATAATATGATAGTTCATGCTTGTATTGGTGGACATTCTATTTAAGATGATATCAGCAAACTGTAGCATGGAGTATAGATAGTATCCGGTACTCCAGGCAGAGTATTTGATATGATATAGAGGAAAGAATTAAGAGTTCGCCATTTAAAAATGTTGATTCTTGATGAAGCTGACGAAATGTTAACTAAAGGATTCAAATAATAAGTTTATGATATCTATAGATATTTACCACCAACAACTTAGAATGTGGTAGTATCAGCAACCTTGCCTCAAGAAATACTTGATATGACAGACAAATTCATGAACAATCCCCTTAAGATATTAGTGAAAAGAGATGAATTGACATTAGAAGGAATTAAACAATTCTTTATTTAAGTGGATAAAGAAGAATGGAAGTTCGATACTTTATGTGATTTATATGATACCCTAACTATCACTTAAGCAGTTATCTTTTGTTCTACCATTAATAAGTGCGAATGGTTAGCAAATAAGATGAGAGAACATGAATTTACTGTGGTCTAGATGAACGGAAAAATGTCTTAAAAGGAAAGAGATAAAATTATGGCCGAATTTAGATAAGGAAATAAGAGAGTTTTGATTGCTACTGATGTTTGGGGAAGAGGTACTATTATTAAATTAACAAAAAGGTCTTGACGTTCAATAAGTATCCTTAGTAATCAATTATGATTTACCAAACTCTAGAGAATTGTACATCCACAGAATTGGTAGGTCTGGCAGATTTGGAAGAAAGGGTGTTGCCATCAATTTTGTTAAATAAGAAGACGTCAGACTTCTGAGAGATATTGAATAATATTATTCAACACAAATTGATGAAATGCCTATGAATGTGACAGATTTATTATGAAATTAATTATTAATTCAATATAGCAATTTATTCCCAGAAATACTCTATTGGTAATCAATAATTATATACTTTTATTTTTTATTAATATAATATGTTTTAATCTCTATTGAATTTAAAGTACATATTCATGCATTTATATTTTAGATATTCATGGTAACAAAGTAGTAAGGAAGATATAAATAACAAAGAATTGGTCGATGCCGCAATAAGCATTTTAGGCTTCAGTATAAAAAATCTGCCTTCTGAAGTAAATTACATGTTTATTTTTTTAGAAGAAAAAAGAAATTATTCAACAAATATATAGTCGAACAATATGGTTTACATATCGTAAAAATTTCCCTTAAATTTTAAGTATTAAGAAACATAATTATTTAGACAGCTAATAAACTTCTGATGCTGGTTGGGGTTGTATGTTAAGGTCAGGCTAAATGATATGGGCTTAGATTTTGAGAGTTCATATTAGGTAAAAGAAATAGCATAGCAAAGATTATCAATATAAATTACTTTGCGCTTTTTCAGATGATGATGATGATGAACATAAAAAAATGTTTACAGATAATTTCAAACTTTGTTTAAGCCCTTATTCAATACAAAAAATTGAAGCCATATCATAAATAAAATTTTCTATGAAGCCCTGTTAATGGTATAGACCTGATTAGATTTTGAATGCACTATCATTATTACATTAATAAAAATAACTTGAAGGAAGTGAAGATTTAGAAATAACTATATCTGATAGTCTGCTGTATGATAGATTGTATTCAGAAATGTATGGTCTAAAAATGGATTGTGAACATATAGTTAATGAAATAAAATAAGATAAAAATAAAGAAATATCAAAAATCTGTAATATTTGCCAAAAGAAAGATCCAAAAGCTTTAGCAATCTTTTTCATAACAAGAATTGGATTGGATGAAATTAATAAGGAATATTTACCTTTTTTAAATGATTTAATAGATTTGCCACAATTTTAAGGGATTATAGGAGGAAGAGATGATAAAGCCTATTACATTCTTGGAAGAGTAAACAAACGATTAATTTATTTGGATCCTCACTATATCTAGGAACATATTAATAGAGGGAATGTTGTGATGCTGAAAGATACTTTCTTTTGTAAAGATGTTAAATATATTAATGAGGAATAAATGAGTCCATCCATAGCTTTGGGATTTTACTGCTAAAATCAATCAGAATTAGATAAATTCTTTAATTCTATTGAATAAATTAAAAAGAATTACGATAATGAAAAAACCTTTGGTTATATTAGTAGGATAACTCCAAACTCGTATATCATTGGATTTGATGAAAATGATATTCTTGTGATTAAAGAAGATGAAATTTGATTAAGATATATCTGGTTACCAAAATTAATTGTAATATTAGTTTTTTCATTTATATCTCTTTATCGTCTTCTAAAACTCTTGTCAACAATAAACTGAGATTTACATTAAAATCTAGAAAAATATGATTCTTATACATTCTAGAAAATCTAACATTCTTAAAAGGGCTTTCTCAACTTTATATTGTAGAAATTGTAATTTGTGATTAAATAATAATTTGTGCAATTATGTTTAAAGTGATATACATTAGAAATGCAGATCCAGTCTTCTTCACAGAGTTGGACGACAGATTATAAAATTGCCTAAGAAAGCTGGGAGTAGATGTAATATAGGTCGAATTAGAAGAACTCTATTTTGAATGGGAAGCTGGAGTAATCTTAAATCCTAAATATATATAGAAAATCTCTTTCTACAATAAAGGAGAGTTAATAGACTTTGATGGTGTTATGAATTGGGGTTACATGAGTCCTAAACATATGTAGGACTTTAACTATTTCATCGAAGCAGCAGAGAGTGCTGGCAAAGTCACTTTACATTCCACTAATGCTGAAAAGATATTACAAAGCAAATTACTATAAGGACTCAGATTTGCTAAACATGGAGTACCTATCCCTAAAAGTATGGCTGCTTTTACAGTGAATGCAATTAAATAAACTGTTAGATCTAATTTTACTTAATAAGAAAAGGGAGTTGTAAAGGCATTAGATGGATATGGTGGAGATGGAGTATAACTAGCCAGAGGTTAAGATGAGATAATTAGCATGGCTTCAAAGGAGGTTTGGAAGAATCATTAATCCGTAATATAGAAATTCATTCCTGATTCAATTGGAAGGTCAGTAAGAGCCCTCTGTATGAATGGTCAGTTAATTTTAGCTTGTGAATTTAGTGATACAGGATCAGTAAAATCTCTTTTATATTATAGGACTTCCGATCAAATAATGGTTATCATGAATCATTGAAATTAGTCAATAAGATGGATTAATTCAAAAGATACGAAGAAGTTGCTCTTAAGGCAGTTAATGCAATTGAACAAAATCTAACTATTGGAGGGGTTGATATCTTAGATTCAGAAGTTCACGGATTACAAGTTTTGGAAGTTAATGGATGGTCAGACCTTTGGGACTCTGAGAGAATAACTGGAATTGACACATTCTAAAAAGTGGCAGAAAGTTATCTAGCCAGATTAAAAAGACATTATCACAAGGAATGAAGAATGATTATTTAGTAAATAGAAGTTCAATTAGATTTTTTAATCCAAAAAATTTTAGTTTTATTCATTAAAAAATACACATTATTGATTAATTCTAAAATCAATTGATTAATAATATAGAAATGAAAAAAATTATCATTCTATTGTTTATTATAAATTTCCATTTTATTAATATCATACCAAGATATTTGGTATAACATTCAAACATTGAAATATAAATTATATAAAACAGAATAAAGGTTTTCAAAAAATAATCAGATAGTAAAAGAACTACAGATTCCCAAAGAATGTCAACAAATTTATAAATTATCCAGCTGATTTAACTTTTCTAATTGTAATTGCACCATTTTCACATCCAAACTATATAATAATGCTTAAAAAAAATTTACATTTTATATAAAGAAGAATTCTTGGAGAATTTGAATTTCCTTTACTTTCTGGTTTATTATGCAAAAACCATTATATAGATCCATGGCAATTGCCATCTCAAAGGATTCTGTTATTATTAAAAAAAATAAATGATTAATTTAATTTTGAATTATATTTCAATGCTTTAAAAAATTCTGACATATATTGAAGATTTTAATATAGCAATTCGGAAATTTAGTTCTATTTCAATTAGACCATCATTTTTATTTAATTTTTCAGTTACTATTGTAACGGATAGAGTGATTTAAAATCTCAATAATATAATACAGAACGCTTATAGTGACTAGTTAATTTCTAATTTAATAAAGGATATTCTTTAAATAACATGTTAATAAACCCTAGTTAAATAAGTAATCTCTTCTAACTAATAAATATAATCTTACATTTACACAGAAAACAAATTTTCATACCCCACCCCTTAATAATAGATTTTGTTTTAAGAAATCTTTTAGGAGATCCAAAATTATTTCCAAATAGCAATTTGTTAGCTGAACAAGGCAAAACCAATTTAATCAATATTTAAAAAGTCTGATGAGATAATACAAGTTATCTTGTTATAATAAATTACATAAAATAAAAATAAATTTTAGAAGATAAGAGATAGAGGCAATGATCGAGAATTTTAAGTTTGTTTATAATGTTAGTTCTGAAAAAAAGTGTCATTGAGTCATTAAAAATTTGTAAGTTGATTCTTATTCTAATAAATAACTATTAGAAAATATTAGTAAAATACACATTGATATTAAAAGTGAAATTTAATGTATCTCATTTATTAAAATATTTCAAGTCTAAGTTTTGTGTACAAATAAAACTTGATTTATATTCAAATTATTAACATCATAAACCCTTTTTTTCTAGATTAGTTGGCCAATATTACACAATATTGAAGGTGTTAATTTATTTATTAAATAATACTTAACAATCCACAAAAGATGGTAATTCCATGAAATATTCATATGCCAATATTTAAAGAGAGCTGCTAATGAAGGATCCTATAGGACAGAATTTTAATAGGTAAAAAATTGAAAGATTGGTAAGATTTTAATTTTGGTGGAATGACCTAGCAAGTATAATATATAACTTTGTTTATAAATTTTAATTATTATTTTTTTATCATTTATTTTGTTTTGATGGAGAAAATATAACAGGATTTAGGTGTTTTTGGTGTGACCATCATCATCATAATGTGTTGGTAGCCAAGATCTAGAATATAGGAATAAGTGTTTTTGTGCAAAGAATACATTAAGAAAATGTATAAGTTCATTTACGTTAAATGTAAGCACAGGTTCAAATTTACAACTGTATGTTTATATGTTAGACTAAAGAAGTCAACAGAGTTTAAGTAATGTATCTGTATGTGCCACAAGGATATACTACAAATAGAATAAATGGAATAGCTTTGGAATGCCATCAACATATTTGCCACATTCACTATTTGTAGGCAAACATACAAGGATAGGATTTTGGTTTTAGTAATAGACTAGCATAGGTGAAGTATTCAAAAACGCAAGTTGTAAATGTCTAGAAATAAGTAAAAAATTTTAGAAATTCAATGAGCAAATTTGGTTGTATGCTAATGTCAATAAATCAGTTTAAGATGAATAAGTTCAAGCAGATAGTAATGAGATGCAGCTCTTTAAATTTTTGCTGCAATAAGTTTTATACAAACGATGAATTTATTTGCATATTAGGACATCATCACTTCAACAGTGTTGCTTATTCTGCCATATATTTGAGCTTGCATATTTTCATGTGTAACTTCGTAGCCTATATAAAGTATTTCATTACTATTACATAATAGATATTCTGAGTTTGATTTACACAAATTAGTATAGAGTTTTTATTACTGATTTAAGAGCCTCCTATTTTCACCAATTTCATCTCCTTGACTGCGTAGGAGTAATTCTGTAACGCCTTGTGATGACCACAGCAATTGACTTATTTCTAAGTATCTTTGACAATATGCTGTCTATTGAACTATCGATCTTTTTAGCTTAGCTTCTGTTTTGATGGGGCCAACCCTAATTAATATCAAACCTTTATTAGAATTTATGTGCTGTGTAGTATGAGGTATTCTTTTAACCCTGTCAATATTTAAGAGCGTTGGCAATAGTAAGCAAAGACTTAGAATGACAAATAAGGAATACGATATTTTGACAGCACATTAAATTGTTCATTCATGCACATCAGTTTAAAGTATTTTACTCTTTGAGCTGTGCAAATCCTATTATAACAAGCATCTATGGCAATTAACAGAATGGCCAGCCATCTATATTATAAAAGTCTTAAAATAAACGGAATTTAGTAATGCTAAAAAGATAAATTAGTACTTTTATGTATTCTATGTTTTAAAGCTAGAATCTGATAATTAGTTTAGCCAAGATCGATTATTATATATCTAATATGCAAATAAAAATTATGCACATTCGTCCCTAATTAAGTTTATATTGCCTTTGTTGAAGTAACAAGTTGATTAACAAATGGTAGTTGTTAGTCTCAAAAAAAGATGCAGTTATGTTGATGATCTCGAGCCATATTTCAATTCATTATGTTCAAGGCTACCATTAGATTTTCAACACATTTTGCATTGCTAAATGAATGCTTTAACTATGTTATAAATATACCAACTTCTTTCTTGTAATTACCGTTTATATAATATTTAATTTATTAAAATATTTAAAGCTTATTTTATTTTAAAGTTGCATGTTAACGTAACATCTTGGACAACTTTAGTGTGCATCGCTTCATTATGTAATACCTCTATTTGGTAGTTATATTCGAAATTTCAGCTTTCTGTAATATTACTTTTAGCTGAGAGGCAGGTTGTAAGCGTATGTGGTCTAGGATGTAATAAAACGTCGTTGAATTAATTTCCAAAGTAATTCTTTATCTGATTAATAAACATACATAATAATAGATATTATGATGCAATCAAATGTCTCATTTTTTGCCTAATGGTAGTTATATGAGTCTCCTGTATTATTCAACTATAGTAGTATCTTGAATACAAATTATCCAATGAAACCTTCATATTCTAGCTACAGCATGATGCTATATTGACATAGACAAAAGTAATCCATGCTAAACCAAATACCAACAATAGTTGTCAATCGAGAACCTTGAAAAGCCATTCAACAGCGTGATGCTTCTATAATTTAAGCAAGTTCTAAAATGGTGGCACAAAAAAAATTTTTTTAATGAAAAATTTAATCGTCTTG